CTCACATTATCATCGGGCAATCCAGCATCTACCTCCTTGATAATGCGCTTCTTTAAAGCTGCGCAAGCATGTGAAATCCAGCCCAGCAGAGCTTGCTCATAGGACTGGCCATTGGGCGCTTGATAGTTGTTGCCAGATATTCTTTGGGATTATGAAAATGATTAACTTATATTTTTCAATATCAATCGATGGCCTTACCTTCGTATGGCCGCCATGACGCGGTCACCCGATGATATTTCCTTCGCATACAAAACCATCAACGATTCTATCACAGACATGTGGGCGTTCTGAAAGCGATAAAACCGAACAATAAATTAGAGAGAACCCATAAAGATCAAAATTTAGATTTACTCACAATTCGCAGCGGATTCGTTTGAATTAATACCGTTTCGGTAATGGGCATGTCCGAGGATTCGGCCACGGGAACTCCCTTGCGCGCTAGCGTCTGTATTATTGACCAGTGGTTCATGCTTTGGTAGTTGGGATCTGAGTACAGATTGGACAGCGTCTGGCAGTAGAGCGTGGCATTGCCCAGCTCCACAATGATCTGCGGCTTGAGACGCTCCTGATTCTCATGGTCGCGGTAGAAGGGCTCCTTCAGGTTGTCCGGCACGCGATTGTTGAAGGCCTTCGAGAGCAGCCACTTGACGGAAGCACGTTGACGAGCCTGCAATAGAGCGTTGGGAAAAAAGAGTTAGCATCAGATTGCGATAATGTGAGAATATTCTGTGAAGCAGGTGGCACCCATCTCATTCCCATCCCAAGGCCAAGTTAAGCCTGCGTAATCAATGCTCTAGAATTGCATCCTCTACGTATTGAATGACGGGCCTTTTCTTGGCAATTAACTAGCGCACTCTTAAGTGCTTTTGTATCTGTATCCCTGCCTGTTGCTGCATCTGGCAGTATTTGTATCTGTGCCCGAGTGAAGCCATGCGTACAATCTTCAATATGAGTTCGATAAACTCGCTCGTGTTTGGCTTGGCGTGCGCCGCCAGCCGCCTTCCATTGTTTCCTCCCCTTGAAGCTCTCTTTTCAATTTTGGGGCAATGGCAGGGAGTGGCTGGGAAGTGAAGGGGTTGCTGGTCGGATGGACGATGGTCACTCAGCATGAAAGACTCCACTCGCGGGGCAGTCGTACAGCCTGCCTCTTTTTTCCTGCTCCGTTTTTAGAATCATCTCAAGTGCTGCCATGTTTCGCCAGCCAACCCATTTCTTGTTGCACTCATAATCACAATTCTGCTCTATTCAGAATGGCCTCTTCTTGGTCTAATTGAAACTGGGGAAAAGCAATCTAAATAAATTCTCAAGAGGGAAACTGTCCCTGTTGCAGATGCGGATATTGGTTTGATCGGTAAAATCTAATACAAAATGTGTACCAATTAGTAATATCTCTACTCGAAACTAATAAGACAAATGTTGGTTTCTGATAAGAAATCAGTCTGATAAATAGGTTTAATTTCATTTAAAAGAGAAACTTATATTTGCTATCTTAGAAAACCCATATAGAGTTAGAAGAATTATAATAATGAAGAAAGTAAACATAGAGAAGCCGACACCGGTCAGCAGTTGAAGATTATTTTTAACAGGAGATAAGGTAAAACTGAGAGAGTATACATAGCTGGAATTCATAAAAATTAAACAATCCATTAATTCTCATTTTGCTTTCGGCATGCTTGTCGTATTTGCTGCAAGACTTCTGTGGTGTCTTTATTATTTGCTTTCATTCCATAAATTTCAAACGAGTTTCTTACAAAATCGTTGCATGAAGTCATCAATAACTATGTCAGAGAATCTCATCGAAGTGGTTCAATTCTTTTGTATACCCATAACCAGTCAGCAAATTTTTGTTTTTAGGGGTCGTTTGGATTAAAAGCTTACTACAAAATGCCAGAAATAATTTAAGCTGGTGGAGGTTGAGGGAAAACTGGATGGATGTTGGGGAAACAATATTGGCGTAGGTCGTAGACCGACCAGCTATGCGAATTGGTCAACAGGTGGAGGGAAAACCTGTTTGCCCAGCTAAGCGCTTTCCACCAAAAGCCAGAAACTGTCCGCAACATAATTTGAATGGCCAACGAAACGGAAAAACTCTGGCTGCACTTTGCATTGACTCGAATCGAAAAATTTCTGAAACTCAAATTTCAAAAGACCATGTAAACAATTCGAAGAAAAACAATAAATGAGTGCTGGTTTAGACGCCCACTATGAATGAAGCAGAGATGGATATATCGCATATTTTTATTCAAGCATATACACAGAAAAAAAACATGATCTAATTTCAAGAATTAGGAAGTCGTAATTATTGAATTTTTAGTGATAAATTGGGGTGATTAATTTGGTATTTTCTGTGGAGCAATATAAAATGTTACTAAACAATTAGTTTGAAGTATGAAGTCAAATGAATAGCAGATACATTATATGGCTGTTTCAAAAACAATGACACAAAATTCCAAATCAACATTTCAGAATGAATAATATGTATTTTATAATTATTAATTGTTGTCCCTTATTTTGAATTTAACTTTATTTTTTTTGCTGACTTTAAAGACTAATTGCTTGAATGCTTTTTTCTGTCCAAACATATGCTTGTAATAAAGTTTCAGTTGCTGGTGGTTTTCAAATGTCACAAATTGAAATTGGCGCGGCTTTATGATTTCATTATCTATCCAACTGTCGTTTTGTTTTTGGCATTCCAGAGAATGGGCAACGATTGCTGCGGCTAAATATAACAGAGAGTGCCGACGAAGGAAAGCGTTCAAGAAGAGAGCTTACCGCTTGAGTCAGCAGCTTGGTGTTTGGATGTTTGAATGGGTTTAGCTTTGAGTTATGGTCGGTAGCTAGCTAGCTGTTTGTTTTTGCTGCCCAAGAACGAGACTCCAACACGACTTTTTAGGGAGTTGTCTAGAGGAAAAGTCGGTGTACTATGTACACGCAAGGCCCCAAACCGCGGAGCAGAGTGTTAACGTTTCTCCCTTTTAGCCTGCCTTTCGCATGCGTAAGCCGTTTTTATATATATATATTTTTTTTTCATATTTAACGATTAGGTCATGCAACAGCAGCTAGCTCGAAAGCGAGAAAAAACGATAACAAATGCCTAATCGAAGGGGTATAAAGCAAAATTTTCCGGCTTTGGTTTTCGTGCTGCAGTTTTATGAATGGAAGTGGCTGGTATTATTTTCCGATCAGCACAGCACACCCCACACAACTACTACCGGTTGTGGCTGTAGTTGTTTGCATTGGCCATCGAAACCAGTCGAATGGTAAGTAGGTGTCGGTCGCATATTAAGCGTCAAGTTGGCCGGAGCGGCATTACCTCAGCGCACCATTTTGGCCAAGAGAGTAGGTGTTAGCCAGCTTCGCCTATGTTGGAATGTTAATGAGTGCTCTTTTCTCAAGTATGAGCCTCGTTTTATGAGTGACTTTGGATTCTCTTAGTGGATTACTTCTTACCTGTCGTATTTCCTGTGTTTCGACATCCATGCTGACGGATTTTCCTGCGACGGACTCCGGCTCTCCGACGCCCGCCACTTCACTTTCCGAACTTTTTGCACTTTTCGCACTCTTTGTTTGTCCACCACAACACACTGCTTTTCCTTTTAACGTTTTTTTACTGCGTGTGTGTGTGCTCGTGGAGTTTTCCTCACCTTAGGGGATTTTCACTTGGAGCCTAAACACGGTGCAAGAAAAAAAACAGGATTGGCACTTTGGCAAACAACTTGGAAATCGAAAACAGAAGAACTAATTGCGCACACGCATTGGCTGCGATTGTTTTCAGGGGGCGCGGAGAGTTAAAAGGGGGGAGGAAAGGCAAGCAGGCTGAAAGAAAATGTGAATCATTCACAGAGGGCGACGGTGGGTGTTGGGCAGGGGGTGGTGCTGCAGTGCGACAATAACAGAGAACACTTTACAGTTGTCTGTTCGCTTTTCTCTAGATGCTGCTGCATCAGCTGTTGCGATTTGGTCGTCTGCCAGAGCCGTTTACGCACTTTTCACCTCGTTAGAGTCTTGAACCGCCCATCCATAGCATAATTAATGTTTTCCCAATTCGTTTTAAGCCAGCAAGTTGCCGATATTCTTTGGGGAACCGCCGACTTTAGTAAATGAAAACATTTTCCTTCGCCTCGCACTGTTGTTGTCCGCCGCCCGATGTTGTCTCTCTTTTGCACTCGCTACGCTGGCAATGCTGCTGAGCGACACTGTTAGTGTTGTGCTTCTCACACACACGGCGAACGAGTGGTGACCGAAAAAGCTGTGTATGTGCGCGCGGGTGTATGTGTGTGAGAGTGAGTGTGGGGCCTACGCACATTTGGGATGTTTTTCGCACAGATTTGCCGAACCGACTACTTTCGCATTCATTTCACACGGTTCGTGCTCTTCCCCGATGCATTTTTCAACAGTTTTAATACTATTAATTGTCCTTAAATTGAGGAAATCACGGGCACCGATCTGCTCTAAAATCTTACAAATTTTCATGTGAGCGATGGAACACAAGCCGATGGTTATGCGGTGCAATCGGTGCAGTTAGAAATTGTGTAATCGATATTTTCTCAGAAAACATCGATTACTTTTGTTTTTAACTTATTTTCCATTTTTTAAAACTATCATCACTACAAAAATACTTTATTTTATATTCAAACATATTGTTAACGTTATCATTTTATTATGTGAGATTTACAGATTAGATTAGATATACAGATTGTTATTTCAATTATCAATTTTTCAAAATGCTCTTGAATTTAAAAAATATGTTAATAATGTAATAATAATATGTTAAAAATATTTTTAACATACTTTCAGTCACGGATTATCATTTTTCATATTATCAAACAATTTAAAATATTTTCAATAAGAGATAATACAATAAATCGTATATATAATTCAAATTAAACACATATATAAAATATGTGAAATAAAATTACAATTACCTTTCCGCGTTGCCAATACAATTGACCAGTTGGCAGCACTCACCATTCAGAAAAAAATCATTTCATTCGTTCGCCGTGACTGTCAAATGCGGCATCTCGCTCTTCCTTTTTCACTTTGTGCGTGTGTGTTTGATGACGGAAAATTGCAAATAGATCGCTGAAAATGGCTAAAAAGAAAAGCGAGGAGCACTCCGGTGCGGATGCGAACGATAGCGACTATACCGAGGAGCCGAACTTTGACGATCCACCCAATTTTGTGGACAACATCAGCGATGAAGGTAAAACTCCCCGACTGCCAGCAAAGCACACGCGGCGATCTAACCTCAATCCATACGCGGTGTGCGAAAGTTTGCATATTTAATTAAATATATTCGTTATGAACTATCAGATCTGCTGGGTGATATGCTGGCCCAACGCCCGTCGGAGGCTGATGGTGTCGAGAGCGTCGTCGTGGTGGACAACATCCCCAAGGTGGAGCCGGTGCGCCTAGAGAAGCTCAAGTCGGTTATCAACAAGCTCTTTTCGCATTGCGGCGACATCGTTAATGTGGTCTATCCCGTGGATGAGGAAGGCAAGACCAAGGGTTACGCCTTCATGGAGTATAAGCAGGCCAGCCAGGCCGAGGAGGCGGTCAAGAAGTTTAACAACCATCGCCTTGACAAGAACCACATCTTTGCCGTCAATCTCTTCACTGACTTCCAGAAGTAAGTTATCTGCATACATTACAAAATAATTACTAAATTCGAATCTCTGTAGGTACGAAAACATCCCGGAGAAGTGGGAGCCACCAACTGTGCAGACCTTCAAGGTGCAGAGCGATCTTTACAACTTCATCAACGACCCGGACACCTATGACCAGTACTGCGTGGCTGCCGAGACCGCACCCAATTGTGTACAGGTTGGCTTCTGGCAGAACGTCTTGCCCGAACCCTTTGAGTTGGAGACTCGTGAACGCTTCACCGACACTTTCGTTAAATGGTCACCGTTAGGAACATATGTGGTAACCTTCCACAAGCCTGGAGTGGCTATCTGGGGAGGCAGCAGTTTTCAGAAGATTCAAAAATTCCCCCATCCCGGTACTCAGTTTGTGGAGTTTTCACCATGCGAGAATTACCTCGTTACCTACGGCCCAACCCAAACAGGTCAAAAGATCATAATCTGGGATATCCGCACCGGAGCCGAGAAGCGTTCATTTGTTGCCGATGGCATGTCGGTGCTTTCCATGTTCCGCTGGTCGCACGATGATAAGTTTGTGGCTCGCATGGGCGAGAACTCTATCCATATCTACGAGACTCCGTCTTTCTATCTACTGAACTTGAAGTCAATCAAGATTCCAGGTATCCGCGGCTTCTCGTGGTCACCCACGGACAACGTGATTGCCTACTGGGTGGAAGAGCAAAATCAAATACCTGCCCGCGTCACTCTTATGGAGATCCCCAAAAAGCGCGAGATCCGTAACAAGAACCTTTTCCATGTAGCTGACTGCAAGCTCCATTGGCAAAAATCTGGCGACTACCTGTGCGTCAAGGTGGATCGCTACTCCAAGTTGAAGAAGGATAAAAAGGATCTGGACGTCAAGTTCCTGGGAATGTTCTACAACTTTGAAATCTTCCACATGCGCGAGAAAGAGATCCCTGTGGACTCTGTGGAAATTCGCGAGCTAATTCTGGCCTTCGCTTGGGAGCCCATTGGCAATAAGTTCTCCATCATCCACGGCGAGCCGAACTCCTCAAACGTAAGCTTTTACGAGGTCAACAAGGGCGTGAAGCCCAGTTTAGTGAAGCGTCTGGAGAAGAAGTCCTGCACGCATCTGTTCTGGTCGCCTCGCGGTCAGTTTATCGTAATGGCTAACCTCACCATGGGCACCTTTGAGTTTGTGGACTCTACCAACGACTACATCATCAGTGCGTCACCTGATCATTTCCGCGCCTCCGAGGTCGAGTGGGATCCCACAGGACGCTATGTTGTTACTGGAGTTTCCTCTTGGAAGGTGAAGGAGGACACAGGTTTCAATATGTACACGTTCCAGGGCCGCATCATTAAGCGCACTATTCTTAAGAACTTCGTGCAGTTTTTGTGGCGCCCGCGCCCTCCCACTCTGCTGAGCGAGGAGAAGCAGAAGGAGATCAAGAAAAACTTGAAGAAGTACTACGCCGCCTTCGAACAAAAGGATCGTCTGCGCCTCACCCGTGCCTCCAAGGAGCTGCTCGAGAAGCGCTCCCAGCTGCGCGAGACCTTCATGGAGTACCGCAACAAGCGCATCGCCGAATGGGTGGAGCAGAAGAGTCGTCGCGTCATGCTGCGAGGGCGTAAGTATTTTGTAATGCCACAATTTATTTCATTTCCTAACTTAATTTTTTTTAACCAGATGTGGACACCGACAACTTGGAAACTGATGAAGTGGATGAAGAAATTGTTGAATTTTTAGTCAAGGAAGAAGTCACCCTGCTGGAGTAGACGACCCCCCAACACTATACAAACGCTGTCGTCCCCTGCCTATTCTGAAGCGATACTGTCGCCTCACATTTCGTGTCCGGGACGCGTCTACGCCCTGGTTGATGCCAGGGCCCTTATCAATTATTCAATCCAGTAGCGCGCGTCTGCTTGCAAACAACTCTAAGCGGAACCTTTGCCTATACATACAATATACGAATTATAAGCCGTAAAGTAAACTTCAACAAAATCAGAATTTGCTAATATAACATCTAATTAAATGACCTTTATTGAGCACACCCCTCCTTCCAGTATGCCTAAAAGTAGATTTGCAATGTATTTGTATGTAAACAGCAAAAAGAAAACGAAAACAAAATATGTTTGGGGTATGTTTTAATTATTTCACAGGCGATAGACGATAGGTGGCAGGTGAAACTCTAACCAAGTTAGTTGCTATTGACAACCGGAAAAAAAAAGACAAAGCAAGCCAAATATTGTTCGGTCCCGGATAAGGTTTTTTATTACAAAAATTATTATGAACGCTGCTTCACCCAAGAAGGCTGGAAAGAAGAAACGCAAGACCCATACCACTAGGGGTTATCGGAAACGGGAGCAGGAAGTACAAAAATTGATGAAGGAGACTAAAGGAAGCTTGGCGGGACAGGAAATCGACGTGGAGGCGCTTAGCTTGCAGTTCTTTCATGGAAACGAAGAGTGTAATGTGCCGCAGGAGGATTCGCCTGTGCAGGAAAGCGTTCGAGAAGAGAGCGATGATGATTCTGGCGAAGAACTGGCTGCTGAACCATCGGATTCTCCTTCCCAAACATTTATACAAATTGATCTGAACGATCCACCGCTGGTCTGGAATCAGCTTTTCAAGCAGCGACACTACTATGATGACAGTTTACTCTACCGAACGAGTAATACCCTACATTTTCAGTTGCACTTGAATGCCCCCAAGTTGAAGAACTCACAGATCCGCATGTTGAATCGCTACCAGGAACAGGCCAAAAGCGTATCAAGCAAATTGAGTTCTGATTTGATAGCTCAGCTGAGTGAAGGGAATCCGTCAAATTTTTTGATTGATAACAATCTATATCGGAGTGTTTGCCACAAGGAATTCCAGAGCATATTTTTCGATCCCATGTCTCCAAATGAATTTCAAGGCTTGCCCACCAGACGTTGCCTGAAACTGAGCCTGAAACAACTCCGCTTCAGTTTACATCCCCAACTTTTGGAGGAGCACCGACTAGCTCAACAGCTGGAGGATCTTTTTGATGTGTACAGTCATCAGAAGAAGCAGAAGATTTGTCGGAAACTAAGGGAGGAGTTGGAGATTGCGCGGCAGGTGGCACTAAAAATGCTTTCCACAGCTGGCCAGGATCAGACTGCAGAGGTGAAGCGGCAATTAAAACTGACACGGCAGTTAAGGCAACGGTACTACTCAGAATCGGCTGCCCAGCGTAATCTTCTACAGCGTCTGCTAAAGGAGTGGGCCAAGCTGAAAGAACTTCGTCGCCAACAGCGTTTCCAATGCACACGCTTCCAGCTTGGTCTTCGGGTGGTGCATCCTCCCGACTTGGAGGCCGCTTATTCATGCTGGAAGGAAAGCTTTGAAACGGATCTAGCCGAGGTTTACCGTGAGCATCTGGAGATTTTCTACACCCGACTGCGCTTGTGGACTGAGCAAAAATCCAAGAGCCGGACGTCGACATGTCAATCAAAGCCTCCACGGAAACCCCAATTTGAGCGGGTTATGGTCAGCCTGAAGAAGGACTATGATAGAGCCTTTAAGGACCCGGAAGAACCTTTAGTAGAGATTTTCCGCCTGCATGCCGATGAAGCAGCTGCCAGACTGTCTATTCCAGGGGGAGAGCAGCTGCCCAAATCACGAAACTACTTTCTCAAGATCTTCCTGGATGGTCAGTTTGTGGGCCAAAGCAGAAGCTATCGTCTGGAACCGGATTTGGAGATAAGCATCAACGAGTGTATTGGTGTGCTTCTAGAGAGGACACTGCCAGAGAACCTCAACATATGGGTGGGTATATGGTTTTCCATAATTAAACCACCATTAAATATTCACATATGTATATACATATGTACCTTCAGCTTTATGAAAAGTCAACATTGACCCCAAGGAGTCGCCGTCTGGCACAAATGAGTACACCGCTTTTGTTAAGTTTGGAGGATGAGGCTGTGCAGGAGAAACTCAGCTTTCAGACTTCATCCTCCAATCAGTTGGCAGGTGATGTTTATCTCTACTACGAGTACCGATCCACAGAAGGATGGGGAAGTTCCCTTAATCTAGACGATGTGCAGAGACTACCAGATGCGCTGCGTCAGACCTTGATCCCGCAGAAACTTGCCGCCTTGCCAGAAGCCTCGAAGGAGCTGGTGACTCCAAGACCACCCAGTGGCAGGAGCAAGAAAAGTGTATTACCGCCGCTTATCTTTGCGGAACAGCAGCTTCAATTCTGCGCTATAGAAGTGCTCCTAGAAAACAGACGGTTCCAGTTGCTCCACTCCCGTCATCAGCAAAAGAATATCCATACGAAACAGCTGCGTTTTGTGCCTGCTCTGGAGCAGGAAATTTCGGAGGAAGAGCCTCTGCCGGATGGTCGGGAAACTATTCAGCTACTGGAACCGGGCACATACTGGAACCCCATTGACCTGCACAAGCACCGCGGACGAAAGTTCCTGCAGCTGCTGTACGAGGTAATTAGCAGCCAGTGTGCCAGGAGGGCGAAAGCCTTGCAGACGCCTCTGCCGCTGCTTCTTCTGGCAGAGGACTCTGATCAGTCATCCGCCACTGGATGGACAACTCTTTGGCGGGCCTTCTGTTCCGTTTTCCAACGGCAACACGTGTCTCTGCCTAGAGAACCACCTGTTTGGTCTAGTCAGCAATCTGGTCCCGATCTATTCAAGCGCTTCAACGTTTCCCTCCATGTGGTAAGAGCCACTGGGGTTCCAGTAAGAAGTCGCCATATCCTGAATCTTAATGAGCGGCGGACTAGTACTGGAGGCGATATGAGCACCAGTTTGTTCGTCACACAAAGTGAGTAATGTTTGATAAGTACCTTTACTCATTTGATTGCAATTTTTTTTAATCTAAATAAAGAAAATAGCACGATACTATAGATTTTAACAACAAGTGAGTCAGGAATTATCAAAAACAATTAAAAATCTTTAAGATATTTTTGAATCTATAAGATAATATAAATTATATATAACCCTTTCCAGCCCTCATGTACTCCAATGTCCGACCCTTTGTGACATTGAGCTATGGACAGCGTTTGTGCCGCAGTCGCACCGCCGAGGGCAGTAATCCAACCTGGAACGAGCAACTGCAGCTGCAGATACACACTCAGTTCGGTGATCTTCGCGAGGATCTCAAGATCAGTTTGTTTGACGAATTAATAGAGCAGCAGTACAGTGATGAGGCATCCGATTTATACCAGAGGGTGCAGTGCAACTGGTTGGGAGAATTCCGGGTGCCCATCAATTGCCTCCTAGCCAGTCGGAAGGTCAGTAATTACTTTAAATAAATTATATAATATCTCTATAAATGTTATATCTCTAGTTTGAGGGCTGTATTGAGCTGACCATGCCCAAAGTTTTGGTGGGCTATAAAAGACCATTGATAGACTCCGTGACTAACATGTCCACGGATCAATATCCGGAATTCAAGGAAGCAGTTCATCTGTGGTTCTATCTGGGTATCGAACCTACTAGTGGAGACTTAGTACCATTACATTCGAGTGCATTGGCCTGTGCAGAGAAGCCAGAGATGCAACATTATCTCAGCGAAAAAAGGTTGGAACTTCTGCAACTTTTGCCCCAGCCACAGCGATACGTGGAACCTCTGGTGTGCACCGCTCAAGGTAAAAGGGTCTGCATCACGAGACTCTTGGATGCCGTACCCCTTCCTCCATCGGTGGCCAGTGGGGAGAGCCCCTTGGACAGCTCATGTCGCTTTGTTTCCCTTCTAAGCCAGTTTCGCAGCTACGATCCCTGCCAGGGATTCCGAGGCGTTTGGTTGGATAATCAGACACTTTTGGACAGCACTTGGTGTTCGGTCAAGGATCTTGGAGTCCTGCTCTGTAATTATTTGCTATCTTTGGGGTTAGAATGTTGGCTTATTTTAGGAGTATCCTGTCCCCATGGCGAGTGCTCCTTTGTGCTCTTTCGACAGCCGGAAACTTCCGAGCTTTTCCTTGTATCACCTTCAAGTGGTAAAAGATATCAACTGCAGGATGTGTACTGTCCACTGAGACGTGTATTTTGTGTGGTAGGAAAGCAGAATGTGAGTAAAGGAATATGACACGTTGCAAAATTACCTATTAATCCTCATTATTATGCAGATATATTTTAATATTCAATCGGAAACACGTGTCAGCATGACAAATTTCAATCTTCAAGATGGTGCCTGCTGGTTTCCACTCTTTAGCCGACGAGTCCCTGCCCCTCACAGTGGCGTCCAGAAGTTGGACTACATGTACAAGAGGAGCTACGACCTCAGCCAACTTCAGAAGAATATTGAACGTAAGATTATGAAGAAGATTAGTGCCTGGCGCACGACCAGGAAAACCATATGGAATCGGTGGGTATTTCCTTCAATTAATTTTACATAACTAACTTCTTCTTCCGCAGAGGCTTTCAACCACGTTTGCAGAAGATTCTCAGCGACATGGAAAACCTATCCACTTTTTCCAGAGGACGATATGATGAGCCAATTTTCAGCGAACAACTGGAAAGAGAGTTTCCTAACTACAGAGTAAGCCAAATGTTTATGATATATCCTGTCAAAATTTGTGATTCCATCAAAAACTTTAAAATCTTTTGGTAATATTGAGAATGGGAAGGTCAAATTGTAGTCAACTTAGAATTTTCCACTGGTAGCAATTCGCCCGGTGGATTTATCAGTGGTTCGTCACAAACAGACCCCTGCCCTACCCTACCCCACTCATCAATCACTATCGTAATCGATCACTAACCCTGTTTGTCCCCAGCTCTACGGGTTCACCCTCAACTTTGCGTATACCAATCTGGCGACGATATCGGAGCGCATCCGAACCACCTGCATCCATTATAACCACGACGCTTTTGTTGAGTTTTGCGTTGCTGTGCATCTTCACGCGCACGCCAATGACGTGCTATCCGTTTGGCTGTTCCTGCTCTCTATCGTGCCACTAGTAGTGTGATTCACATCCCGCAAATCGACACTTTCAAATGCCATAGGCAATCCCCCTTCCATGAGGGATTTATTATCAGTTCAGGTTACAAGTGCAAGCGTAGCCGCATGGACTGATTTTTATCGCAACGCCCAACTGTTGAACGAAAGAGGCCGGAATGAAATCTATTTAATTTGGTTTACAGCCCGAAAAATGTATATACATATATGTATGTATTTATAGAAAATAAAGCGTGTAGTTGTACGGAATGATAAGGCTCTGACGGGGACAGAGGTACCAGGTGGCGCACCTGGTGCGGGGTTAGTTGGCCGCGCACCCTGAAACCGTCAACATCGCCTGACATCAATTTCACAAGCCCATGTCCAAAAATATGTACCAAAAGTTGACAGAAGATTATGCGAAAATTAAACGCTACGTGAAATGGCTGTACGTTCTCTACGAACTGAACACGCAGATCGCCATCTGCGAACCCTGGGAAAAGGTGTTCCTAAGTAAGTACTCCTTACGGCCCGTGCCCTCAGAAAATGAAGATTAGCCCATCGCACCATACGTATCTACAAAGTATCAGCTTTGGCACGATATATTGTCTTTACTCATCGATATCTTATCTATGCCGGTCAGTTGGTCTTAGTAATGGAACAGTCGGCGAACACCCGCCCTGCTAATGGATTGCTATGTCTTACCAAGTTTTTTTTTTCTTTTTTAGATGTCCTTCTAGGCAGTTGCGTTTCCCTTATCCTCTACGCATCCTATGCCTTCGTCCCGGGCTATTGTGTCACTGTCTTTCAACTCTTATGGCCTCTGAATAGCATGGAAAATCTCACCACCGTTTGCAATACCAATATTGACGGCTTTTGTGGCAACGAAAGCGGATCAGTAATAACATAATCTTAGTGTAGCTTATCTTAAGCAATAAATAATTTTTAACGTAACAACCATGACGTTTAATCCGAGTGATTTAACGGGTATCTTTTTGAATGCGGACAGAGCTGCCAGGTCAAAAAGCTAGACCAGACAATAACCTGGTTAGAGTATTTGCTAACGATTACCTAAATAGTCAGTAGTCAGTTCTAGATATATCGATTTTATCGAATAAACCCACATTTTCTAGCTTGTTTGTTTGTGTTTGGTGGTTTCTCTAGTTAAATTTATATTTTAACCATGTCGAATGATAAACGCACCGTTTATGTCGGCGGGCTAGCGGATGAGGTCACAGAAAGACTGCTCAACAATGCCTTCATACCCTTTGGGGATATCGCCGATATCCAAATGCCTGCGGACTACGAATCACAACGCCACCGGGGATTTGCCTTTATAGAATACGAACAGAGCGAGGATGCAGCGGCTGCTATAGATAACATGGTAAGTTGGTAGTGTGAAAATATACAGATATATTACTACATATCTTATAATTTACAGAACGACTCCGAGCTCTGTGGACGAACAATCCGCGTGAATTTGGCTAAGCCGGTGCGTGTTAAGGAGGACAGTTTCAAGCCTGTTTGGGCCGATGACGACTGGTTACAGAAGCATGCGGGCGCCACATTGCAGCCGGAAGGCGACCCGGAGACGGAGAAAGTTGAAACCCCTTCCACGGGCCCGGCAGTCATCGAAAAAGCAGAGAAGCGCAATCCACAAGTGTTCTTTGACGTCAGAATTGGCGGCAACGATGCCGGTCGAATCGTGATGCTCCTCAGAGCAGATGTGGTACCTAAAACGGCTGAAAATTTTCGGCAGCTGTGCACCCACGAGCAGGGATACGGATACAAGGGGTGTTCTTTCCACCGAGTAATTCCAGAGTTTGTAAGTATATAATCAAAAACCTGGCTTCGGCTATAAAATCAATATCTTCTGATAGATGTGTCAAGGAGGCGACTTTACCAATAATAACGGCACTGGCGGCAAGTCCATCTATGGCAAGAAGTTCAACGATGAAAATTTCAGCCTGAAACACAATAGTTTTGGCACTCTTTCCATGGCCAACTCTGGAGCCAATACAAATGGTTCACAGTTCTTTATCTGCACTACAAAGTAAGGTTTCTAACTCAATCCATTATAACCACAAATCAGGATAACCGTTTTTTTCTTTAATCAACAGAACCGATTGGTTAGACAACAAGCATGTGGTCTTTGGTCATGTCATCAGTGGTGCCGAAGTGGTACGTAAAATGGAGCGCTGTGGGACGAAGTCAGGCACTCCCAATCAAAAGATTGTCATATACGCGTGCGGAGAACTCAAATAAAAAAATTGTTTCCAACTAGTTTACTCTTCAACGTTCTCTTTTATTGAAAAATCCACTAAGTCATAGGTAAAGGATGCAGGATAATCCTACTGGAAGTAGGTCCTGGGCTTCCTGAACGAGAACAGCTTCCTGTTGCCCTTGTGGTGGACACGCTGTACCAGTGGGAACTTGATCTTGGAGTCGTGGAACTGCTTGACGTGTACACGACGCGTCTTAGCGGCAGGGATCGAATCCACCTTGATAATCTGGATGGAGTGTGCACGGGCACGGTGGCGGGCACCCATATCGCGATAGCACTGAGTGACAGCACCGCCGACGGTCAGATCACGGTACTCGCGGTACATGTTGTGGGTGCCGGAACGGGAATCGTAGCGCAGCCAGATTCCGAAGTTCTTGATCTTAATCGGCGAAGTCTCGTACACCTGCTTGATGGACACGATCTCGCCGGTGGTCTTCTTGAACTTCTTCAATTGCCGCAGGAAGTACCAGAAGCGGGATTTGGCCACGATGTTGTCTGGAGCAAAGATACGCATCTTGTAGAGCGGCGTCTGGGGCTCCTTCTCGCTGGGCAGCTTGCGGCCCACGACCTCGTACTCCTTCAACTGCAAATAATTTTAGTTTTATTAAAAAAGGTCTAAAAACATTGTAAACAAATGTGGGCACACAAACACACGCATGGCTGTTGTCTTTTCTAGGTTATGTTTTCAGCGGTGCAAAGCAGTTAAACATTTAGTTTATAAATGCTTTAGGAAGGTTTAAGAAAGCTTAAACCCCTTTTTGAAGTTTTTACAGCATATTCATTTTACATTAGACACGCCATTAACGTCAAATTTAAAATAAATATTGGTTGACTGTCTGAATCTACTACACTTTTTGCTTTTTGTACTTTTTAAAACAGAATCTGCGTAGTTTTTCGAAATCCAACGACTTCATTGCATGAGCTACATGTTTGCCTGGCTGTTGCACACATTTTTAACGGAGATAATGATTGTTTAAATCATTTTTTTGTGAAATACTAACCAATCCCTTGGCTCTCATGTTGGACGTTCACGCGAAAAGGAAACGGAAAGAGCTTGTCAAATCGGGATGACACTTGACCACGATTCAGGGATGGCTAAAACTATCGATAGAATTACGTCGAAATTGGTAATGAATGAAATCACGCAATCAAGATAAAGTATAAGTATTTCAATAACATTTAAAACAGCATATTGATAATTAAAATATTAAATTTCTACAGATAATTTATGATGTTCAGAGGTTTCGTCAGTACTGGCCGTTTATCGATATGCTTACACTGAACCGCTACAAACCACGCAGCAATGCCATCCGCAGGGTTGCATTTTTGGCAGTCACACCAGCTCAATGCGCGATATGCCGAATCATCGTCCATCACTAGCTTCTGCGCGTGTTTCATGGCTGTAAAACGGCGAAAAATATTGCTAAAAACTTGCTTTTCACCCGTAATTCGAGCACACACAGCGCCCAAATTGTTTAATACCCCATCCGCAAACAATACTTAAAGTGTTGCAACAAAGATACAGTGGATTAGTGCGCGTTCGAAGTGAGCAGAATATAAAATGCAAAGTGTGTGCGACGACGTGCAAAAAGAAGAAAATTTTATACCCCGCACAAGAGACGCGCAAAAAGGCGAAAAGGCTAGACGACCATTTCGTTTTCTTGGTCGGGACTAATGATAAAAAACAACATTGCGTGCAATTGTGAAATCCCCTTGCATAACGCATACGAGTCCTGGGCGTTTATAAACAATTGAAACCAGGCGTAAATTGTATAAGTACGCCGAGGGGTGGGGGCGCCCGTCTCGTCTCGTCTCGGCCAATCCAAACCAATCCGCTGGGCAAAATCTCTCGGCTCCTCGGTTTCGGTCTCTTTTTGGTTCAGTTGTGCAGCGAACTTCCGTGAAATCGGTTGTTGTTTTAGCTACGTTCTCTCTTTGCGGTTTGCGCGCGTAAAATTCGTCGCCCTCTATCTCTCTCTTGTTGTTTCTGCTCTCTCGTTTCTCTCTCTGATTCTGCCGCCTACAATTTGTGGGAAAATTCTACCTAAGCAGGGGTACAGCAACAACAATAATACGCTGAGCAGAAACAGCAACCAGAACAACGACAACAACACTATAAAGCAGAAGAAGAGCAGGTAAATAAACGTGCATACTTGCTGTACATTTGATTGTAGTGTCCATTCCAAGAATATTTCAAGTAAATTTCGTTTATTTTTAGCAGTAAGTTGCTCTCTTTATTTTGCCGTTTTGATACCATTTATTTTGGTATTTTCAATTATTTTGGGTTTACTTTTTGTGCCAGGGCTACGAAAACATCCGATGACCGGTAGTTTTCATGCATCAAACCTATTCTTTTATGCAGTGAATAATTTACTGATCAAATGCAAGGAATATCGTATATACCACCGTATAAACGATTGACTTTGTTGTCAAAATGCCAAACGAAATGTCTCACGTAATAATAAATTCATTTCATTTCGCTTTCAGCTGCGTAGAGAACAACGAAAAACGTAAAATAAAGAGAGAGCGAGAACCGGAACGGATTCAACGCAAACGGCATGCAAAGGTAATAAATATAATAATTTTTAGCCCAAAGTGCGTTTAATCGATTAATGCTTTGTCTGTTTTCCCCTTTTTTTTGTTTTTGGTTGACAGCGTGTGAATGCAGAAAATATGATGGAAGCATTGGATCAGCAACAAGCCAAGCTATCGTCTAATCGTGTTGATGGAGAAGCGGGAACAGGATCGGAAACGGGAACAGGAGGAGGAGGAGGAGTTGCCGGTGAGGAAGACGACTTCGAGGAACTTCATCTTGCGCTGGGCTTGGCAGAGGAGAAAAGCGAGACCCAGCAGGGGGAGAACAACAACGCCCAAGAAAAAGGCGAGGGAAAGCGGAAAAAGAGCAAAGATGACGTGATAGACTTAACCCTGGCAAATGGCCAGGATTGCCAAGACACGCCAGAGGAGGCAGACACAGAGCCAGTAGAGGAATCTCCTATCTATGCAAGAGAAGACACTAACACATCAGAGAAAGAAGCATTTCTCTTGGTTCCAGCAGTTTCTCCTCCTAACGTAGACCTTGTGAAGCGAGAGCTGGTCGAAGATGACCCAGAAGAGCTCCAAGAACGGTCAGGAATCCCAATTGATGTTAATTTTTTCGATAATATCAAACTGAAAACGGAAGTCGATGATAAAGCCGATTCCTTAAGTGATAACGAAATGGAGTTCTTATCAGACATAGAAGAGCAGCCTGTAGAATCTCCAGAGGCAAAACATGTGTCATCTGCCACAGAGACGGCAGATCGTTTTATGCCAAAGGAGGAAGTAGAAGAAAAGTATTTCCCCTCTGCCAATGAAGACTCTGAAAGTGAGAACGAGGAAAAAGTGTATACTCCGCCAGTTATTGATCTTGAAACGGACTCTGAAAGTGGTGAAAAAGAGTTTTTATCCATTAAAGATCATAAAAGTCCTGTTTTTGAAAATAACGAAGTGAAGGCGGAGTCTGAGTCCCCAAAAGATCTTTATAAAGATGCAGTTAGTGAGGATATTCCAACAACTGAGCCAGAAGTGGATGAAACTCCATTGCAACTTGCCGCTGACTTCCCTTTAGAGGAATCCGATACTGTGGATTCTCCTTCGTTGACAATGGATGTGGATCTTCCAAGCAGCGAATATGGAGATGCTCCCCCTAACATCATTAAAATTGAGTCGGATTCAGAAGATGAAGTAGTGAGCAGTGATAGTATCAAGTTAAAGGAACATAATGTAGAAATCGTCCCACTGATCAAACTAAACGGGGCTCATGAATCTTTAAAGGAAGAAAAACTGGAGGAAGAGGGGAAAGTTGAGCACGATAATGAACCAGAAGAGCCCAAGCAAATGTCTGTGATAAGAAACCACACTGGCGACAATACAAACGTGGAGAACACTACCGCTTCCCAAGAGCCGCCGCTTTCCCTGATCCTACCCCTTCGTACGAGCCGCAGTAGGAGCACAAGCAGCAGGAGTAGCACCGTGAGCTCTGCTTCGCAGCCCCAGCTGGTTATAGATCATCCGGAGAGCGAGCACAACGCCAGGGTGCAGACGATTAAGCTTTCCCAGAAGCGCAGGCGCAGCGAAAGTTCCTCCGTGAGCCAATCAGAGAAGCAAGCAAAGGTAGAAGGAGACGGATCTTCGCTGCTTTTGCAACGCCTCCAGGGGAATCCCAATGTTGGCCCATCCGTTGCCCCAGTAAAGAGTCAATTCCTAAGTTGTGCAAAGTGCAATCTGCAGTTTGAGTTCGAAAGCTTCCAGCAGTTAAACGAGCACCAGGCCCAGTGCACCGGTATAAGGAGCGTGAGCATAGGCAGTTCCCAGCTGCTACAGAAGAAGGAACGCTTTTTCCGATGCGCTCAGTGCAGTAGCGTGCATCAGTGCTGGCACTTTTTCCTCCATATGCGAGAAGTTCACCAGCGCTACATTTGTCTGTTTTGTAACCACGTGTACCCCAGCGTAGAAAAGCTTTCGTTGCATTTGGAGAACAAGCACGACATTGACCAAAGCCACTTTGCCAAGGATGCGTGGGCATTGAATCAGAAAACGGAGGATAGGGCGAGACATCTCGTCTGTTGCACGTGCCAAGCCACCTTTGTGCAGGGCTCTGAGTTTGAGGATCACGATTGCTCTCAGCTGATGCAGCCGTGTGCTTTGTGCAGTCAAAAGGGATGCCATGCCATAGGATGTAAGAATAACAAACGGAAACCGGTAAAAAAGCGGAGAAAGGCGCGTAAGCCGCCGGAATTGTCAGTGCCGCCTGTGCAACCGGTGCTACCTGTTCCACCTGTGCTGCATTTGCTACCTGTGCCAGCTGCCCAGGAAGTGGTTGACCCAACAATGGAGGTTATACCGGAGCAGCCACAGTTGCAGGTCCAACCTGAACCGCAAATCCTTCTTCCAGCAGAAAACAGTAAGTTAAAGTAATGCATTCATATTAAATGAATATTAGTAAATTGCTTTTTTAGTTCCAGCGCCTGAGCCTATAGAAGAACCTCCAGCGCCTCCCATTCCCAAGTTGGTTGTGCCCAAAATAATGTTGCGGGTGCCCAAAGAATTTCAGAAATCTGTTGATGCAGCTCTAAGTAGCACGGATACGGAGGATGAGGAATTAGAAACGACGCAGCCAGTGGAAGAAGTCGCGACTGCACCTCCTGAGGAGTTACCATTTGAGGCGCCGCCTCCTCCACCACCAGCGCTTAGCTTTGATGACTCGACTTCGTCAAAGCTAAATCGCGTTCTTGCTGAATTGGAACGCACCAAGCTAGATATTGAACGAACCAAGGCGGATATAATAACTAAAAAGCAGTCCAAGATTATCATGGCTCATGCAATGGTAGAAAATGTTGCGCCTCAGTTGATAGATCATCCACAACAGCTACAGCCACAACCGGAGGAGCAGCGTCGATGGTCGCTCACGCCACCTGCGTCACCTCACAATAATCATGTCAACCTGCCTGAACCTCCGCCAGATGTTATTACTGAATTTCAAGATCAGCCTGATGCAGTGCGTCGCAACAGCCTTGGAAGTGATTGCATGGACATAGATGATAGCTTAAATGGACCAGAGATGGAGGACAGTAGAGATGATCACCCAGACGATCAGCAAAGAACTGTAGAAGCTGAACAACCTTTACAAGAAAGTCGGCATGATTCTGAACAAATTATCATGCAGCCACTTCCCCCTGCCGATGGCATTATGGTGGCTGCTGCTGACACACCCACGGTGGATCTGCAATTGGATCGTCCTCTTGATAAATTTCCGATGGTTGATTTTATTCGTCTGTGTTTGAAATCTGTGTATTCAGAGTGTCTATATTGCAATCATGCTCGAAGGATAGCTGTTAACGGAAAGCAGCTAGTGCTACATTTAATCAGGAAGCATAGATTTACGGCTACAGTGGACAGCATCACAGCAGAGGAGTTGCACGCAGAGACGATTGTGGCAAGGCTAAAAAGCTTTCTTCCGCACCTAGAGAACGAGTATATGAATGCAGCAAGTTTTTGCAGTTTGGAAAATGGTAAATATGTGGAGCCGTTCAACGAGCGAATCTACGAGTGCTTTACCTGTCGCTTTGTGACCTCCACACACAAGGAGCTGTACACTCATAATAGGAGGATGCACATTAAGTCGAACATAACGTGTACTATGTGCCAGACGAACTTTTACAGCTACAGCGAGATTCTGTGTCACATTTGTCCGGGAGAAGTGGCCGGTAGTGTATATGACTTGCAGTTCCGGTGCTGCCTGTGTGAGATGGCTCCATTGCCATCGGCCTTTAGGTTGATGGTGCATCTTAGGAAACAGCATCAGGCATGTGACATCTGTCTGGAGGATTGCCAAAGCCAAGCGAAGCTGTCTTCGCATGTGTGGAAGCACAAGCTACTGCATTTGTGTTATCGCTGTGGTATCGCCTATCGTAACAAGCAAGACATCTCAAAGCATTTGTTCTGGAAGCACGGGACAGAGAGTGCAAGCTGCAAGCAATGTCAACAGAAGCGCTGGCGCCATGTCTACCACTTTTGTGTGCCACCCGGCCAGTTTCCATGTGAGCAGTGTGGCTTCATCTTCAGCAAGGCCATTTACCTGGAAGTGCACCAAAGGATGCATTCAGGAGATTTCCGCTATGCATGTACGGAGGAGGGCTGCGAAGAAAAGTTTGTGTCACGCAAGCTTTTGCTGAAGCACGCCAGCAATCATGTGATAAAGGAACTACTCCCAGCACCTTCACAGGAGCCAGCGAATGATACTATTACCCCTGAAAATCTAGAGGAGATCAAACAGGAAGTGAATGAGGAGGAGGAAACAAAAAATAGAAATCAAAATGGAGAAAAATTGTTGTCTGAATCGGAAAACAATACAGAGTCTACAAAGAAAGAAGAATCTGATAACAAGGAGTCTATTAAGGAACAGACAGGAAGTAAATCTGAGAGTCGCAAGCGGCGCAAAAAGTCCAAGCGCAACAAGGAATCCTTAGAGGATCTTAATCTCATCGCACCCAATCTGTCGGAGTCGGATAGCAGTGATGACAGCGATTCAGATGCAGCGAGAAGCAGCCACCAGGAGCAGCCTGTGCTGCCAATGCGATCCTCTGTGGATGATTTGGATATGCCCAAGGTGATGTTGTCACCATCCTCGGAAAGTGATGCCGACGACCTAGAAGGCAAACCTAAACTGGAGAAAAAGGAAAAATCTTTAGAGGCCACTAGTGAAGAAAAGGAGCTTGATGCGAGCAAAGCCGACGAGGAATCGGATCCCAAAAAGGATGTAGAGCAAGTAGATGTATCGATTTGGAAAAACCTACTCCAAAATCAGTCGATAAATCCGGAAGATCAAGCAGTTAAGGAGGAGAAAAGTGTGGACGACCAGCCGCCTGCTAAGCTTCATGTTGCCTGGTCCGATCACGATTACTGCAAGTTGCACCGCACTCCACCACCATCGCCTGTAAAACCAAAATCCATCACCAAGTCATTAACCAAAACGCCTGGTCAGAATGCCTCTAGCGATAGCGACAGTTCCAGCAGTTCCAGCTCCTCAGATTCAGATTCTTCTAGTTGTTCCTGTGGCTCTAACTGCAGCTGTAGTTCCAGCAACAGTAGTAGTTCTAGCGATGACTCTGACGACTCAGATAGCTCCAATGCTCGAGGATCGCCGCAGAAACGTGCTCGCAAGAAATCTCTAAAGCTTAAGAAGAGTTCAGAGTCACTCAAAAACGGACAGCAAAATGATCAAAATTTGGAGGAGGACGTTAATGTGACTGCCGTAAATGAGAATAATATTACCGCTTCTCCGCCTTCGCCAAAACCACCCATGTACAATGAGTCGGATTTCGATACAGCTTTCTCGGATACAGATGAAGAGTTCTATGACTCCCATCCGCAAAAACTGGCTAATGAACTATTGGCACAAAAGCGCGAAGCTCTCATGGCAGAGCATGCTCCACTGCGTCCTAGCAACAATTACGATATTGTGGAGAACAGTCGACCTTCAACTCCTTCTCTTCCGGAGGAGGCATCTGCTTTTGCGGACAAACGGGAGAGGGTGAGAAACAAGAAAAAGAAGCGGGAACGAAAGTCTACGTGTAAGTCTGGCAAGTTGCCACCGATGGCTAGTACACCCCTACCAACTGAAAGGTTACCCGGAATGGCTGCAATGTCTGGAATAATACCCCCCCTGGAGCCACCTACCCCTATACCTTCTCACCAAGAATCTTCTCTATTTCCGGTTACTCCATTAACCCATCGCCATTTGCAGTCTTCGTTGACTAGAATGAGTGAGGGAAGTAGCTGCTCCGACGCCGATGGCCAACTAAAGCGCTCAAAACGGCAGCGAAGACCCAATAAGTTTTATGGTTATACAAGTGATGATGAAAACATGAGCACCATTCTTGCGCCACCGCTTCAGGTGGGAATGCAACTCATTAAACCGCAGCCACCACCACAGTTGACCTGGGCTAAGGAGGATCTGCCCACACCGCCAAAACAGCGCAATAGAAATAACAACAATAATAGTCACCACCATCATTCGCATAGCAATGGTGGAACATCATTGTCAGGATCATCGCGAAAGAGGAGTAAGCAGCGATCGCTGTTGGGTGCAGGTGGGTCTCGCTCAGCAAAGCGCCACAAGCCCGACCGAGAGGATCACTTGCCACCTATTCCGACTTTAAAGATCCGGCCTAGCCTGTTGCCTACCACTGCTCCGCCGACGGATAGCAGCGACAGCAGTTCAGATGAAGAGGATACGGAAGTAAATGTGACCAGTTTGGTAGCTACACCACAACCCGCACCTCCTCCTGTTCTGCCACCACCTCTGTCGGTGGCCTTGCCAGTTCAACCACCACCACCACCGCCGCCTGCGGCCACTGCTTTCAATCAGCCTATTCCACCTGCCCTGCTGCCTAATCCTGGATTCGCTACGCTGCAGTACTTTAAGGCCAACAACATTCGATACCCCATTCGTCCGCCGGCGGGAGCACGTCTCGCTCGCGAAGGGGAATCCGTTTACTGTTACTGTCGCTGTCCGTACGACGAGGTCTCCGAGATGATAGCATGCGACGGTGACAATTGTCTGATCGAGTGGTTCCACTTTGAGTGCGTTGGTATTATGGTGGCGCCGCAGGGCAAGTGGTTCTGCGCCGAGTGCAGACCGAAGTACTCGGAGGGCATCTATCAGGGCGCTAAGGCCTGAAAGGGAACGGCTTAACTGCATCATTGGTTCCTCCTACCACAAACGGAAATCAACTAACTACAAACCCCACTACAGAATGGATTACGCTTATTAATTAATAAAAAATGTAGTTGCTTATTCTTGGCGATCGGCTTAGAAGGAGATATATATAACTTATCTGAACTACTATAAAAAAAACCATATAAAACTTTTAGAGTAATAAAGAAACATATTTGTAAAAATTGAGGGCAGAATGTAACCCTAGGCTCAAAGTAGCTCTCAGGTGAGAGCTTAAGCTAGGCTAATGATAATATAAATATCTGCAACAAGCTTATCAATTATAAATATATTTCTATATTCAATTAAATTTTATGTAAATATCGATGGTTGCATATTTCGTATGCACTTTGTAAAATATTTAGATTACGCGAGAGATACCATAAACACTTAGGAAATAGGGTATACACTTATAAATAGCAGTCCCCAAGTATAGTATATAACTAAATCTACATATATATACATGTAATGACTATGATTAGAACACAAACAAATCGAAAGCCAGCTGCAAATCGGAATGCAATGGATTATGAGAAAATAAACATGCAACATTGTGAGACGTATACAACAAAAACTATCAAAACTAATTGTCCTAATTTGTTTGGTAGCTCCACAGAGGGCTAATATTGGTTCATCAATTTATATGGTAATCAACAAATCATTCGGATATATAATTGGTTGTTCTAAAACGGGAAAGGGATAAGTGGGTGAGGCTTATTAAATTGTATATTAATGAAGGTCAGTTGGGTAATGTAATTAATTTTTAAAGAAGTTCAATTTTTGATTACAAACTTGAAATAGGTTGACGCATATAAGAAATCGAAGAATTCTTTGGAATCTGAAACAATAACTCTTCCTCAAGCATTTTGGCTTCAGGGAATTCCCCTAATATATCCGAATACTTGTAAAACCACCCGCCCGAACCCTGGGTTTAATATCCTAGAAAAGAATTCGACATTCCCGGCTCTGATTATGCCAAAGTAAATGCAAATAAGCCACAAGGCGACTAATGTTGTTGTAGTTGCGCACGATGAATGGACACGAAAGGCGCCAGGGTCAGCAGTGGGGTTATCCACCAGCCACCTATCCATTCAAAGCCCTTTCACATTCGAGGGAGTTTCGGTTTGTTTACCAAACAGCACGTAGATTTAATTGCTATTATGGGAAGGAGTCGCCGCACCAGCGAGTGGCTTTGGCGAGTGGAAGCAACAACCACAACAAAGTTCAATTACAGGTGGTGCCGGGGGAGTTTCCCAGGTTGACTGGATGGGTTGGTTGGGTAGTGTCCAGTGCCTACTGGCGACCAGTGGTGTGCGTGCGTTGAAATTACCATAAATCTGATGGCTCGAATAAAAAAGGCTGCTCTGGTGAACTTGGCCAGCCAGTTCGTGTTGAGTTTTCGCGGCGAGCGGTTAACCGGAAACGCGGACAGCCAGAGAACGGAATTTTGAATATTAGCCAACTTGCGTGTCCGTAGTGCCATGTTAACGGGACATCGAAGCGCTGAGCAAACGAACGCCCCCTTGTCCTGCTCCTGCCTAGCCGGTGGCATCTAGGTGACCATGGTTCGTCGAGCCTCAAGTGTTCCGCATCTGAACAGTAGTGGCGGTAGTAGTGCGGATAGCGCTGGAACGTCGGGTAGTCGGCGTGGTAGGGCGCCCGTTGCCGGTTCTCGGGGCCGAAAGACGCCATCGTCCATGTCCAACGGACAAAATCAGCGCCAGAGCTCCGGGAGCAGCAGCAGCGTTCCCCGATCTCGAAGTCTGACCAACGGCATGCGTCGCCTTAGCCCGCAAAAGGGAACTGGAAGTAGCGGGGGCGGAGGAGGCGGTAGTTCCCGGAATACGCCGTATTTCCTCCGTTCACGCGAGAATGAGTAAGTGTGGGATAAGGATTGCGATGCTTCCCACCGTAATCAATAGGCGATAAGTTGTGGACAGTGGATACCAATAATATTAACCTCACGCATTGCAAAGCTTCAATTTAATCAATCTAAGATCGTTTCAATATTCACAACTGCAGCTTGAAATTAGTAACAATTTTTCAAAAATAAAGATACAAAATCATTTTAATAAGAAGATTTCGAACAAACAAAAGCTCAAATTAGTCGAATCTAAATTTCCCGAGCTTCATATTTTTGGAATTTTACTACTAGTCCTACAGAGAATTTTCTTTTTCGACTACTGTACTTATATTTTTGGAATTTAAATAGTGATAGAAGCTTCTTTGTAAAACCTTGGGAAAGTCGTAATATTGACCATTATTTATTAAAAGTGTCTATATGGGGGGTACCGAGAAAATGTATTAATTTGCATCAGAAACGTGTGGCAGGGCGGAAAACGTAAGTGGAGACGGAGGAGTGGTAATGATAACACGACAGGCCAGGGCAGCAGCTCACCCCTAACAGGCGATCCATTAAAAACCCTCGAGGCGAAGGTAAGAACGGAAAGCCACAAGCCAAACCATAATGACCACGCACAATAATCCAAGAGACAACAGGCAGGGCGACTGACGGCCGGACAGCCGGACAGGCAATCAAGCGGGCAGACAAACGGACGAGCAGTTAGCCAGACTGACCGGCCTCCATTTAAACACTTTGTGAAACAGAACCGGAGGAAAGTATCGGCAGAGATCTGGGGGTTGAGCACCGCTCCGCTCCGAACGAGCACGACACAAATCGATTTTGCAATTAAAGCATATTGAAGTCTATAGCTTTGTATATGTATGTCCGTGTATGACCGGAGTCGAGAGCGAAAGTGACATATTTATGTTAGTTTTTATTTTCGATGTGGGTTCAGGTGTAGCAGACACAATGAAGTTAAGGTTAAGGACCCCAGTTCCTTAGCTCGCTAGCAAGTGGGTTAAGTGCTAGTTTGTGACTTGCCTCGGCTTCGGACGGACCATTAATAATTTAGAGAATAAAAGGTGATTGGTGGGTAAAAAGAAAGAAAGTTTGAATCAAGCCTGAGTTCATCCTAATTATCCTCTGGATAATATGAAATACCTTCTATTCGAATGCTCCATTTTGGTTAATAGTGTTTTGAGATATTGTGAATATTCATTTGTATAAACAAGGCCACAATTGACACCTATGTTACTTGGTAATTTAATGAAATGCCTGGATATACGGAGCGTGAATTTATTATATAGATACAATATGATTAATCCCCTCAGACTAACGGCATTATGGGCGTTATAATTATTTTGGAGCACGAATGTGTTTCAGTCTTTTGATTAATTAATGCGTTGATAGCCATATGATTGACGACACACTTTGGAATCAGTAGTTCCTAGTCATTTATAAACATTTATATTCATATTTCAACTATAGGAAGTCCGAAATTGTTCGTACCTTAGCTAAATATTCATCAATGGCCAAACCGAAAGTGAATTCGCGTGCGTAATCGCAAGCTTGCAGTTTAAAAATCCATATGAACTATATAGTGTTCATATTCATATAGATTTTCTAGCATGCACAACACGAGTTAGGTCATAACTACGCCCCTGCAGATAATCAAGCCTGACATTTCGTTGCCTAAACTTTGCATGGCTATTAAATGTCTCCTAGTAGGTTCGGGTTCGGTTCTGGTTCCCTCAGATTCGTAATCGGATTCCATGCCTGGACAATAAAAGTGAGAGTTCTATTTTCTCACTCGCTACACTACTTTATTTGATTCGCAAACAGTTGGCCCAGAAAAACCCATATTTTTATTGCTCATTGGTCTCTCGTTGTTTTTAAGTCAATGCTGGGCAAATATCTAATATTTGTTCTAAGTAAATATCAACATTACTTACAAGTAAGCTTTCATTGGCTCAGGTATACAAATATGTTAAGGGCCAAACAAATATGGATTAATTTTCGAAAAGAAAACTTTTAACACAATTTACCGACTTTTAAAAACACAATGATTATAATGTCAACTAGTCTTGATTTATATAATCATGTGAAAGTGATGAAAACGATTCCTGCGTTTTAAAGAACATTTTAAGAAAAAATCAAAACTTTCGCTTTTAGCTACACCTTTTTAGGGGTTATATTGGCCAATCAATTATTTAGGATCGACTGGGGCTGACCAAAAGTTGATTGAACTCTCCTAAGCATTAGCTTCTCAAGTCGCCACTCTGGGGCTTTCGTGTTAATTCCTTTCTATTGGCGCCTTCTAAAATATTTACCAAGAGCACACAGAAGGCCCAACTCATGTCTGATTAATAAAGGTAAAGTGAAGTATGGCCATTAGGGCATGAATGTTTAACAAGTCATTTACGTGAAAATGTTAAATGTCAGCTGTGTGCCACATACAATCACGCCAAGATGCCACATAGCATATACGCCGCGTTGTCCGGCCTATTTGCAGTTCAATAAACTGTTTGTATTGGAAACTTTGTTCGGTTTGTATTGGATACCATAAAATTAGATGGATAATTGTTGGGTTAGCGCACAACTGAAACAAAAACTTGTGGAAAATCTTAATCAATAATTTACGGCTTGGTAATTTACATACATAATTCCATAAGGTAGTAAAAAAATTCCTACGAAGCGAATTTGTTAATCCAATTGAAATGTGACTTCTGACTCCCACTCAACTAAACTAATAGGGAATTAATGTGAAAAAGGTGGTCAAATGAATCAGAAAAAACTCCAAAAGCAAACGAGCCATGCCATCCACCCTTAACCTTGGCTATTTATAGGCTGGCTAACGTCAGAACTCCATCAAGTTCAAGGCAAATGCACAAATTCCACAACAAATTGAGCCCATAAAACAATGAAAGCTTTGTTCCACTTTGATTGATTAATTGCGATTCTAGGAATTGTATGCGACATTTTGGTTTCATGCTTTAGAACCGTATCCTTTAATATCAAATATTCTAAAAGTGATTCTCGACTCTTATTACTTCTTACCTATTTTTACATACCAAATGGGCAAGTTAATAAATTTTTTTTCGGGAACCAGGATTGGCAGCGCTGACACCCTGGAAATTGTTGCCTCGAAATCCACGGGCAGCGAGGAGTGCTCCACGCCCGAAGACAATATTAATGTTGTGGTGCGTGTGCGACCATTAAACGACAAGGAGAAACGCGATCGACATGGATCCACTCTTCAGTTTCCCGGCAACGGTCAGGTTATAGTAAGTCTTAACGTACAATATTTTATGACGAATTTAAAACGAATCATCTCCAGCTGGAGGGCAACGATGTGGGCCAAAAAAGGTCACACAATCGTGACAGCGTTCGGGTCTTTACCTACAATGTGGTCTTCGAGCCAGGAGCCACGCAGGAAGACATTCTGGACTACTCGGGAATTAAGCGCATCATAGAAATGGGCATTGAGGGTTTCAGTTGCACGGCCTTCTGTTATGGACAGACGGGCTCCGGTAAAACCCACACGCTCACAGGACCACCGGACTTGGTCAGTCATTATGTAACCTACTTGAAACTATCTTTGACTTTGTAATTGTTTCTTCTACAGTTCGTTGGCAAACCAAATCCCAAGGATCCGAGGCATGGTCTGATCTTCCGCTCGTTTTTGTATCTCTTCCAATTGATTAAGAATCGCAAGGACGTCAACTACGTGCTAAAAGCCTCCTTCATGGAAATCTACAATGAGCGGGTAAGTGATGGGTCTCATCAAAAGACTTACTTGATAATTTACTTTAATGACACCGCTGTTCTTGGCTTGACCTCTCCACATTCAATTTAAATCTAAATTGCATTTTCCATATTACCGATTGCTCAACCGCAAACATGCATTGCATTGACCTCTATTTAATGGATGTCAGCACACTCCACCCACCAAAAACGGACAGACGGATAGTCCACCCACCGTTCCTGGCTTGTCACAATGCGTGAAATGTTTCTACATTTTGCGTGGCATTTTCAATGATTTGTTTTCTTAGCCCACCTGCCATTTCATTATTGGTTTCGCAAATTGAATTGCATTTTTTATCTCTACCTTAGGTAATCGATTTGCTCAATCCGGGAAGTGCGCGAAAACCGTTGGCGGTCAGATGGTCCAAGAAATCGGGTGGTTTCTTCGTGGAGAACCTTTTCACGGTTGACTGTGAAGAATTGGATGATCTACTGGCCGTTTTGGAAGAAGGTATGGAACTTTGGATTTTATTTTTCCTTTTAACAGGGATTATAATTACATTATTAACTTATTGCAGGTATGAGAAATCGTGCGGTTGGCTCCCATGCCATGAACGATCATTCGTCGCGGTCTCACACAATCTTAACGGTTCACATCCTGTCCGATCAACAGACGGATGGTGGGGTGTTTCTCTCCAAGCACGGAAAGATAAACTTCGTTGACTTGGCTGGCAGTGAATTGACCAAGAAGACCATGAGCGAGGGGAAAACTCTGGAGGAAGCTAATAACATTAACAAGAGTCTTATGGTCCTTGGATACTGCATCTCTTCACTGAGCGACTCCAAGAAGAGATCCGGTCACATTCCGTATCGGGACAGCCAGCTCACCAAGCTGCTGGCCGACAGTCTGGCGGGGAATGGCGTAACCCTAATGATCGCTTGCGTTTCTCCTGCGCACTACAATCATGCGGAAACTCTGAACACCCTGCGATATGCATCGCGGGCAAAGAGGATCCGCACCAAGCCAGTGATCAAGATGGATCCAAGGGAGGCACTAATCCTCAGTCTAAAGCGTGATATCCATGCTCTTCAAATGGAGAACGACCATCTAAAAGCGGCCTTAAATCTTCATCATCAAGCGGCTCCGAATGGTGGGGCGACTGAGAATCTCCTGGAGCTTCAACTTGATCGAGTAAGCAGCGGTGGTGGAATACCAGTACCCAAAGTGGATCTGCAGCGATTACCAGAACTAGATGGTTCCGAACTGGCTGAGCTTGTGAAGCTATACATGGTGGAGAATGAATCCTTAAGGCAGGAGAACAACCACCTGTTCACCGTGCGAGAGACCATTCTAAGAGATCAGGAAATTGTATGTCGCGAGAACGAACGCCTGCTAAAGAAACTGGAGGATGTGAACAAGTAAGTGGGGCTAACGATGTCTTACGTTTGATTTAATAAATATAGTTTTGGGGAATCCGAATGGTATTAAGTGCTTCCTCCAGGCTTGGCTCACTGTTCTCTCCCATTTCTGACTCGTTCTAGGTCAAAACCGGACGGGAGCGAGGACAATGAGTCAAGCAAGGAGGCCCAGAGCAAAGAAGAGTGAAAAAGATACCTATATAACATTCGTTTTTTTACTTTTTAACAAGTTTTTATGAAATGTGTATTTGTAAATGTTTAAAAAATACCAATCCTAGAGTGTGACTAGCCATGTAAGAGTTTATAATAAAAGATTGTTTCTGTTCCTATAATCTAAAGATTCGAAATGTATGGGGTAGAGTTAAATATTACTTCAAAAAGTTAAGACTTAATTCAAGTACATATATCCTAAATTAGTATTTTAGTTAATGGTACATTTCTTTATCACAGAGTTTGTGTTCGTTCACCTTTAATACCAGCAAGGCCGGCCATATCTCCAACGACGGGAAAAGAAACGCCTGGCACTGAGATCTGGACCAATCCAGAGCCACTTCAATCTCCTCCAGAATCTAATTTACCAATCGAGCAGCGAATGTCGGAGAATGCTGATAGGAGAACAGATACGGCACAAAAACGAATCGACCAGCAACGCATAGCTAAAAACATTCTAATTATGGCCAATGCATTCCGGAAACCGGACTCAGATTTGGCCAAGGAGTTGAACCTTAATCCGGAAAAGGCACCCGCAAAGCAGTCAGCCGAATTTATGCCTGAGTAAGGTCAAAATTCATTATTCTAATAACGTTCCTTGTAACTCGATTTAATTTCAGCATGCTTACATAATTCATTTTAAAACAAAACACTGATAAACTGAATGAAAAATATATATTTTTGCAATTAATAAAAATGAAATGTATATAAAATGTATAAAATGCAATTTCAATTAAATTTACGATTCATTTAAATTTTTAAATGAATTTGTTTAATCCAAAAATAATTGTGCCAATTTGTAACCGAAAAATTTGCGTTTTTAATATCCTTTAAAACGACTTGAACTTTTCCCCACACTAGCAAGAACTTTAAAGCTCTCAAATATGTCTGAGAAAAGCCGGAAAATCAATGCTAACCCGGTCACACTTTAGTAAATATTGATTTTTCAGTGCTCTCTCCCAGAAACATTAAAACGAAGTGGAGCCCATTTCGCGATTATAAGCGCACAAAAATAGGAAAATCATTAAAAAATAATTCTAGGACTTAACAGCTCCCAGTATCCGGCGGCAGTATTAGCATCCCAGCATCCACCATAGGTCTCGCGGAGACAGCTGTCCTGGACATAATGGCTGCGAATCTGCAACAGCAGCGCTCCATCAATATGCAGTTGCGACGGGAGGTGGAGATGGAGCGAATGCCCGTCTCGGAAGCATGCTCCCTGATGATGAAGTATATGATGGAGCACGAAGAAGAGGACTGCCTCCTTAGCGGCTTCACCCAAAAGGTGAATCCGTTCCGCGAGAAGAGCTCCTGCAGCATTCTGTAGGTTCGACGATAGCTCGAACTCGTTCCTAACAGTATTATTCTATAAAGTATACTCAATTACGGTGGAGTCTCTGATCCCAGTCGTACAATGTCGTGTAACCTATTTGCTGTTCGTTGTAAGTGTGCTGACCTCAATTATGTCTATAAACTGAGTATACATATACAATGGAATCGGGCGGAACAAGAATTTATTAACGTGTAAACAAAAAATGGGGAACCGTCTTAAACTTAAACGCCTGCATATGTGTGTATAAATATCGTGTATTTTGCTAATCCTGTAGCTCTTTATTGGAGAATTTAGCGAAAACCCCCTCCTATCTACATATAAATGTTTCCTATTGAGATATTCCTGAAATAAAGCTATGTATCCAGAGATTTTCATGTAAATGGAGTGTGTTTCACTTAGTTTCGAGTAAAATATTCAAAATTGTATTATGTCGGCTGAAAGCTATCGAGTTTCCTACTCGACTTTTGGCTGGGCGAAGCGAATAATTAAGTCACTGTCCGTGAATCTCTACTTTTTTTCCTTGAATCTTCGAAAACGTGGAATTCACAAGCTGAACCCGATTTCAGGGGCGAAAAAAGCTAGCAGGAAATGACAGAGGTACAAAAGCCTGTTTTTATTGAAGCCAGGATTGGTGCGCGTTCGCGCCTCAATGTCCCAGTTGGAGGAAGCCTTATTAAAACAATTCCTAGGAACACTTATATTTTGTGGTATAAATCAGATTTTAAATTAGCCCCATTTCTAACGGTTTCAAACTAAAAAATAAAAACAAATAAAATCCCGCCATCATTTTCATTTTCCAAAAGACTTTGCCAGCACTTCAAAAGCAATGTTTGTCTCCAACACTATCAAAATTTTAATATTATCGATATGTGCCGATAAGCAATAGTGAAGGACGATATTTACCAATATCGGAAGGCTTGTTTTTGTGTGCGGAAGAAAATAACTTTTCTGAAATAAAGCATGAGTTCGGGCTTTGTGACTGAGGCTGAGGCTGCCGAGCAACGGCAGAGACGTCAAGAAGAATGGGAACGTGTGCGTCAGCCGGAGGATCCACTGGAACGACCCGAAGAACCCTATGACGGACGCTCCCTTTACGAGCGCCTTAAACAGAATAAAGACAAGAAGGACATGGAGTACGAGGAGGCCCACAAGCTGAGTAAGTTTTTTAAAATTGATAATACGATCCCCTGCCCTAACTTACACGTTTAATTTACAGAAAACCTCATACGTGGTCTGGATGACGACGAGGTGCAGTTCCTGGAGCTGGTCGATGCTCACAAAATGCACGCGGAGCGCCAACAAATGCGCGACGAAGAGCTAGAGCTAAAGGACTTTCGGGACCGGGTTGAGAAACTGCAAGAGGAGAGTGTTGACAAGGTAAGGGTGTTCAAAAATGATCAGAGGATTTAACATTCCCTCCATCTGAATTCACAAGAAACTACAAGCGGAACTGAAGACCACGACCAAATCAGCGGGAGCATCGACAGGTCGCAGCACCCAAAAGTCTCTGCTCGGGCAGGGCATCAAACGCAAAAACGGAGAATTACCCACTACCAGCAAGGTGGCAAAGATCGTCGAGGAAAATGTGGTCCAGACAGCCGCTGATGAGGCGACTAAAGAGCAAGCGGAGAAAAGTACGAACACAACCCTTACAACAAATGTATACAACCAGGGTGCCCTAAAATGCATCGCTGTGCTACCGGGTATCGGTTCCTACACAGAGTCTAGCGACTCGGAAGCCAGTACGGACGAAGAGGAGCCAGATCTATGCAGTCGGACCGACTTGTGTGGCCGTAAAATGCCCAAGAAGAAGCAGTGTACCGAATAGGATCAACATTTTATTTGGATTCTTAATATGTAGTTTCTTTCCGTGCAAGAGAATATAGCCTAGAGTGTAAACAAAATGTATCCTTATACATTATGTATCCTTCTTCTTGTTCCGATTGCGGTTCTTCACGTTCGTCGTCTCATAGAAGTTGCTACCGATTTTCTTGCGTTTTTGACTGCGCTCGAGGGAACGTTTCTGCTTAGCCGTCAACCGAGGCGCTTTCGAAGTGCTGGGGCCATCGTCGTCAGAGCTGTCAGCAGCGTCCGAATCTCCCGGTTGAATTTTTGCGACGCGGAATTTACCGGACGACGTAATGGCCAGTTGCTGTGTCTTTTTCGTCTTGGCCTTCTTGTGCACTACGCGCTGCAAGTCCTCGTTGTACTCGTCCTCCGAGTAGAACTCATCTGCACCATCGCTGGACTCCTCCTCGTCTTCGCCGAGGTTGTGTAGGCGAGCCTTCTTCTTTGCCGCACGCTCGGCCTTCTGCTGTTCCAGAAGCTCTAAGTCTATGTGATCTAGTTCCTTTACATCCTGCTGCTCGTACTCAAGACCCACACGAATCTTTCGGAAGTCCTGTATCTGCTTAAACTCTCGCGCCTTTTTCACCGATTCGCTGACAAAGGTCGGGGCCTCGGATTTTGCATCTTCATTGGTATCCTCGGTCACTTCTTCCTCCTGCTTACCCTCCTGAGACTTGGGTACAGCGAATCCCTCGGGAGGAACGTAGAATGGTAGTTTTCCGCGTTGCCAATCATTAAGCACCATCCGGGCAGTCACCGTGACGTCCGGCTCCCCACCTTTTAACAACTTTCCTGTCTTCTGGGCCAGCTGTTCTAGGAAATGTATGGATGTGTTCCAGTGGTCGATTTTGTAGTTCTTGGAAATGTATTCCGGACGCACTCGTTGAAGCAAAGAGTCTACGTAATCTTCCGGATTTGTGACCAGCTCCACTCGAACCACACCTTTTAGCACCTTTTCGGTGTCCGTCTCCGCTGTTGGATACACCACTCCAGGACAATCAATAAGGAATATACGCTTCATCAGGGTAATGTACTGCCACACTTTCGTCTCACCGGCAATTGGAGCTACCTTGCAAACCTTCTTGGAGCGCAGGGCGTTTATTACCGATGATTTGCCCACATTAGGATAACCAATAAAGCCCACGCTTATCTGTTTTTTGTCCAGATGCAGCTTGCCCAACTGACGGAAAAGGTTGATAAGCGCACCTATATAATAAAAAAATCATTTTAATCATAGTTAATATATTTCCGTTTTCCTTTTAACTTACCCTTGCCAAAGGGATGTTGGAGGGAAGCGTGAAAAGCAATAGTGGGATACTCTGCACTGAGGATAGCCACCCAACGCTGGGTAACCCACACTGGCACCAAATCAACCTTATTCAAAATGAAGAACAGATGCTTGTGTGGCTTCTCCTTGCGCAAGAACTCTTCGATGTATTTCGAACGAGTGCCCATTGGATCGCGGGCATCCAAAACCTGTAGTAGCACATCTGAAGCATCCACTACCTTATGAAGCTCGTTCCAGATGCGCTTACTCTGCCCTGCGCCGAACACCCAATCCCGTACCGCCTTCTTTTCGCCCGTGTCCTCTCGAATCAGATCCAAGTCCTTGGCGGAATCGTACTTATCGGCCTGATCATCAGCAGCTTTGCTTAGATCTTCCAGATCTCGCACTTTTAGGCTAACCCGCTTGCGCTGCTTTTTGGGTCCAAAGGTACTGTCGAAACTCTCGGTGTCCAGCAGGTGAACCCTTTTATACTTGGCCGCCTCGTTAAGTAACGTAACTGGCAGCTGGGATGGTTTCATGATCACCTGGTATGGATCCTTGACAGCCTTACCAATCTCATCCTGAAACTTTTGCAGCGCTGTTTGCGAGATGACACGGGAATTGCTGAACCATTTGGGAGTGGGCTCTACACGAGCCATCGTTCCAGCAGGCAAGCGGCCCTAAAATTAAACATCATTTTGGGATTATTGCTAGGTGGGACAGAAATTAAAAGTAGTAACCACAAGGAGTTACCTTCTATAGCCATTATTAACTTTTAAGATATTTATATGAAGTGTAATAGCCGCTTTAGAGGACTCTTTGAAAATATTATTTTTCCAAACCTATCTGTAATCGATAAAATCACATATACATACATATGATCTATATGCAACTGCGCAAACTTAATGTTTATGGAATATCGCAATAAATATCACTGAACTTTACACGTGTTTAAGTAAATACAAAGGCTTGCAGAGAAAAGAATCGTAAATTCAACTTTTATTTAAAAGTTATGAATCCGGCATCGTCCAGACGTAGAGCTCCGGGCTCTAATTCGGCTTTATCCGAGGAAATGAAAGAGAACATCCGTAAAATGAGCAATCTGATGGTCGAACTCCAAGATGAGAAGGTGAAGGTGGCCAGTCTCCAGACGGAGAACGCCAAACAGAACCTGGAGCTAAGTAAGAGCAACATCAGTTTAAAGGAGCGAGTAAGCCAGCTTGAGCTGGTAAATGCGCAGTTAGAGAAGTTCAATAAAGAACGTGTTGGTATCCTGATGCAATTGCAGCAGGAGATGTCTAACTACGTAACCATCCAAGAGAAGTTTCAAGAGCAGGAGCAATCAATGCAGATGATCATGCGAGAGTTGGAGTTGGAGCGCGAGGACTTGCTTAATGAACTGGCCGTCAAGGACATCATCAACTCTGACAGCATCGACGACCTTAACGAGGAGGTGGACGGGCTCAATGAGCAGCTAAAAGAAAAATCGGAGACCACTACGTGCTCCATTTGCTTGACGCCTTGGGATTCGGAAGGTGCGCATCGCCTGGTGTCGCTGCGCTGCGGACACCTCTTCGGGAACAAGTGTATCCGCTTATGCCTACGGCAATCACGCCAATGCCCAATTTGCATGAAGCGGGCCCACCACGCCGATGTCCGCAGAATCTATGGCTCTATTTCTTTTCCGCAATGATTTATGGAAAGCAAGCCTTTTTAATTGATAATTTAACTTTTTTAATGACAATACTTGGCCAGCTAGTTTGGAAATGAAATAAAATTTTTTAAAATCACCTAACTACACTCGGTTCCCCTGCCGAATTAGTTATCTTTATTATTTGATAAACCGATGTTCATATGTAGGAACATATATCATGTCATATTACTTTTTTATGACCAGTACAAAAGTATATCAGCCATCTCTTTTGAAAATAACCGATCTCTTTAACATATTTAATAAAATAAAATAAGTAAATTTCATTCGGTCGGTTGAGCTTACCTGAAAGGGGGCAGGTGTAAGGATCTTTCCAGTGCGATCTCGCTTGGCCTTGAAGTTACGATACATCTGGAGCCGCTTGATAGTGCCCTTCGTACGTGGGTGGGCGACCCCTTTAAGACCGCTTTTAGGGCGCTCCGGATTCATCGAGTGGTTGGAGTGGTTGAATCCTTGCGTCCGGGGCTTACCCGTTGTGCTGCGTACCTTCGGCATGGTTTTTCGAATACTGCACGTACCTCACAAATAAACTAAAATTTAAAATTCGGCACGTTAAAACCAAAACACACGTGCTTGGTTGAAATAAAAAACAAAGGAATTGGACGTTGCACAGTACTGTTGGGATATGTTATCCAACACTGCCTTACAGCAAAAAATCTCTACCACGAGGACTGGCCTCACTAAAATCACAACAGTATTGAAAACAAGTTTAGAATCAGCTTTAAGATACAATATTTTTAATGGATGTTCTTAAAACTATTATAAGAAGTATGTACTGTTTAAGTGCAATAAAATGTAAATACATTTTAGATTGTAACATTATGCTTTTATGAACTCATTTGTTTTAAAAAACAAAAACTGTTGCTATTGACGTATATACTTTTGGACACTACTGTGTTTAAAAAGCAAGCTGGTTTTATATCCGTGTGCATACATATCCGCTTGGCCACGAGCTTCTGCTGCATTTAGCAAACTTAAATAATTAAACGGTAAAATTCTAACAATTTCAACGAAGTGATAATGTGAATCAAAGCACTTAAAACAAATTGTAGTTCAGTAGTATTTAGCATTCGAGCAATATTTATTTCCCAAGCGCGTCTTGGAATTGCGTATGCGTGTGTTAGCATCTGCGTGTGTGTGTGTTTTGGAATGTGGCCCTGCACGAAATTCAAATAGTGACCATCCTTGATTGTACACATGCGAGATGGACGAGCACACTCTGAACGACCTGTTGGAGTGCTCCGTTTGCCTGGAGCGACTGGACACCACATCGAAGGTGCTGCCATGCCAACACACCTTTTGCCGCAAATGCTTGCAGGTGAGTAATGAAAGTTTAATTTTAAAGGATGATATTTAAGATTATATTATATCCAAGGACATTGTGGCCAGCCAGAACAAGCTGCGGTGCCCGGAGTGCCGCATCCTGGTCTCTTGCAAAATCGACGAGCTTCCTCCAAACGTCTTACTGATGCGAATACTAGAAGGTAACAGATACGCCCACGCTCATCTCAACTGGCACAGCAGCCTACGCTTTAAGGCTTGTATATGTGCAATTGAATTGATTTGGCAATTGAGTGGCTTTTCTCCGACTGTATCTAATTGAAACCCTCTTACTACCTCTTTTTTTAGGCATGAGACAAAATGCAGCGGCTGGCAAAATCGACAGCAAAGGCGAGGAGTCCGAAACGCAGCCAGAAAGACTAAAAGTTCAGCCTTCAGCGGAAACAGTGGCCCCACCTGGTAACACGCTTCTCCAAAAGCAGACAATTCAGCAATCTCAGCAACCAGCTCGCCACAAACAGCGTCGGTTCCTCCTTCCCCACGCATATGCCCTCTTCGACTTCACCTCCAGTGAAGCAACTGATCTGAAGTTCAAGAAGGGCGATCTGATATTGCTTAAGCACCGCATCGATAATAACTGGTTTGTCGGTCAAGCAAATGGCCAGGAGGGCACTTTTCCCATCAACTATGTGAAGGTATCCGTGCCGCTGCCCATGCCGCAATGCATCGCAATGTACGACTTCAAGATGGGGCCCAACGACGAGGAAGGATGCCTAGAATTCAAGAAGAGCACAGTGATCCACGTGATGCGCCGCGTGGATCACAATTGGGCAGAGGGACGTATTGGGCAGACCATTGGAATTTTTCCTATTGCATTCGTTGAGTTGAACGCAGCGGCCAAGAAATTGCTGGATAGCGGAGTCAACAATCATCCCCCGTGCCATTCACCACACAAGCAGGGACAACGAGCGCTCCCTCCGGTTCCGGTAATTGATCCCACCATTGTAACGGAGTCCAGTTCGGGATCTACTAATACTACGCCGGCTAGCAGTAATTCCAGCTCCACATCTAGCTCAAATAATTGCAGTCCAAATCACCAGTCCTCATTGCCAAACACACCTCATCATGTGGTGGCTTCGGGGTCGGAATCGGTTCGTTTCCGGGACAAGGGAGCCAAGGAGAAGCGGCACTCTTTAAATGCTTTGCTGGGAGGAGGGGCTCCTTTAAGTCTGCTCCAGACCAATCGCCATTCCGCCGAGATTCTTAGTCTTCCGCATGAGCTAAGCCGCCTAGAAATTGCCAATTTATCAGCTCCCAAGCCCACAACCGCTTCGCAGTCCTCGCGCGTGCTTAAAACCAATGTACAGCAGCAGATGCCGCCTAGTTTGCCCTGGGGTTATTTAGCCCTTTTCCCGTATAAACCACGACAAACTGATGAGCTGGAGCTTAAAAAAGGCTGTGTTTACATTGTGACAGAACGATGCGTGGACGGTTGGTTCAAAGGAAAAAACTGGTTAGACATCACCGGGGTTTTTCCAGGCAACTACCTAACCCCTTTGCGCACACGTGATCAGCAGCAACTGATGCACCAGTGGAAATATGTTCCGCACAGCTCAGAGGCCCAACAGACACACACACAGCAGCAACCAGTTGCCGCAGATGTGCGGTTAAACAATATGTTGCCCTTGCAGCCGCCAGATTTGCCTCCTCGTCAGCTACAGCCCAGCGCCACCACCACTAGTAGCTCAGTTTGGTCGAAGCCAGTAGAAGTACTGTTTAGCAGAAAATCAGAACCTAAATCCGAAATTACCAACGCTTCCGCCACAAACAGCAGTTCCTCCGGAGCGGTGGGACTTATGAGGCGATTAACTCATATGAAAACACGCTCAAAATCGCCAGGAGCTCTGCTGCAGCAAGCACCTAAGGAAGTTATCAGCTCAAACATGGAAACGACATCTAGACCAGCAGCTAAATTGCATCCAGTGCATGTAAGGTAAGATCCAGCAGTGATGTGTTGTCTTAACAGAATAAAAATGTAAATTGTCAATCACATATATATTTAGATCTGGTTCGTGCCCCAGTCAACTGCAGCACAGTCAACCGCTAAAGGAGACTCCCATAACCAAGGCAGCTCCGCAACAGCAATCATTTCCACCAAAGCAACTGCCTGCTGCCACCAACAGTAGCGCCTCTTATGGATCGCAACGCGTTAAAGGAAATAAGGATCGCCCTCACTTGATTTGGTTTGTTAAACATACTCTGTAAACCTGATAAAACTTAACTAACCCTAAACTTAACAGCGCAAGACAATCATTGGATGCGGCTACGTTTCGCAATATGTACAGCAATGCCGCATCGCCTCCGCCACCTGCCTCCTTCGTGGCTCCAGCTATATATGCAGGTGGACAGCAGCAGGCGATGCCTGGAGGAGGACCGCAATCCCAGTTGCACGCCAATATGATCATAGCACCTAGCCATCGGAAGTCGCACAGCCTAGATGCGGGCCATGTTCTGAATCCTAACAGCAATCTGATTACCGAGGCGGCTATTAAGGCCAGTGCTACCACAAAGTCAGCGTATTGCACCAGAGAAAGGTGGGTTGTGAACTTGTTCCATATCGGATAAAACCAAATTGATACAATCTCTTATTGCAGTCGCTTTCGATGCATTGTGCCCTATCCACCGAACAGCGATATTGAACTGGAGCTGCATTTAGGCGACATCATTTACGTGCAGCGTAAGCAGAAAAATGGATGGTACAAGGGCACCCATGCGCGCACCCACAAAACCGGACTATTTCCCGCCTCCTTTGTCGAACCGGATTGTTAGATTGCCTAGGTCAAACTAGAATTGGTTAAGCAAAATTTCAAATTATTTGTCTAAATTGTTTCAATCGCCGGTCGATTCGGGCTTCCATTTTGCAATCTCCTACTACTCTTTTTTAAAAAAAGATACTGTTTTCTACTCACTGAAATCACCGATGTACTTTTTATAAGATCCATAATCAAAAAAGGTTAGCCATGTAAGACTTAAAGAAAAGTTACTTAAGCTGTAGCAATTAGTTAGCTAGAGAAAAAATCTTGAGCCCTCTATGAAGTTATTTGTAATATACAATTTTGAGTAATACCCAGGCGTTGTTTTAACTTATTTTATTCACCAAGCAAAACATCGAGGCTAAAAGTGGATTTCCCTATGTCGGAATTACTCGCTCTTGTCGAACTTGGAACCGTAGATGGGCACGTACTGCAAAACAAGCTTCCAGTCGGTGTAGTAGAGCACGGCCAGGCCAGCAGCTCCTCCAAATCCAGCTCCAGAACGGATGCTATAAATCAAAGGAAATTAGTTCTGCTTTTGATGGTTATGCAATGTGTAAGGCTATCTGCCAGGATGACTGTGTTCAAGCGGTTCCCTGAAGCAAAATGTGAAGCATGTCATACTCACAAGGAACTCGCGATTTCAGCGTGCTTTTTGCCAAAAGGTATGCGGAAAGCCATTTTAGTAGTTTTAATAACTTTTATGTCCCACCAAAAGAGTCGCAATCGAAACTACAAGAATTTCCTAAATTATACCACAGCAGTGTGACCATTAGATTGAAGTTTCCTGCGCAGTGTGCACTGTGACAACTCTGTGAGGCGTACGTGAGAACAACAAAGTTATCAAAAAATTTTATTTTCTTAAAACTTCTTTAAAATCAAGAAATCAGAATGAAAGTATCCGTTTTTGGAGAATTAAACACTTTTGAGCTGTTTGTCCTGTGTACAGTCATACCAGCTGTCTTCGTTTTCTTGTGGACTCTCATATCTGGTGACATGAAGGTGGGGCATTAAGTTCTTATCAGAGCTGCTAGTTTCAAGTACTCATTCAATTCTGATTTAATTTTGCAGAACTTTAGGGGCAGCAAGTTGGCGTATTCAGTTTATACAGCCAAGGATCCAATTAATTGCTATCAAAACTACGTTTCAGAGAAACAAAAGGATTCATAAAATATTTGTTTTTTTATGTTAGCGGAACCCTAAGATGTATTAAATTTGTACATAAATACATAAATATACATACATATAAGCAATATAAAACGACGATCAGTAATTTTGTAGATTGAATAATGAATACATATTAGTTGTGTTATATCTGTATTTTATTTCTTATTTACCATTTCAATTTTTTCTTATGCTCAGGTCTTTAAAAAAGAAATTTTAAGAATCGATATGCAAACGATGTTAGTTTATATACGTATTTAAATATATATATCATTTAAGTACAAATTAAGAAGAAGACAGTAAACAAATATATAAATGCAGTATGAATAAGTTTTGGACCCAGCTGGTCACACCCACGCTTTTTTGGTATTATTACGTTTTTCTAATTCTTCCTTACTGAACGGAACAGTCAGAAGTTTTAAGCAATCTTTTGTTTTCTAATGGTTTAAAGGACCTTATACCGCCAGATATTGTGGATTTTTATCGTGTTCTCAGCACATCCTGGTGCCCATCCGCACCAACAATTCGATATCGCCGGAAAAAGTCCAATAACAAAAACAAAACAAAGGAGAGAACTACGTAGAAGGGGAACGAAAACAATGTCGGAAACATACGGTTTGTCATCACAAAACTATCTCATTATTGAGCGATACTAATTAATTCCGGTACTGGTTACATACCTAGATTACCTGTTCAAATTCCTGATAATTGGCAGCGCAGGCAGTGGAAAAAGTTGTCTGTTGCATCACTTTATTGAGAGCAAGTGTAAGTTGGTAGCTCGAGTATGCTACATTACATTCCTTCTGGGCTCTGAATTTATCATATACTTCCATCAGTTAAAGACGATAGTTCGCACACCATTGGAGTGGAGTTTGGTTCGCGTATTGTGAACGTTGGCGGCAAATCAGTGAAGCTGCAGATATGGGATACGGCCGGACAAGAGAGATTCCGCTCAGTGACGAGATCTTATTATCGAGGTGCTGCTGGAGCTCTCTTAGTCTACGACGCTACGTCTCGGGACTCCTTCAATGCCCTGACTAACTGGCTAAATGATGCCCGGACCCTCGCAAGCCCAAATATTGTTATCCTCTTGGTGGGCAACAAAAAGGACTTAGAGGAGGCACGTGATGTTACTTTCCTAGAGGCTAGCACCTTTGCCCAGGAAAACGGTCTGTTTTATAGATCTACCGCCAACAGCATGGTTTTAATCGCTTTTCATATGTCCTTGTAGAGCTAATCTTTTTGGAGACGAGCGCGAAGACGGGCGAGAACGTTGAGGAGGCTTTCCTAAAGTGCTCAAAAACCATCTTGGCCAAAATTGAGACCGGAGAGCTGGATCCCGAGCGCATTGGCAGTGGTATACAGTACGGCGGAGCAGCCCTGCGCAATTTGCAGACACGACAACGCAGCATCAACAAACCGGATTGCACCTGTCGCGTTTAAACCGCACTATTTGTGCACCTTGGATAAGCGAGCAAAAATAATCTCTATTTTATCTCAACCCGGAATGCACACTCGCATTCCTTTTAATTGTATCGTCTACTTGTGTGTGTCCACTTTGTTTTAGTTAGTATGTTGTCTTGCTAGATTAATCATTCCAAATGTAAGCATAATGCTCTTCGGTTCTTTTTAACATAATCTTAACCTTTTTAATTGCCCATGATTTCGGGTTTATCCCAAATGTTACTTACTATGATTGGTATTTCGTGAAGCACTAAAAGCCCTCGAACAACGAAAAATAAAAGAATAGGCACACGGATCAGATTCGGAGGGTAAGAAAAATGCACTCAGCATTTTTATTGTAAATAAGTGGCGTTCCGTCGTTGACGACGTCGCCGATTGTAAATCTAACTCAAACATGCACGCGATAAATAAAAACGCATAAACAAAATAATATTGTATGGAAATTTTTATTTATTGATCTAGAGAAACGAGTTTTTAATTTCGGGTAGTCTTAGATTTCGTTTCTAACAAATAACAAAACAAATTTCGAAATTTGCGAGTAAAAACAGTACATACACTAATACTTGTTTCAAAATATTATCTCTGTGTATAGAGCTTAAAAATTTGTTTGACAGGAAAAAAATGTAAGAAATTATTTAAAATTAAATTTAAGTCATATAAATCAAAACACTGCTTTATGAGTAAAAAGTGTCTACATATCGTTTAAAATGAAATGGAAGAATTATTAATATTTTTAAATTCGATGCTATCTGTCAATTATAAAAGCAATCAAAAACTTTACCAAAATTGTTTTTCATTGCACTTTGAGAAGATTTTTTCAAAACCGTATAACAAAAGCAATGCAGTTTCAAAAAAATCCGCTAAAAGTAAAACGGAAAACAAGATTGTTGGGGTAATATCATCTTAGGCGTCACATTTGCTCAACTTCTGGAGAGCATGCTTGGCAGCTGCCAATTTGGCCTGGCTCTTATTGTTGCCAAATCCATATACCTTGATCGATTTCTCCATGCAGGTGAATTGACAACTAATCATCACCTTGTCCTGGTCGATAACAGGTGAGCTGAAGACAGGATTGGCCAGCTTGTGCTCAGAAATCTGGCGGATAGGATTGATAGGAACGTTGCGCGTAAACTCTTTAAGCTCCGGCTCAAAAAGATTGAAGATCACTTCCCAAGTGCGTTGGAGATCTCGGCAGTCCAGGTAAATGGCTGCAATCAGAGCTTCTAGAACGTCGCCCAAAGCCTTTGGGACATCCACGTTCATCGACATGTTGAAGTCACCCTTTGGCGGAGTACTTGGCTTGCTGTCAATTGCATTCAATGCCTCCTTTAACTCCCTCATATCCACTTCGTCATCTAATTCCAGCGAAGTAGACTGAATAATGTCGGCTTCCTCGAGCAGGATACGTACATGGTTGGTGACCCTGTGCCTCTGGCTTTCCTGGAATTGTACGAATTTTGATATGGACTCGGAGAGCAATGCATTTTCTGACAGGATAAAGTAATGCAGCTTATGTCGCACACAAATACAGGCCAGAGTCGTATTATTGACCAAAGCGGAGCGTAAATCTGTCAACGCGCCAGGGTTCATTTTCGTGTTGTTCTCAAAAATATAAGCGGAGATAAGAAAGTCTAGTATGGCATCACCTATAAACTCCAGTTCCTGGTAGCACCCAGTAATACGATTTGTGGGATACGATGGATGAGTAAGGGCCTGAAGAAGGTAACCCCGATCCTTGAACGTGTAGCCCAGATTTTGCTCTAGATGAGTGTGATTAATAAGAAAGCCGTCGATTTCGGTAGTGTTCACGTTTGCCCGCATCTTTTCGCCGCTCAATTTGAGGTCCAACAACTGGGTAAGAGGCTTGCCAATGTCAGCCCGGCAAATGCCAAAGTATTCAAGCATCCGGAAAGCATGCTGCAGTCCATAGCTTTTTACGATCACGCCAAGAAGTGCCTCTAGAGTATCAGCTACCACCTTGTCGGCAATCTTTGCCAGGCCCACGCAGAAGTTTACTTCGGTGGAAAAATCTGAGCGAGCGTGATGGGAATAAAGATTTGATTGGCAGCCATCGATAAAGTTGCGATAGTTAAGGTCGCTGCAGTTTCCCTTGATCAGCGACTCCTCCTCACCAAGCGCAAGATCACGCAGATTGTGCGGACCCACTAGTTGCGCCAATTCTGGCTTTTCATTCCACAATGACAGCACATTGTGGGGTAAACTAACGCTGGGTGGAATCCATGTGTAACGAGGAGTAAACAGTATGTTGCTTATTTTCCTGGGTATGTCCGTTTCGCTGAGACAGTATAGCAAATTCCTATTTGACACAAGCTTGGATTTAACCTGTGTGAGGGTACCTTCGTTCCAATCCGGATACTTGTTGGCCAAGTAGAGCGTGGCACTTAACTTGAGAAAGGAATCACCAAGCATCTCGAAGCGCTCCATGTCGTACACATCCGCGCTGGCCGAGGAAGTGATTGCGGTCAGAAAATCTGCCTGCTCCGCGGGCGTAATGTGTTCTTTGGAAATTGTTTTTTGCAGTATGGGCAGTGTGTTCACTGAACCACGAACGGTCGGGATTGCGGGCATTAGAGCCCGGAGATTATCTCCTGCTTTGGCCGGAGTTCTGTACTCATAGATATTACCTTTGGGCATATGGAATTGAGTCTCTGCCCAGTACTCTTTATCTTTGAACTCGACCTTATCAAGCCGAGCAACCTGACCCATAGTGAACTTATAATAGTAGTCCAGCTCCACAGGATAAGCGTTCATGATTTTTCGTGACAGATCCACCGGTTCCATGTACTCCTGCCAGGGATTTTCAAAGTCTGTTATCTTCAGGTTTTCCATTGCCGTCTCTACGCACTTTGTGGGCATCGGTTCCAAAAGAGATCGCGGCTCCTCGACATCGTCAGTGGGTATGGCATTGCCCAGAGTATCGACATTCCTTTTTAGAGACCAATCAATTTCTATGGGTTTGGGACAATAATTCGCACTGTTCAGAGGCAGTTGCTGAAGTCCCAAATATGTATTGAATCGCTTTCGCAAGGACTCCGCGTGGAGGAGAAAGTCCAAGCGGCGTAGAATGCTGGGCAGGAAAATCAGCTTAATCCAAAGATCTCCGGGGAATTCAAAATTATAGCAAAGCTCTGGAATCAGAATAACCTTTGCCCTGGCTTTGCTTTGAGCAGAGGATTTACCGCGTTGTTGGACGTAAAAATTTAGCTGCTCCGTAAGTTCCCTGACCTCGATCAGAAATTGGTCTTTGTGCACAACATCCCCAATATGGTTGCTGTACTTTGACATGGTAAATTCGTAGTATGATTTTTCTTGGTTGCTCCCTTCCATCAAGCTAAGCGGGGTAAGTTCCCGATGTACCTTTGTAACAAGCATTCGCTTTTCTTCGTAGTTTGCATACCATTGGGTCACGATTTTGCCCTCGAGATCCTCGGGACGGGGAGCAGGTTGCTGTTTGCGCTGCAGCACGCTGAACTTCTTGACTTGGGGTAACCTCTGGAACTTGCTTACCAGGTGCCAGTCAATGCATTTCTGTTGATTCTCATTCAGGGTAAGGGGGACTACGAGGTAAGAGTTCTCTTTGCTGCGTCGGTCCAGTACAAAGAACGGCTGCCAGATTTTCAACATATCGCGGAACACCATGCCATGAAAATGATGGAGAAGCTCCAACTGATCTGATTCCTCTATAACCACTTCTAGAGGGTTATCTGCAACACGGACATGCAGTTTACCTTGATTGCTAAACAGCGGCATCTCCGCAAGACGAGGAAGCTTGTTTCGCAACAATAAGGCATAATTTCTCGGTGTCTGGAGGTTTATATACATGTGATCCGTGTAGTCACACCGCTCAAACTTGGGCTCCAAGAAGATCTCGTATGCATAACATACCTCGCCCACCCGAGGTCGTGCATCGAAGAACTCTGCGGGGCAGTCGGTCTTGTATGTGCGGAACTTTTCATCATGTTGCTTTGTTGCAGTTACTGGTCGTAAAATATGAAGGTAAGAAAACAGATTTAATGCTTAGGTTTTAGAAACGCACCATCATCGCCGTACTTTTTCCAGTGCTCGAAGTGAACGTCAGCAATAGCAGCAACGCGCTCTCTAATCGTTTTGGGTAGGAATCTCTCGTTCAGCTCCCCTATTTCGTAGAGTAGCTTACATGTCTTAAATGCAGCCGAAAGCTTGGCGGTCTTAACGCAGTCCATGGGGTCGCTCTGCAATAATCAATGAAATAATATAATTTTAACATCTCCACAATCTTAGCGTGCAGCTTACGTAAATTGTGTCCTTTAGGCTGGAATTCAAGGGCAGTTTGACGGAGATTACTTTTTTTCCTTTTGCAAAATGACCGAAAAGACGTATGCTTTCTTCTTCTTCTACTAAATTGATCCACGGAATTACAAACCCAAAGGCATCCGATGGCATGGTCTGGCAATAGCGATGGAGCAGGATCAGGGCATTGCTGGGCAATAAAACGGCTCCGAACTCATTGATAAAATGTGGCAAACTCTCATGAAAGTGTTCACTAATCTCGTACATTTCCGGTTCAGTTCGCTCTAAAACACGCTCCTTAAGATATGCAGAGATATCGGCGTGGGCTTCGCGATATTGACTAATTTGCTGAGAAATTTTAACCTTGTCCAGCTCAGAGGAAAACAAGACAAAACTAGCATCCTTGGAACGGGCTCGACCCTTTGTCTGAACGTACATGTTAAAGGTTTTGATCGGATCTAGAATTAATACATAATTGCAGGCTTGCACATCGATGCCCTCTTCCAGAACACTTGAACAAATCATCAGATTGGCGGTGCCTTCCCGGAATTGCTGAATAGCCTGGGAGAAAAGTAATTTTTTTAAGTTATGCAAATGAAAAGGCTGGATTGAAATAGGTATCCAGAAAATTTGGCCCTTCCACACATACCGATTTCTGCCACTTGCGATCCAGGATACTTTCAAAGTCTGGCGCGATGGTGTTACGGCCCACCATGAATTGAGGAGTTAACACATTCCGTAGCTCCGGCGTAGAATCGATGAAGTTCAGCAACAGGCCGTAGATACACTTGCAGGTATAGCGTCGTTCTACGAAAACCAGACAGCAGATATCCTTTGGATCCTTATAAGCGAAAGTCTTCTTCAGGTATAGCAGAAATTGCTGAACCTTTGGGGTGGAGAAGTTCATAATAGTCTCTGCATTGTTTGTCTTGTCATCGGGCTCTTCTTCATCATCCAATAAGTCACGTAGCTTTTGCACCAGCGCATGGCGGATGCTTTCGCACAAGGAAATGGCCGTCCTGTGCATTAGTTTCAGGCTAAGCGTCTCGGCCTGGCGCCTCTTTACCTCAAACTCAACAGTCAACGAGACGATGGCTATAGAGCCCGCATATATTCCGTACTCCTGCAGCTGAAACAGGAAATCGTTGAACATCGTTTTCAATGTACCCTTCTTCTGCGGATCACGCTGGTTTTGTAATGATTTGGATCTGCGCACTGGTTGAATGCCTATGTCCATGTATTCGAGAGTTTTAAAAAATCTTTCAATCTGCGACCGAATTGACTCGACAACTTTAAGCACTTGGATTTGATTTGGATATGTGAGAAGAAACTCTTTCGGCTTGGTTGAGTGGCTAAATAAAATGTGCACTTAATAAGAAAGTCGAGAAAACGAATTGACAACACTTACAGCATCACATTTTCCATCTCAATGGTATCCGACACAGTAATGATGTTTCCCCGATATGTGGTCTCCAGCTCTTTGAGCTTCTTGGCCACTTGCTTAATCTCATTACCCTTAATCAGTACTCCGGTGAGCCCCACAACGCGCGGCAATGCTATATTCCGGTCAACGCAGAGGAATAGCCGCATAAACTCATGGAATGGATGATGACCTGTGCCATGGTGACACTCGTCTATGATAACGATGCTTATGGAATTCAAATTAAGGTGGCGCTGGGTGAACAAGTCCAAGATAACCTGAGCCGTGCCCACTAGAACCTATTGGAATTACAGTGGTTATGATTATTTACGCGAGATATTTTGCTTATTATAGGCATTACAGAAATCTATTGACAGTTTCGTAGACATTTCAAAATCAAATAATTTATTTCCAAAATGCAAACTAAACAGTTTTAAGAACCAATTGCAAGATTCCAGTAATCAGGATTTGATTAAAAGCATTGATTAATACATTAAGTTATGAACTATGTGTATAGGTTTGTAGGCTAGCAAAATTATGATTACTCAGTGAAATCCGGTTCACAGGGACCATAAAACTGCTGATTCGCATATCACATAGATACATATGTATGTAAGTATTTTGTACATGACCAAAAGTAGGAATGGATCCGTAGGGACACGTCATGCACCCCGCCACCCCAATGCATATCTACTTTCGAGACGATCGCTCTTATCGGTATGTACTTACTTGGTGATCTCGAATTTCATCAGTCCATTGGCCGCGCGTCCAGTCGTCCACGCCATTTTCGCCCAGATATAACCCGACTTTGAGATTTGTGTACCTCTTTACGGCCACCGCCTGTTGCCGGGATAATTCCACGGTATTGCAAATAAACAGTGCCCGCTTTCCCCCATTTTCGACGGCCCTACAAATTGTAATCAAATAGTATGCAATTAGCTACATACGTAAATAGTATGAATCTGATTTATGTTCTCCACTCACTTGTCCATATCTTTGGAAAAGCGCTTGAGGGCCAGGATAGCCACATAGGTTTTCCCGGAGCCTGTGGGTAAGTAGATAATACCATTGTGCTTGGTAATATAATCCACGATGCGCAGTTGGTAGTCGCGGGGCTGAACATGATTTTTTATTTATTAAAGGTAACAGTTATAAATGTTCAGGTGAAAAGGATGAAGGACCAAAAAGCTCACCTTTATTTCTGCAGCGTCAAGGTTACTGGTGTCGGTCATATTTTAAAAAAATAATTGATAATTTCTGCCTACAAAATTGCGAAAATATTGCGATGCGTAGCTCTAGAAGGCTTGTTTCAAAATGGCGTTTTGACTGATTTTGCTGACGTGGTCAGATCGAATGGAATTCTTTATCACACTCGCTTTTATGCCGGCTCGCTATTCTGGGAATCACCGGTTTTTACTTTTTCGGCGTTAGAGATTTACCTTTCCGCTGTTAAGTGGCAGTCACCTGCGGCCCAAATTGTATGAATAAAAACCTTTCTCACACGCCACTTGCGAAGTCTGTTCTGTTTGGGCTCTCTACCTTAAGTTAGTCGTCTAAAATGTAAACTACCGAAAATTAATTAAAGAAAACGATGTTAAGTGTCAAACACAAAGAACTAAACAAATGCCGGCAGCGTGGCCAGCGATTCTTATTAGATTCCTTAAAGATTATGATTTGCGAAATATGCTTCAGCCTTCTATGGTCACACCATTAGGGGCTTGGTTCTCCAATTTTATCACTAAGTTTTATATGATTTATTAATAATAAAAATTTACTTTTAATGGTAATTGACAAATAAAAACCAAACAGGGGTTTGCTATTCTAACGAAGAAAATAGATACAAAGAAGTGATAAGGATTTTTTGTCAGTTATAAATTAAATTATATTTCTTAAGTTGCATACTGTTAGGATGATAACAAATTATTTATGACGTTAATTGAAAATTTGATTTTAAATCGCCGGAAGTTTAAAACAACAATTTTTAAACTTAATAGAAAAAACAATGTTTTTAATTTTTCTTGATTTTATTGATTATAATAGTCACTTTCTTAAACATAACTTTTTCTTATTGGCTTAAAGAGAACATAAACAGAAAATGTATAATTACGTCTAAGCCTCTCATGGTCTAACTCTTGTTCTCACTCTTTTCCACCTTTCCGCCGGACAACATGTGCTGAATCTCAATTATCGTCTTGCCCTTGGTTTCCGGAACAAAGAATAGCGAGTACAAGAAGGCGAGTACTGCGATCACGGTGAAGATCCAGAACGTAGGTCCCGGACCGATTGAGCTCTTGAGGATTGGAAAGAGCAACGTGACCATGAAGGCCGACAACCAGTTGCTGGTACCGGCAATCGATCCCGCCACACTCTTGACATCTTCGGAGAAGAGCTCTGCCATCACCAGCCACGGTACCGGTCCAAAGCCGATTGAGAAGAAAACTATGAAGATGCAGATACTGCTGATTGGCAGCCACCCATAGTCGTCCATCGAACCTGGATTGCTTTCACTTAGCTGGAAGTAGACTCCCATCAGTGCAGTGGTCACGGCCATAAGAATGCCGGAGATTAGTAGCAAGATTCGTCGACCAGCCTTATCGATAATGGTTACGGCCACCAATGTACTGGTAACCTGTGTAAATCCAATGATAAGGGTAGCATCGCTGCCGCTCAAACCAGAGCCAGTGTCCTCGAAAATTGAGGTAGAGTAGAAGAGGATAGCGTTGATTCCTGTCCACTGTTGGAACACCTGTAGGAGCACAGCGATTCCAAGACCTTTCAAAACAATGGGGCGTCGGAGGGCTGACAAAATGTTGACCTATAATTTACAAATATAATAGCTCTTTAGGTACATATGCGTTTTAAATAAGCAGGTAAGTGAGGTATAATTATAATCCTATAATTATTATCCTAGCCAAATCAAAATATTTATAAGCAACGATACTATCTATTTCATATATGTACTCAAACAGATCTATTCTGACCAGAAACGTCATTTTATTACTCGACACACTGAAACTGTTAAAACAACCCAAAGCTGTAATCGCCCTATTTGGTTAGCCCTAAGCAATAAAAAATAAGATAATAGTTTTAAAATTATAATAATTATTAATTAATAATAATTTATAATTTAAATTAAAGACTCCAATTTGAAAAACAAATTTAAAGTAGTTTCTTCAATGATATTAATATTTAATGCTTCGACTTAGATTGACTAGGAATTATTACTTAAATATCTACGTACCTGGGGCAAATCATTCTGCTTTTGGGACTCCTCCAGGATCTCTTTTAGCTCATCATCGATATCGGCATCCTTGCCGCGCAGCCATTGCAAAGCCTTTGCAGCATCATCGTTACGGCCCTTCATGGCCAAGTAAACGGGGGACTCTGGCATGAAAAAGTGCACGACGGCGAAGATCAAGGGCAGGATAGCGCACAGGATATTGATGGTGAGCAGCGGCAGAAAGGCCCCCACCAAATACCCATAAAACACCCCCGACACAATTAGCAACTGGAAGAAGGCGCCAATGGTGCCCCTCAACGCCGTTGTAGAAATCTCCGTACAATACATGGGAGCAGTGACACAGAAGGCGCCGCCACACGCGCCCAGGATGAATCTGCCAAAGTACAGCATGGTCACGTTATTTGCAAATAGCATCAGCACCCAGCCAACCATATAGGGTGGGATTAAAGCCAACATAGTGGGTCTCCTGCCGATCCAATCGATTGCGAAGCCAATGGGAATGCAGATGACCGTAGCGCCCAGGGTCAAAAGCGAAGATACCCATCCAAATTGACTACTACTTATGGGAAATCCATAGTCCGAGTTAACGGATATCATATTCTCCACCGGCGAGGACCAACCAATGGAGGCTCCCATACAGAGAGCTCCAAAGCTGGCCGACAAGCCCGCAATATATTGCGGTAATACGGATCCCTTGGACATGATGATGGTTGCTTTGGGTGTACTTTTACTAGGTGCTCTCTTCTCGATCGCTGGGAATGAACTGAAATCGCCACGCGACCGTTATTTCGCTGGAAAAATCGCTTTCCATGCGATAACTAAAGCAGCGACGTTGGCCGAGAAGTCAAGCACTGCAAGTCATAGCCGTAAATCAGTTCCCAATAGTTTCCCCCACACCAGGTGATAGATGATAGGAGGCACAGCGTCATTGAAAGCGCCCAAAATCAGTTGAAAGCCGAAGCAGCTAATTAAACGCCCGCCTCCGACAACAACACATGTCGTTATACGAGCAATCAAGTGCTTCTATAACAATTCCCAGATTATGCCCTGCGGTTAAGTATGCCCACTAGCCCTTCGGATTGGAATTGGTTTTGATTCGGGTCAGTCGAAGTGGTCCAGGGACTTCCCTCTGACATAGAAAAAATCCGCAATAACTGCTTCATCATCTTTATTTTGTGAGAATAACTCGAATGGCTTTAGAGAATTAATCGAATTACAACTGGTGAGTAGCTATGTTTGTTATTTTATATATTAACAACTTTTAATTTATTTAAAAATAGTTTGTGAAACGCACTAAAAAGTAGATAAACAGGATGGGATACTACTAGTACTATGAAGTAAATGAAATAAATCTGACTATGAAAATGTAAAGGCCTGTTTGAAAATCAAGTTATAAGACCCATGTTAACATGATCTATTATTAATTGTTTTATACAGTTAAGCAACAAAATACAAGCTAAATTATCTTGCTTATACATTTACTTAAGCATTTGTTTTAGCATTCTATATTAATTTTCTATGAGGTGCTAAAACCTGAGCTAATGTGTCATATTCCTCTAATCATGTTGTGTCCAGTGAAATATTTAATCTTTATTACTAAACAAGTGTCCTTATGGGTGATATTTGAGAATTTTATGAGAATTTGAAGATTCCATTGGTAATCAATTATATGTATGTAATTATCCAAATAGTTTTTTTGAACTTTGAGAACAACGAAAACAAAACAAATAAAAATTGCTTTGGTATTTAATCCCAATAATCAATATGCTTAAAACAACATGAACAAATCTCATCCCATTTAAGAGTACCCTATCTTCGGCTTGATTAAGTCATACATTTCCGGTATTTTTTATTTACGGCACAATTGGTTCGACGCTGCCGTGTGAAAAGCAGATAATAGCGGAGGCAGACGCTACGGAATAATTGAATGAGCGTAAATCGCGAAGAGTGCATCTAATCTTTGTCGCAACCAACATCGCATCACATCACGCCGAAAACACATGTAGAAAAATCCCATATTGAATTGATCCCGATTGGACCCCAAAGTGTGACAAAATCGCCGAATACCTGTAGAATGTTTAACCGTGGCACAGTCAAATCGCAACGGTCACCTGGCGGTCAAGCGGCGCTATCGGTTATCAGTGAACCGCCTATTGATGGCCCGTGGAATAAAATTGAGGACTCCTATGATAGGGCGGACAGGGGATTGAGAGTGGGAGTGGAGCGCAGGCATGGCCGCAGATAAGCGATTACCGGGTAATAATATTCGACAGAATAACCCATTTTCAAGTAGCCCTCTCTCCTTGTGGGTCCCACTTGGAACCATGTCAATGCTCATGTAATGGCCTTATCAAGCCAACCCATACTAAGTGCTCTTGGCCTGCAATTGAATTGTTTTTGCCAGATAATGGACATGGGACACCGAATGAATTTTGAAGTATCCCCTGGAGCTGCATCATAGTTATTTCCTGATGATTTACAGTGGTAAACACTTATCAGAATTCGAGTGTTGTTCGGTTAAATACAAGTCTTTATTACGTTGTTACAGAACAGTTAGTCACATCCATCCGGAGCATCGGTTGTTTGCTTGCCCCCGGTTATATAACGTGGGATTATCTGGAGTAGTGGTAATGAATCATCTACTTCTTCTTTCCCTCTGCTTCCTCCATGGCCCTCATCATTTTGGCGTCGTGCTGGGCGTGGTGCTCCCTTATGGCCCGTTGTAGCTCTTCGTGATGGCTCTTGCTTTCCGGGGGATAGAGTTCCCGCTTCTTCTTGGTTACCCATTCTTCAAAATATTCCGGTTGGTTGAATAGATGGAACAGCGTCACCGGAAAGGCCATATACATGCCCATTTTGGCGACCTCCAGCACCCAAGTTCCCATGTCGTGTTTTCTTTGCTTAAAAGTTGAAATAAAACTTAATTTACGTAGAATATTTTCTAAAAACAATCAACAAAAAACAGCTGTTTACGTATATGCCAGTGTTGCCTAGCGTTTGATATTGAGCGTGATCTGTGTTGAATAATTTTACTCGTATTTTGGGACAGAAGTTCGAAAGACGTTTTTGGGACACTTCAATTTAATAAATTTTTTTTGGAAAAAGAGCCTTGTGAACAAAGAATTTTATTACTTTTCTAAGGCAACTACTAAATAATAGCTCCTTTCACATCGGAATTGCGCAACAAAATACATACACTTAACAATGCTATCGCAAGTACTTGAAAAATATAATTCAATTACTTTATTAGTATAATCTTTCATCAACCCCCCACAAAGCTGGTCATTTTATGATACCTTTAAACCATACAATTCAAAAACCGATTACTTTCCAATTATATATTATTATATATGTATCTTTATAATTTTTTGAGGCATGCATTTAAAATGTAAAATCTTAAGCTAAACTATTAGAACGCGGTCGAGTTAAAACGAGGGAACGTGTCAAACCAAAAACATTTTTTCAAGGAAGCAAACTTTTTCTTTAACATTTTGATGAGAGATGATTTTTTAAAACCGTACAACGGTTTTAACGTTAGATTATGAAAATACCTTAAGGCGATAAGTTCGATTTAAAGCTAGAGGGCTGTTTCGCCCGGATACTCCTCGGGAGAAGTAATTAGCAGCTTTTTGGTACGAGAGTGCTCCTCCTGAAGGTTTTCTATGTTCTCCTTGTTATCCGCATCAAGGTCAGGAATTAGAGTTGACTTTAAAGGCGTGCCCGCCGATCGCTTTCTGCCGTTGCTATTGCCAAAGGGTGAGGCCAAATTAGGTTCATTCCCGTCCAGGCAATATAGGAGACTGGGACTCAAATCGGATTCGTCCAAATCGTCGATGTCCTGCGTAGTGCTGGCTCCTCCAAAATCATCCGATCGACTGGCAAACGATAAATCCGCCGGACTGGCGGTAAGCACGCTGCGCGTTAACAAATATTCCCTAAGGATTAATAGAAATGTCAAAACCATTGTTATGCTGGTGTGTGATCTGAACTCACTTGAAATCACTAGATAAGGCATTCGAGGGCTTTGAGTCTTCGTTGCTGGTACTGCTGCTGGTTGTCCGTTGTCTGGAGTTTAATACGGCAAAGCTTTGCTGCTGCCTTAGGATATCTGCATATCCTCCTAGCGAAGTGGCATCCTCGCTGTGCAGCGAAGGCGGCTCCCGTTGCTTGGTGGGTGTGCAACCAATCGAATCCTGCTCTTCTTGCTCGGCAAAGCTCAGGTTCAGCTGTTTATCTCCATTACCAGCCAATGCTGTTAGCAACATAACGGGTTTTCGTGAACGTGGAGTCATAATAGATTCCTAAAATAGGGTAAACAAAGTTGTCATAAATGTAAGTAGGGATTACTCAATTTCAATGAGAACATAGTATTTAGCTTGACATTAAAAATACATTTTCAAGGGCAACATTTTTTAAGTGTTGATTATGATTTTAGTTATCATGTAAACAATCAATTAAAAAAGTTAATGGGTTTTCGTCGCACCTGCATCGCCTTGGGCATACGTTGAGTAGACTTTGTTATAGGCGACATCGAACGCCGGCCCATATGGAGAGCTGGTGTGCTCGTGATGAGATCCATGTTGCGGTAGACGCTGCTCTGTAGGATCTGTTGATAACCCAGGGCCATTGCGGGCAGTTCATTCGAGCTGCCATTGTTTTCCGACAGCGTATCATCACCCTCCTCATCTACTTCCCTACGATGTTCGTCGTCATCATCGCTGTCATCCACATCCTCAAGCAGTGGGGTATCCGCGGCCAAGGGGCAGTGCTTTCCTTCTTCGCCACTAGGACGCCGCCTAAGAGTTGCCGAAACACTACGCACGAGCCGTTTGGTCGTTTCGGGTGTACTGAACGGGAATCTAAGATTACCCATGCTGACGCCCTTCATCAATTTGCGGGTTATCGACCTGCCCATATGGCTACTGCTTGCTGCCATTGTGCAGCGGCCCTCCACAATGGGCGTTAATACACCATCGTCCTCTTCATCTACGTCTACCTGCGGTAGGATACTCGAGAGATTAGGCTCTGACTTGTAACGCGACGATTGCTGGACGGGCGTGGAGGGATTCGAGTACTCTTCGATCTCCAGCAGCCGGTGCTCGTCCCAGGCCACACTCTTCTTGTCGATTAACTGCTTTGCAACTGCTGACATAATCTTCAAAGGCGTTACACAGCAATCTGCATCGATCTCATCTAAGTCTTGGCCAGCGACAGAAGCGCATCCGCCAGAAGGTGAATCCTTTGACTGTTGGCGGCTAACTGGAGCAGAAATGCTACCGCTAGCCGCACAACTGGAGCTGCTGTCAGAGGAAGAGGACTCAATCTTAAGGGACACGGATGACATGGATTTCTGAAGCTGATGCCGGGGGTTAGTGGCCAGGGTGACGCTGGTGATGGTCGATGAGGTGGGTGTTGGTGGAGTGGGACTTTGAAAAAGGACACGCATCTTCGGCGGTTTCACATGCGACATGTTGGGCGTCTGGCGATGACCATACAAACAATGAGAACACATGCGGTTAGTTAAAAAAAAAAAAATGACAGTATGCGTAACAAAAAACCAGGACTTACCTCGGGCCCTCCAGCCAAATGAAAACTGGGTGGTACTCTTTTCGGAGTGCGCGACATAAGACTTTTGTGGAAAATGTGCTTTTTAATAGAATCACCAAGGGACTTTGCACTTCGAGTGGCTTCATTATTCTTCAGCCTATTCATTACCACCAGCTGCAACGGTGTTCCTGATCAAATGAAAAAATATATAGTTAAATATCCAAGTGTGCGGTTTAAAAAAATGTATTATAAAAGCAAGGGAACTTAAACAGTCATTACAAATCTCTTACTTTATGTAGTTTTAAAAATATTGAAAACAATTATAGGGTTCTGTAACCAATTACCAATCGATTTTATAATAACCAGAAGTATTTAAATCATAAGACCCAGCATTGGAAATATTAAAAGCTTTTCTGTAAATATAAATTAATTTACCCTGCCCATTTTGCTTGTTGAACTGTTTGATCAGTCGCCGTTTCTTAGAGGACTCCGGCATGCTCTGGATATGGGCATAAAGCTGGGCCAGTTCTGTGTCTGTGTTGTTTGTATTGGTTGCCGCTGCGGTGGCAGCCCGGTCTACGAAAGTGTACACCGTGTTGACCGTCGAGATGTCCGAGATGGACTCGTCGAGTGTTTGTTCCGGTGACATTGTTTTCTTTCGTTTGCGCTCGAGAAAGTACGCCCGGATATCAGTGGACAGCTTTCCAGGCACCTCAAAGATGTCTAAGCCACGAACTATCATATAGGTCACGATGCTGGCCATCTTCTTGGCCTGGTAGTGTAGCACCTCGGGCGGCAGTTGCCGAGGACAGATCAAATGCGGAGTGAAAAGAGTGGCTAAGTTTTCAGCACTCATCTTGTTGCTCTTCTCGTGCTTGGCCACGGCATGCAACATTTCTATTATGTGCTGAAGAAGGTCGCGATGCTCTTCAGGAAGAAGCAGGAGCAGCAGCTGCACAGAGTTGAGAAGGTGCTGCTGACGCTCAGCAGAGGCCACCACCTGACCATTGAGTGCTTGGCAGAGCGGTGCTATCTGGAGATGTGCGGGATAGTGGGCATCTGTGAGCAAGGGTTCCGGTAGCTCAGAAAGAAATCCTTTGAACACGGTAGCGCAATCATGCGCTGAGAAACCGGCAAGCTCTAAATTCAGTGGCTTGTCGTGCTGGATGTGCATACGCAGTTCGTTTTGCCGAGACACTGCCCCAGTCTTACGGAATAGGCCCTCCTGTGTGAGATCTCCAAGGGTAAATTAATATAAAGTTCTTCATTTGGGTTTTTCTAAACTTACTTTTATCCAGCATGAGAAACTCCTTAAGTTCTTGCAGATGCATCAAAAATCCCGGATCAATTTGCTGTTGCAGTGTCTCCGTCGGACTATTACCCACGGACTTACTGCCTGAGCCAGAGCTGGCGGCACAGGATGTAGCGACTGCTCCATGCCCCAGGCGATGCTTCTTTGACAGACGGTTCCACTTCTTCAGCTTTCCTTTGTCCTCGTAAACGATCTCGTGGCAGGGAAGATCAAATCTATTTATGAGAATTCTTAGTTGAGTTCGGTATTGCCATATATCTCTCTTACTCGTCTGTATTCAGCTCCAATTCGAAGGATAAGTGCATGCGCACAAGGGACTTGTACTTTTCGTAATTGCATCGGCGCATGCGCCCAGCTAGATCGCGATCTCTGAAATCATTTAGGTTCGCATGGTCCGTGTCCATCATGGTTTCCGTCAAATCTGACCGTGAGTACGTCGAAAGTATCGGGTAAACACTGTGTATGTCCACGAGAAATCACAACAACAACAATAACGACTGCCAGCGGATGTGGGAAAAACAACAACAACGTCGGAAAGGACAATGACAAGTTTGATTTGATAATCCGAAGGCTACTTCTTTCACTTCCGCCCGTAATGATTTTATTTTTAGAAATGTTTTTTGTCGCAGACCTATTGCGAGATCACATAATTCTGAATTTATCACATTAACATCGAATTTTAACTGCTGAAAATTGAAAATTGAGACGCTACCGAACCAGTGTGACCGCGGCTAGAGCGCCAAATTATGACCTCTTGATGGAATAAATGAATGAGCTGATCTGGTAGTCCATAACTAAAGACTAGTTTTAACTTCTTATACGTATAGAGGTTTAAATACCCTTTAAAAGTTGTATTACTTTAAGAAATTAGGTTCCCATTGCAAACCACCTGTGCTTAAATTTTAAAGAAGCAACATTCTGTATGGCGTTGCCGGATCGTATAGGATTTGGGACAAAATAAAATAAAATTTTAGTGCTCTTTTTAATAACAATAACATAAGTTTCCGTGTTGTTATATTTGATACTAGCTAATCAAACACAGAATTAAATCAATGGAAAATATGCGATGGTTCTCTCATGTCGAAAATCAGCTGATCTATGATATTATGAAAAGTGTAACCAGAGTTATGATTTATAAGCCGCAACAAAGCATTTTATTTCTCTAAACCAGTGTGACCGCCGAAAAGTACATTATTGTCTCGCGCTTTTTACAATAAATATATAAGATTGTATTAAAATGGTTATAATTATGCGTGTTACTCCGCCAGAACATGGCTTGCTGTATACGGCCAACAATATCAAGCTTAAACTGGGTGAAAAAGTGGTGGGCGAGGGGACAATTTATATTTCCCAAAAGTGAGTTCTATAAAGCTTTGCCGGTGTCTGCAATTGTTTGTATCACGGCAAACTTTTTAAATTCGTAATTTTTTTGATTTTAGTACATTATCCTGGCAGCCAACCGACCTGCCAGAGGGCATATCCATCGAATGGAAGCAGGTAAGCCTGCACGGTATCTCCTCGAATCCGAGAAAGTGTATCTACTTCATGCTGGACCACAAAGTGGAGTGGAATGGGGTGTATGGAGATTCTCAGCAGCCAGCGGTTAATGGCCAAAATGGCGGTGGATCAGAGGCGGAGGTAGACGAGGGAAATGGAAGCGATGAGCACGAGGCGGACGACAATTTTGAGGATGCTGTAGATGAGCAGTTCGAGGAGGTCACAGAGTGCTGGTTGTTACCTGACGACATTCACACCGTAGACACTATGTACAGCGCCATGACCACTTGCCAGGCACTACATCCGGATTCAGCGGACAGTGATTCCGAGGACAGCGATCCTATGCAGGACGCCGGTGGTTTGGATGACGAGGCAATGGAGGAGGAAGACGACCTGACGCTGGGACGCAATGGTGTTCAGAGTCTCAGCCTTGAAGACGACGACGAGCGTTTTGAAGACGCTGATGAATAAAGCATCACCTATTTATATACCGATATCCCTTTTTTACCAGACTAGGTGTACGAATTGTAAGGATATATATGTATTGAATTAGATTTTGAAGTAATAAATAAAAACGCTATAAGCGGAACTAAAGCTAAGGGCTTTCCTTGGTGTTTTCCTTATTTCGAGCAATTTCAGCCTCCAAATCCTGTTCGCTGACGGGCTGTGACAGCTGTGAATTAGGAATTGTTATTATCAATATTTTCTGCGGCTTAAATAACTTACAGCTTTGGCCACATCCACCAAGAGAATTGCCTGCCGAAAGGCGTCACCATTAGAGGGCACTTTGTCGTAGTTCCAGTAGGTAAATTCTTCGAAAGCTCCAGTAAGACGCAACTGTCGGTCGGAAGATTCGCTTATGGGTTTGCTTGTTTCTTGGAGAACTAAACCCCTAAATCCTGCGGGTACTTTTAGCTGCTCTCCCATCAATGGGTATCCCCGCAAAGCATTCGTTAGAATTCCACTGCCAAAGTCGGTTGCTTCTTTTGTGTAGTTGTTGAAATATTGCTCGACATTTGCTTCGCCATCGCCATCTATTTTTGCCGGCAAGTAGTGTAGATCCAAATGTTTGCTCTTGGCTAGGTTTTTGCTATTAAAATCCAAAGTGATAGACATTGTTTGATAATTATAAAATAAAAGGTAAACAGAACGGTGGGTAAACAGAAACGCCGCCAAAATGTTGTTATCAAGCAGGGTTGTGGCTAAACGTCTATCGATTTTGTCAAAATAAAGACAATCATCGATTGCCAAAGAAAACAAACAAAAATAAATTTTATACAGAAAAAAGTAATGTAACAGATACTCAATCCTAAAATAATAGATTCTTGTATTATAATAATTTATTAATTCAATTAATTCAAATCCAAATATCAATGGTTGGGAGAAAATGGCAAACCCTGTCGACAGTACCGAACAATTATCGATATTTTGTCGAAATCTAAACGATGGTCCACCACTAGTAAAAATGGCGTTCGAAGTTGTAGTTAATTTTTTAAGAGAATCCGTAAAACAATAGCGCGTGAGGCCGCGACAGAATAATTCGCGCATTTTCAACCGTTCCGTGGACGTGAAAACGTGTGGGCGTGCGTTGTTCTTAAAGATTTTGGCGGATTGCTAACGAACTGGAGCTAAAGAATTGTGCCTCCGTTGGTTATTATTGCAAATTTTAGTACAACTCACATTCGAGCACACACAACGATATCAAAAGAAATACGAGTGCGAGTAAATAGTGAGGCACCCATACTGGAGCATTGACTAAATTAAAGTTAATTAAACGCCTAGTGGTATTTCATTTAATGCAATTTGTGAAATAATAGAGTGACAGAGGGAGAGACAGATCGATCCCCTGCTCCCACTCTCCCTTGCAGCATGCGTGAGTTACGTCTGTGTGTGCGTGCGTGAGAGAGTGAGCGAGACATGTGCGTGTGAGGTGCAGCAGCATCAAATAACAACAACATAAGCAAAACACTTTCGGGTGAGTTTTTCGTGAATATTTTGCCTACCTGCAAGATTTCTTACCTACACCTTCGCTTTTGGGCTGGGTTTTTGCACTTGGGGGAAAATACATACATTATCTCGCCCGAACCTACTAGTAATACCCATTTCTATTTGTTATCTTTGATTGCAGCTTGTAAAAAAGAAATAACAAATCGGTGTTATTATTTATATATACAAATATATCTATGTGCGTGTGCCATGACACACAGCCACAAACACAATAAATACAACAATTGCAACCGTCAAGGCTACCGCAAAAGCAGCAGTAACAAAACCAACAACTGCAGTTACCTTCGGCAATGAAATTACCTCTCACCGCCCTCACCTGCTCCTATTCCTTCTCTGCTTCCTCTCCTTCTCCTTCTACTTCTGCTTCTTCTTCGGTCTCCGTTCGCCACTTCAACAATAATAACAAACATGCCCGCGAAGTATAAATAATCAATATACAAAATAAATCCATTTATTTTTATACAAACCAAACAATATAAATTAAAAGTCGGAAATTATGAATAAATTGGATTACCCACGTCGCAATGGTACACACAAAGTTCGAATAACGAGTAAGTCGGCTGCCATAAACAACTCTAAATCCTACTAATATATTAACTTTTTTACAGTATTGTGTGCAAGAAATTTGGCTCGCAAGGATTTATTTCGTGAGTATTATTGTTTTTTGTTTTTCTGAAACATTTTTTTGGGGTATGTTAGAACAATCATTGTAAGCGAAAAATTTCGAAATAATCTTTCTAAATTGGAGAGGAAACACATATAATTGGCTTTTTTTTTACTAAAATCGCTATGATAGAATCTTATACCTATTATTAGTGACCGAAAATTGTAATTGTATGAATTCACTTTAACTTTTGCCAAACTTTTAAAAAAATATGATCATATAACCAGTAAATATAGGCATAAGTACTTAATTTTCTTGATTACGTTTGATATTTTGGGATTTTGTTCACCTGACAGGGGTTAATTGCTTGACTCACTTTTGGTTAGTTACGAGGAATTTCATGTAGTTCGATTGTTTGGAATTTTTTAGTTTAGTTTTCTTTTAAAGACCATCAATTAGGCACCTGTTTAGACGTCGAATCAAAACACACATTGCGATAAATTAAAGTTTTGTTTTATTTGCGGCGCTTGTGGCGTTGTTGCTTCTTCTTTTTCTTAGCATTTATCTATGCATATGAGGTATCGCTAAATTTAGCACTTCCTTTTGTCTACTTTCATTTTTATACAAATTGCGGAAAAGGGGCGGGCCCCAACACCCCCCTTTTCGGCACTCCGCACTCATCAAGTCAAGTGGGTGAGTGTGAGTGGTGCCATATCTGAGCTCTTTTTCCATATTTTGTTTAGATATAACAAAAGTGATTATTACTAATTTGCTTTCATTGCGGCTCACTCGTTCGCCCACAAACACAATCGCATTCGGCATAATTTTTCTTTCCCTGTATTTGTGATTTATTATTATATTTTTTTTCCACTTCTTGTCCATTTTTTTACACTTCGCTGCACTTAAATCACGCGCCACGCATTGCCCAATGTACTGCCCTAAAAAAATAAAATACTAGCTATACGATATGTGATGTGATGTACTATATCCGCGAGATTCCAATGGGGGGATCTTTGGGTTTCCAAAAATGGTTCTTTGGCCGCTGGTGTCACTTCCATATTGAATGGCATATTAATGCTAATGTCTGAATTCCATGACTGACTATAGAATATGGCATAGTTATTTATTATTTGCTTTTCCGCCACAAAAATAGTTTCTTCCTTAAATTTTATCGATTCATTTTCGATTAGATTTGATTTGTACCCACCGTCGCGAACCGTCATCAATGGGAAAATCCAAGCTTGGATTTTTGGTTATATTTGCGACGTTATAAATAGATCGGTTAGACAATAAATTATACAATCGTGACTAATGAACGATGTGAAATGTGTTTTTCTTATATCTTGTTAAAAAAAAAAACTTAGACATAGTAATCTTTGGAGTTTCCTTTCATAATTAACGATATACAATACACTCAAAAGAGAATTCAGTGCAGCCGGATATAGACGAAACAATGATATCTTTCTTATTAAATCGTCGTGTTTTTGGAGCTTACAAGGTTTCTGCTGTTTTAATGCGGGATTATGGAAGCTTATCGGAAGTAAAGAAGATTCAAAATGTCTTGCAAGCAGCTAATAACATTGGAAACGCTAAGAGAGTAACCATTTTCAGTACTTCTAACATAAAAGATGTGAGCCAAGCAAAATATATTAATGTTAAGGATTTACTAATGACAGAGCAGGGAAGAATTGTGCTAGAAAACTATAAATTTAAAAATATTAAAAAATTCCCTACGAAGCCACTACCATCCACTAAAAAGTTTCCCATCAAAGAAAATGCTGGCAAAGGAATAGATCCATATGAAAAAAAAGAACAGGAAGCTAAGATACTTGAGAGGCTAAAAAACATCGCTAAAGAAAAGGTCAATCCAATTGAGGAAAAAATAGAAGAGCTTAAAAATGATAACAGATTACAGGTTACAGATAACTTGATAGCCAAAGCTTTTGATGTCCACTTTATTATCAAAAAGCAGAGCAAGCATGCTGATCCTGAAGGCTCTATGACTCTACAAGCGAAAGATTCAACATCAGCTCCTCCACCACCCCCTAAAGGATCACCGCCACCCCCAACTGGAAGCTCTCCTCCACCTAAAAGTGGTTCTTCTCCTCCAAAGGGTGGCCCTCCTCCACCAAAGGGTGGCTCTCCTCCACAAAAGGGTGGCTCTCCTCCACCAAAGGGTGGATCGCCACCACCCAAGGAGCCTCCGAAAGGTCCACCGCCTGGAACACCGCCACCTCAGACGAAGACAACTTTTGGACCACTTGCTGATGCTGATCGTATCTTTACCAATTTGTATGGACGTCACGATTGGCGTTTGAAGGCGGCTATGAAGCGTGGTGACTGGTACAAGACCAAGGAGATCTTGGGAAAAGGCGATATTTGGATATTAAACGAGATCAAAACGTCCGGATTGCGTGGTCGCGGTGGAGCAGCATTTCCCAGTGGACTTAAGTGGTCATTCATGCTTAAACCGCCTGATGGTAGGCCCAAATTTCTGGTGGTCAACGCGGACGAGGGCGAGCCAGGCACTTGTAAGGATCGAGAAATAATGCGTCACGATCCGCACAAGCTGATAGAGGGTTGTCTCATCGCCGGAAGAGCAATGGGTGCCAACACTGGATTTGTATACATTCGTGGAGAGTTTTACAACGAGGCTTGTAATCTTCAATATGCTATTATAGAAGCATACAAGGCTGGTTATCTCGGAAAGAATGCGTGCGGTTCCGGATATGATTTTGATCTGTATGTGCATCGAGGAGCAGGGGCCTATGTTTGTGGTGAGGAAACCTCCCTAATCGAATCCTTGGAGGGCAAGGCTGGTAAGCCGCGAAACAAACCTCCTTTTCCAGCGGATATTGGGGTCTTCGGTTGTCCGTCGACGGTGGCCAATGTGGAAACGGTTGCTGTGGCTCCAGCGATTTGCCGGCGTGGTGGCAAGTGGTTTGCCAGTTTTGGACGTACACGAAACTCCGGCACCAAATTGTTTAACATCTGTGGACACGTTTGCAACCCGTGCACGGTAGAAGAGGAAATGTCTATTCCTACAAGGGAATTAATTGAACGCCATGCTGGCGGAGTGATCGGTGGTTGGGACAACCTTTTGGGCATAATTCCGGGTGGCTCCTCAACTCCTGTAATTACCAAAGAAGATGCTGACTGTTCAATCCATGACTATGATGGGATGATACAAGCGCGTTCATCCATGGGAACTGGTGCCTTAATAGTGATGAACAAGGATGCGGATATTATCAAGGCCATTGCCCGCCTCTCAGCATTCTACAAGCACGAGAGCTGCGGTCAATGCACGCCGTGCCGCGAGGGTCTACACTGGATAAATATGATAATGCAAAGATTTGTGACAGGAAACGCTCAGATTGGGGAGATCGATATGTTGTGGGAGCTGACCAAGCAGGTTGAGGGCCATACCATTTGTGCCCTCGGTGATGGTGCTGCCTGGCCTCCCCAAGGACTCATCCGTCATTTCCGTCCGATAATCGAAGAGAGAATTAGAAAGCGGGATGCTGATCAGCAAGCTGCAGCTGATGCCGTAGCCGCTGAACGCTTCCCTTGTCAACCTGTGCCTCCTTGTCCAGAATAAAGCGTGCCAACTGCAGCAGCAATTCAACTCTTTTTGTGTCCAATTCCAACAGCAGTGGCATGTGGCTGGCTTCAAGCTCCGCTGACTACCGGCTTCCGTCCGAGTGAAAGTGCAGCCAGACGTTAACTTCCTCGCCTTGTCGACTGGGCCACGAAATTGTGCCACGTAGCGTTAAGGGGTTGAACATATAGTCATGTTAGCCCAAAAGCCGGCGGCGAGTCTGTTGGCCGCCAATCCCGGTGCCTTCTTCATACTTCTTTCTCACTTTTCATGCAGCTCAGCCGTGAAGAGAGTGAGGAACTGTGGCTTATAGACTTGGATGTTGGGTTATGCAACAAGGCGGGTTTATTGGATGAACATATTTTATAATATACCAGGAATAGGTGTTTAGTATTAGTATTCATAATCTTCAAGTTTTAATAACAATTCTTTGAGACATTTAAATATTCGCCAGAGTTGATATTCTATTGTAGTTATTTATTTAATTATATTGTGTATATAAATCGAAATAATTATGGGCAGTTTCTGATTTAAAAATGGTAAATGTTTTTCAGTTTTTTGTGTTCTCTGTAAATCAAATGCTACTAAAGAAAACTTCGTTGAATTGCATTGCAGAGGAAGCTTGAATACATATCTTTAAAACACACCTTTTACTTCCATATAGAGTGTTCTTTAGAGTTTCTGCTGTCTACCTACCTTCATTCTTTCCCACTGCTCTTCTTTCGATGTTCTCTCTTGCATAAAATCAATCAACAGCTGCCCGGCGACGACAGCAAAGACGTAGCAATGTGGCCTACTCGAATTACCTGGCTAAGTCAAACGGGTTGATGGTATCCTCACCAGCTGATAGAAGGCCTGTTTACGCTCTTGCTATGTTTGTGGCCAAGTAGCCATAGCCATGACAACAACGTCAGCCTTGAGATAACGATTCACGACAAATGGATATACATAGATACAAATATGGGAGTGCGAAAAAACCTATTTGTGATATCTACCGGGTTATGAGTCAGAGGCTGTCAGACTGGGAGGGACTGGTTGAGTCTGGTCGAGTCGGGTCCGCATAAATCATCGGCCCCGGCTCGATATAGTTCTTAATTGTTTAATTCAGCCGGAATGCCGTGCGCTTAATTTGTCAAGATTCTAGGCATTATCGGCGGTCGCCTAAGACGATAAGCCTAAGCGATGCGGCAGCGGGTGTTCCTATTTTAGTTTGATAACGCAGATTGGCAGATAGATTCCATTCCTTCATTGCCATACATGTGTTTCCATATCTCTCTCTCTCTTTCTTTGACTAATGACACTTGACCGCAATGCTGGCCGCGATGAAAATATATTTATTGAAGCATTGTTTAGATTTAATTGGCCTTTCTTGCCTTTACGCTAAAAACAAAAGAGTTTAGTGGAGCGACCAAATGAAAAGTTCCCCCTTTGATTGTCAGCCGGATTCTTAATATAGAAAAACTATTTCTACACAATATTATATATGGGACACTGTTCTAAACAGAACGAAACCATTTTTCTGATATGCATATTTGATGAATTCAATGGTACTGAAATTCAGATAGCTATATTTATTTTTGTGTTTATATGCACATAATTTAAATGCGACTTAAGTCTTCTCATCCATATGGATTAAAAGGCGGTGTAGTGGGAATCTGTGGCATTGATCCTGGGCCTGGGTTCCAGCCCCTGTGGCGTCTCTCGTCAAAGGGGAAAGGATCTCCTGTAGCCAGGGTCACGAAAAGGAACAGGGCCAGAAGTCCCAGCAGGTGAATCCAGACAGAAGGCATTGCTATTTCGTTTGTGGTGATGTTTCAGAAAATCACTGCGCTTATATAGGCCTCACTTAACTAGGGGCTTCACAGACTCTGGGAGATAAGCTAAAATCGAATAGGGAACTCACACTTGGGGGGAATTTATTCTTAAGGATTATTAATCAAGATCTCTTCGGTTGATCTCCTCCAACGAAGAAAATATGATTGTGGGTGTTGGAGTTGGAGCTTCGGTGTATTTCTGAGGCACTTGCAAGCAGTCAGGCTTAATCTGCAAACGTTGGGCGAAGCCAGGATGCCGATGGCTATATCCTTCAGTAGTTAAATAAAATTGCGGCATCATCAGCAGCAACGAAATTACAATATACACAAAGCTATCCATGACGGATTCAAACTAATCAAGTTACGATATTCATGTTGCTTTAAATAGTTTTATTTTGTAATAACTATAATGGTCTATATATCTAATTTAACACTCAATCTGCAATTTTCGCTGATAAATAGAACCATTTTCCCAATTGAATGGGAGCCACGCCAACGGTTTCTATAATAAAGATAATGCAATTATCTATTGTATTCGTAATCACATTGTTGACAATAGAGGGTGTATGTTTATACTTATTATATATTATTATTTATGATCGATTTCAATAAATTTTATTTATATTTTTGCAGGTCTACCCGATCCCTTTGCTAAGGTTCAGGTGGATGGAACTGGACAGGTGTACTCGACGGAGATAAGCAAATCCTCTCTGGATCCCAAATGGAATGCACACTACGATTTGTTTCTGGGCATTGGAGATGCCATAACGATAACCGTGTGGAACCAGCGCAAGATACACAAAGGCAGCGGATTTTTGGGATGTGTGAGAATACCTGCTTTCAACATACAGAGCCTCAAAGGGGCTGGGTGTAAGTGATTCATATATCTGATAAATGGCTTAAATTTTAAATTCATTTTATATATCCTGCAGTTCAACGTTTGGATCTGGGAAAACTATCGCCTGATGACGATGAGCTGGTGCGAGGTCAGATCATCATTTCTTTGCTGTCAAAGGATGGACCCAGTAGTGGCAACCCACTGGCTATTGTGGGACCAAGTGGAGATGTCCGAGGACCGTCGGAAGATGATTCATCGGAGGATAGTTTGCCCGAAGGTTGGGAGGAGCGCCGTACTGACAATGGACGGATCTACTATGTGAACCATGCGACCAAGTCGACACAGTGGGACAAACCTAGGCACCCAGTGGGAGTTGGAGGCAGTCAGACAACCTCACCACAACAACGCCACAATACACACAACGGCAACAGCGGCGATCGACCAGCGCCAGCTGGACCAACACGCTCCACAACCTGCACGAATTTGATGAATAACGGTCACCGCAGTCGAGACTTGGCCGTGACAGCTTCAGACGAACGTAGGCACTCCACGGAGATTCTGTCCACCGTCGGCAAGGAGAACACCAGCCCCACTACGCCCGTTTCGGCAACTGCAACGCCAGGCAAGAAGACCGCATCGAACTTATCATCGTCGGGAGTTCGCACTTTGGAGCAGCGACCGACGAACGAACAGGCGACGCCCACTAGTAGTAGTACAACATCGGCATCGGTTCGCTTGCACAACAACGACAATCATGTAAAAACGCCAAAGCACCAAACGAATGGCCATGCTCCTCCAGAGGCCACGCCCACATCGCCTACGGGTCAGCAGAACTATGTAAATGGGAATGCTCAGAATGGAAGTTCAGGAAACGGAGGCCAAGCGGCACAGCCTCAAAGTGCTAGTAACGGATGGACGCAGGAAGATACCGCTACGACGACTTCGGGTTCGACTACAACCACTCCTCCCAGACACAGTCAGAGTCCGCCAACCCCAAATACATCGCCACCAGCTTCTGTAACCCCCTCTGCAAATGGAAATGTACACAGTCCAAATGCGAACAGCACACCAACTGCTAGTGTAAGCGGTGGAGGGAGCAGATCCTATACAGCAGCAACTCCCGCACAACGTTCCCAGCGTCGCAGTTCGCGGCAACAGGGTGAGGAGTCATCAACAAGACGACGCTCTTCCCGAGGAACTAGAAGCGGAGGCAACTCGGGTGGCGGAGGAGGATCTGGGCAGCGGTACGCTTCGGCAGCCATCGCCGCTGCCAATCTGGCAGCTCGTCCTTTTTTGGATCTGCCGCCAGGCTATGAAATGCGGACCACGCAGCAAGGCCAGGTGTACTTCTATCACATACCGACGGGCGTTTCAACTTGGCATGATCCTCGGATACCCCGTGATTTCGACACCCAGCATTTGACGCTGGATGCGATCGGACCATTGCCAAGTGGCTGGGAACAGCGAAAGACGGCCTCGGGAAGGGTTTACTTTGTGGACCACAACAACCGAACCACACAGTTCACGGATCCCCGACTAAGTGGTAGCATTTTGCAGATGATTCGACGGGGTGCCGTGCCACCAGCCGCTGCAAATGCAGGTACACCTGCTCCGCCAGCAGCTGCTCCTGCCACTGCCACCCCATCGGCAGCAGTTCCAGCCCAGGCAACACCAGCAAACAACGCAACTACAACGACGCCCACAACTACAACAAACCCGCCCCACCGCATTGTTCCGGATTTGCCGCAAGGATTGCTCGAGGGTGCAGACCTCCTGCCCAAATACCGACGAGATTTGGTGGGCAAGCTGAGAGCTCTGCGCACCGAGCTGCAAACGATGCAACCGCAATCCGGACACTGCCGTTTAGAGGTGTCACGCAACGAGATTTTCGAGGAGAGCTATAGACTGATTATGAAAATGCGGGCCAAGGATATGCGTAAGCGGTTGATGGTTAAATTTAAGGGCGAGGAGGGACTTGACTACGGCGGCGTGGCGCGCGAGTGGTTACATCTTCTCTCCCGCGAGATGCTTAACCCGCAGTACGGCTTATTTCAGTACAGCCGGGATGACCACTACACGTTGCAGATCAATCCGGACTCTGGAGTAAATCCCGATCACCTGTCCTATTTTCATTTCGTTGGACGCACACTAGGCATTGCCGTGTTCCACGGTCATTGTCTTGATGGTGGGTTTACCACACCCTTCTACAAGCAGCTGCTGAACAAACCGATTACGCTTGGCGATATTGAGGGCGTGGACCCGGACCTGCATCGCAGCCTCACCTGGATGCTGTAATATTATAACTTGTACGCTTCTTCATACATTATTTACCCTATATTTGTATTTTAGGGAGAGCAACATTAGCGGCATCATCGAATCCACTTTTAGTGTGGAGAACAATAGCTTTGGTGCTCTGGTGGTGCATGAATTAAAGCCTGGAGGTGCCTCCATTCCTGTGACGGAGGAGAACAAACGGGAATATGTTAAGCTCTATGTGAACTACCGTTTTATGCGTGGCATTGAACAACAGTTTTTGGCTTTGCAGAAAGGTTTGTAGTTGCCATTAGCTTTGTATTAAGAATAGTCTTAAATAATGCAAATTTTGCAGGATTTTGTGAGCTTATACCCAGTCATCTTTTAAGACCGTTTGATGAGCGCGAACTGGAATTGGTCATTGGCGGCATCTCCCGCATCGATGTTAACGACTGGCGGAACAATACGAGACTGAAGCACTGTACGAACGAAACGACGCAGGTGTTGTGGTTCTGGCAGGTGTGTACCCTAATCTTAAATGGTTTTGAGATTTTGAAGTTATTTGTGAGCTGTAATCGGTCAACTTATTGACTCACTTTTGTTATGTTTCCCTGTAGGTGGTGGAGTCTTATAGCTCTGAGATGAGAGCCCGCCTGCTGCAGTTTGTGACGGGATCGTCGCGAGTGCCTCTGCAAGGATTCCGAGCGTTGCAAGGCTCCACGGGAGCGGTGGGACCACGACTGTTTACCATTCACCTGACTGCCGACGTACCGACACAAAACCTGCCCAAGGCGCACACCTGCTTTAACCGGATCGATTTGCCGCCCTATGAGACATACCAACTGCTCTGTGACAAGCTGACGCAGGCCGTTGAGGAGACCTGTGGTTTTGCCGTTGAGTAGGATCCAAGAAATGGAGCGACACTGTGACCCTCACCCGATCCACGCATATGCATATACATAGACACCTTTAAATACATATAAAACACATTATAAAGAAACATATATCAAGGCGATTTGAAATCAAAATTGTATTGACCCTGGTCAAGATGATAAGTTTTTATTTTTATTTGTTTGTTGATGAACTGCTCCCCGCAGCGCTGTTTAATCTTGTGTGCTGCGCATTTTGCAGTTAAAAATTTAATTATTTAGCGAGTATGTACTGACTTATCGTATACATAGTTACCAAGTGCATATATATATATGAATATATACACTTTCACATCCCCAACAGACATATACATATACATATATATATATATATATCCTGGCCTTTGTTTGTTTACGTCGTGGCGCGTGTTATAAATTGTAGTTTAAAATATTACGAAACCAATTATACATACAATTATACAAGATTATACATATATCATAGTTGATAATTAGGCATAACAAAATTTTTAATTGTAGGCATTGGACCGGCAATTTTTTCGTGCTTTTGTTTAATTTAGGACATTTTTGATGTTTATTAATTACATTTTGTACATTTATAAAAACGAATCGAACTCACTGCTAAGTTTTTAATTATTGTTTAAATCGTCCTTAAACACACACATACATCAACACACTCATCGACACATCCGCTTGCATATTTTATAAGTATGTGAGAGTAAGGATTGACTACCCAAAAAAGATAATGAAAATAAGAGAGCAAAACAAAACACTTGAAAAATTACTCAATTATTAAATTAGTTATTTTTTAAATAAATGCAAATTATTTAAATTACATTCTTTGTTAATTTTATTTTTTATTTATATTGCCACATCGCCAAAATCAAAACATTTATGAAACAAACTCTATATACACGTACATCTTTAATACATATTTACATCAGTTTTTAATGAAAACGAATTGGACAAATTTTTTAGAAGGTGATATTAGTAAAAATTTTATCTGACTTTAATTAAACCGAAACAATTGGTAGATATTTAAGAACCTTACCCAACCTCCCATTCCCAAAATCCAACCGTAACCCAAAAATGTAGTGCATATGTGAGATCTACTGGTTTTTTATTAAGAACAAGGATTCAACCCTTGAATTTAATAGAAGATAGACTTAACCCTCCCAAAACACAACACAAATCGATCGTTAACTCTTTAGCTTTAGCGAGATCTAGGAATCAAATGACTAAGGATTCTAAGGCAGTTGTCCTACGCACATTGATAGGGACTCTGCTCCATTAACCAAAAGGGATTAAAAATAAATGAGCCTTAAAATAGAGTTGTTTTATTAATCTGGTGGTATAATTGGGTTTCCTGGACTTTAAAATCTTTAAAGGGCCTACGAAAAATAATATTAATAATTTACAAAAAAGAAGTAATTGCCGAAACCCGGGATTGAACCGGGGACCTTTAGATCTTCAGTCTAACGCTCTCCCAACTGAGCTATTTCGGCACTTGGGCAACCCGCGTCAAGAGCCAATTTTCACACCAGAACTGGTTTGAGTCTAAGTGTATAAAGAAAATGAACGTGAAATTAAGGGTTGCAAAATACAACATTTTTTAGTAGAGACACACACCTTAATTTTATTCCATACGTGCATACGAATTACTAGCTGTTTTGACACAGAAAAAACATCTGCCGAAATAGCTCAGTTGGGAGAGCGTTAGACTGAAGATCTAAAGGTCCCCGGTTCAATCCCGGGTTTCGGCAATTACTATTTTATTTATTAAATGTAATAAAAGCAAATGAAATACGTATATATATTTTTTTATTTTTGTCTAAAATTAGTCATCATTAGTATTATAGCAAGCCGCCAGTACTTTAAATAATACAAAGTATATATTGTAGTGTATCTAGTTTTACATACGACCTAGAATTAACTAAGAGTGCATGACTATTTATTTTCCGGGGCATGCCCCAAAGTTCTATTAAGAAACATTTCCTTTATACGTATATTAAGTGGGTGTTTAAGGCATCCATATATAGCAGCTCCCTTAAGTATACAAAAGTTTATTGCTTAACTTAGTTTAGCTACGGCTGGCTATGGGTACTGAAAAGTTGGCGACTTTTGAGCCAAGCCAGCAGGCAGTACGATAAATTATAGAGCAGCATTACAACTACGATTCTTTACGCTATTAAGTTACAACTCAAAATCGTTCGCAAATTACTAAAGCTAGTGCACGGATGGATGTTCCAGTCCAGTCCAGTCAGGAGAGCCCGCTCAAAAATCGGGATCATAATCGCGAGAATAACGCGTCCGACTCGCATGATTGTTGTAGCTATACATCTGGTGGGCATCGGCGAAGGCATCCGGATACTGGTGACCGTAAGCCTGCTGGTGCTGCTGTGAGGCCTGGTGGTGGTGGGCGGGATACTGACTGTGGCTACTGTGGTTTCCATGGTGAAGCTGTGGCCTCTTCAGAGAATCACCCTTCTGCGAATAGGTTGGCTGTTGGTCGTAGAAGTAATCCCCGCTGGTGTGTGGATGGCGGGTGGATCGCCAGCTGTCGTAGATATTGGAACTATTGCTGCCGTGCATCGAGTTGGTAAAGCGCTGGAAAAAAGATATAAATGGTTATATTGGTAAATGATTGTTTTGTACTATTATATACCTTCGGCTTTATAGGTTGCTTAGTATCATTCCAGGGATCGTCAATGTTATAGAAATCATCTACGCCATAGTTGTCTGCACCACCCATATGGTTGACCTTCAGCTCGTTTAACATATCATTCGTAAGAGGAATTGGTGTCTTCTTAGCCCTCTTCTGACGATTTAGCAACTGAAAAGAAAAAGTTATGTATGAAATGAAATTTACAAATTTAAAAATGCTTGCCCAAACTTACCACTGTAACTCCAAAGATGACAACAAACACCAGGGAACCAACTCCAATCACAATCACCACAATAGCCCATTGGGGAATGAGCAGATCCTCTTCAGCGAACTCCACATTAGTGTGAACATTTTTGGCTATGACTGCAGTTAAATATATATATTAATTTCAGATGCAATAGAAAGCTAAGATTTTAACTAACCACTAAAATCTGTGGCCACAGGATCAATGATGTATTTGCCCATTTGATAGCTGGCCGTGACTAGCTGTTCTTCCTGTGGTCCCGATACGCTATCGGTCTCATTCTCCTGGGCATCCTTGTCGGGCAAAACGGGTGTGGTTGGCTTTGTAAGCGCATCATGGAACAGCTGTCGGATTTCCAGGGTATCCACATCCTCGGTAATGTTGGCCAGCTCCACATAATAGTCGACCAGTACGCTGCCCTTGCTGAAGCTATCTATACGAACCTTCTTGTACCACTTGTTCAGCTGAGGTGCTCCGGAGTAAACTTCATTAAGCTGCGAGAAAGAAAACATATTAGGGACTGCTTAATCCTTCATTGACCAATTGCCTGTCTACCTGTGCCTCCAGTTCATGGGCTAGATTCTTCCACTCTAGAGTATTGTGATCCAGTAGCTCCGGTTTCCAGGCGACACCATCGATGATCTTGATGGTTGCCGCTAGATCACAGTCGGCGGTGCAGTGCCCCGGTTTGGTGGGTCGTGGAGTAGTCGTTGTGGTTGTGCTTGTCGTAGTGGTGGTGCTGCTTGTGGTAGTACTGGTACCACTGGCGGTAAGAAGATCCTCAAAGTTAATGGTTTGGGCATTCAGCTTGTCTATGGACAGCGGCGTAGTTGGTGGAGTTGGCCAACCTGTGAACTCGGTGGTTGCTCTAGTTGGTGGACCCTTTTTGATCATCACCTGTAGGGGATTTGAGGATTCGGTAGGTCCGCCTTCTGCAGAGGGATGCGGTGTTGTTAGACGGTGGGAACCGACTCTTTTGTGGAAGCCCTTCGGGAATACCACCTTCAAGCCACTTCCACCAGCACTTTCCGTAACAGCTGCTTCCGTGGTGCTGGATGAAATCATCTTTGGCTTATTCGTTGTTGTTGTGGTGGTGGTCGTGGTGGAGGCCGGATGCAGTTTCTTGGACTTGTAGCCAGGTGGTAGCAAGGAGGCTGGAATCTCATCACTAGTATCGCTCTCCGTTTCATTTAGTTTAAATCCAGGAGGTAGCAGGTCTTTCAAGCTGTCTATCTTAATCGGAGTCACTCCTGGAGGCAGCTTGGGTTCCACTTTTGGCTCAGGAGCCTTGTAACCAGGAGGCAACTGGAACGTGCTCAAATCATCGAAAGGTACGGCAACTGGAAGATTTCTGGCAGTGGTCGAAGGAGTGTGAGTGGTAGTATTTGCCTGAGGCTTAGGGGTACTGCTCAATTTGTAGTCCTTGGGCAGCAGCGAAGCCAACTTTTCATCAAACTGTATTTCGCTAAAGAGGCTCTCCAAGCCGGAGGAAGGATTTGGACTGCTCTCATCGGGATTTTCAGTGGTAGTCGTCGTAGTGGTTGTCTTAGGTGGTTTATAACCCTTGGGAAGTAGTCCAGCCAATGCCACATCCTGCACGGTCACTTGACCACTCTTGAAGGATCGACTTATGGTGGAGTTGCGGCCTGGTTTTGGTTTTGATACCTCAGCTGGTGGTGCTTCCGTTGTGGAAGTTGTTGTCGTGATCTTACGATTTTTGTAGCTAGGTCTTGGTTTAAAGCCCACAGGTAGGAGAGTTGCAAGTTCATCCATTTCTCCATCATCAAAGTGCTGAACCTTAACTTTACTGCCACTGCTGGTGGTTCTGGGAGCAGTTGACGTGGTCCTGGGCTGGTACTTCCTGATGTGAGGCACAAATTTTCCGGGCCCTGTTCCAGCGGTAGTACTAGTTGCTGGCGTGGAAGAATCCATCTGGCTGATGATAGGGTACTTGCCAGAGAGTAAGCCACTGGAGAGCTCCGATTGCACGCGGTCCAACTTATCGATGATGCTCTCCGTGGAGGCAGCCACTGGGGGTTGAATGGATGAGCTGGTTTGCACCTCTTCACTGCCTTCCGATTGTTTCTGAGTTGGGGTCTGCTGCTGCTTCGAATGTACCTTCCTCTCCAGTTCAGAGAGTGTCTGCTTGGTCTCCTCTTGCTCGATGGCTGGGAATGGCAGGAACCTTGCTCCATTGATGCTACGACTGGGTTGGATGGAGGCCACAACAACGTAGTTCTCAGTCGTATTTGTGCCCTTCTCCTCTTCTTGGGCTATGGGGGTGGTGGTTTCCAATTTCAGATCAGCATGTGAAGCCTCCTCTTCCTCTTCGAGAGTAATAAAGTTGGAACTGGGAGTTACTGGGGCTGGGACCACTGTGGATCCATTGACGACACTCTTTGTGGTTACCACCGATATGATTTCGCGATCTTCTTCATGCTCGGCACTGGGAGTTGACGGCTTAGAGTCCTGACTTTCCACTTCGCTGGTTGAGTCTTCACTACCTTCTTCATCATCGTATTCGTAATCCTCACCCTCGCCCTCATCATCGTATTGAGACTCGGATTGCTCCTCCGGCTTGTTTACGCTTTGGTTTTCTGATTTTGATGTGCTGTGCTCCTCCTGCTTAGATGTTTTCGTTTCCTCCTGTGTTGACAAGATCTCCTCAACCTTTTTAATCTCCATTTCGTCCTGCTTGGAGGTACTTTCCACTGGCGATTCAGTGGTAGTAGTTTGCTCTTCTACATGGACATCCTCGGTGGATTGGTTCTCCTGTGGAATAATAGTAGTGGCTTCTTCTACAATCTCCTCCTCATGAACTGGTGGTAACGTGGTGATCTCAATCTCATCGTTAGTCACTTCGGAAACATCTGTTTGACTTTCCTCGGTGCTACTGGTGCTGCTTTCGTGATCAATTTCGGAAATGGTAGTGAGTTCAGAGGGCTCTACAGGCAAGGATGCTTCGTTCTTGGCCACTGTCACTGGGGTAACGCTTTCCTCCTGAAGTGGCAGCTTCTCTAAGCTGGATGACTCTGAGTGTTCTTCCGTACCTTCGTCGGACTCCTGTTCATACTGCTCATCGCTGCTCTCCTCATCTTCCTGCTCCTCATCGAGGGCATCCTCCTCCTCTTCTTCAGCGCTTTCGGTGGTACTGGTAGTGCGGGCGGTGGGTCTGGCTGGTAGTTTTAGCCTAGCTGCACTGTAGTTGAAGGGTCTCTTGCTGACCACACTCACTGGTTCGTTGACTTCGCGACTGATGAAGACTGGTCGCCTGGGATTCGGTGACTTTCGGCCAAAACTGGGACGATCCGAGGGCGTGTTTTGGGTGGTTGAAGTGGTGGTGCTAGTGGACTTAGCCCGGTTGCTGCCAAATCGATTGTACCTTTTGCTGCTGACCTCAGCACTGCTTGAAGTTGTGGTTGTGCTGGGTGCAGTGGAGCTGCCAGGCTGATAGCGATTGCGGGGTCTGAAAGGTGTGGCTGCCGGAGTGGCTGGATTTTCCGGAAGAGCCGAAACTGGGGCCTGAGTACGAGTTCGGGTGGGTGAGAATCCACCATTGCCAAATGGACGGCTGCTAGTCACCGGACGCTTTTCGTTCTGCAAGCAAACAGAATTAGGGGTATCATCAATAGAGGAACATTGTTAAGATTTGGGGGAGTTTGTGGAATGGATATACCGTATACCCATATAATATCTTATTGCCAAGAAGCCACAGCTGCAGCTCACCGTTCACAACCTCGACTATCGTCATGGGAAACTGTTACAGTTTCGACATGGAACCGCAATCTCTGCGGTTCGTCTGCTGTCAATTGTCTTGCGTGCGAACTCTTCTCAACCGCCGTGCCATTCAAGTGATTCTCAAATTTGTCTAAAGCGTTTTGTGCAAATTTCCAGATGCTACCCAAAACCTCCCCGTCCCCACACCCGTTCATCCATAATTTATGCGCTCGTATTTATTTAATTTTTATGTGAAGGCAACCTCGCAACTGTCAAAGTTAGGAGATTCGCCTCAGCAGGTTGCCAAATCTGTTGCACGGTGAAAAATAAAAACATTTTTCGCCCCTTGATAGGTGTTTGTATTCGGTTTTTTAAGCCAAATGTTAAATACCTGAGAAAAACTCTTAGTAAAATCGAAATAATTTATATTTTAAATAGTTTTTATTATGTTTGGCTGGCAACATAGGAACATCAATCTTTTCTTTACGTGGGTTATCGGTAGAGCCATGAAGACGATTGGAGATTGGCATTGGTTGGCAGGTGGAGAATGGCTCGAGAAAATGAATCTGTTAACCACCACCAGACATGATCTCAAAAGTAATGCCAACTAATGAGTTTCGAGCGCCCACTAGCAATTGTTATTATGGCCGATTAATCGTGAGCTGATTTGATATTTAAGCCGGCATCAATCAAGGCAGCACTTTCGCCCGCGAATGGGCCAACAAATTGCAGCAATTAACTTGAGAAATTTGTGTGGGCAAAACGAGAAAACGGAAAAGGAAATCAAAGCGAGAAACTCTTCCGCTCTGACATTTCAATTATGAGTTCGAATGAGTTTCGAACTAAAATAAATATATATAAATATTGGCTACTTGAAAACATGCAAGTTAAACGTAAAGCAAACACTTGCAACTCGAACTTGGCTTAAAAAATCAACAAAAATGGCCGAAGAGCGGCTGATAATTCGAACATGATTTATGAGCGAAGTTCGTTTGTTGGCCAAAACGTTAAGCAAATAACAATAAAAAATGTGGAGCATGAAATGCAATCGGGTGAAAGGTAAAATATTTTTGCCACAATTCGATTTGGCCTTTTTCTGCGGCTTTGTATGTTTTTTTTTTGTATTCATGTTTGAAATTTAAACAGCCAAAACTAGAGTTCGCGTGGCTCGGAACTGGTTCTGTAAAGTTTGGCTACTTCAAGTAGTAAACAAAAAAAAAAAAAAAAAAAAAGAAACGCCGCAAAACATTTACTGTTTGGAAGTCACGTAAGACTCCCGACTCCCCGAAACCGAAAAAAAAAAAAAAAAAAAAATTGATATTGGCCAAAATCAGAGCAGAGCCAATTGTTTTGTTAACTTGTTATGCAATGCCAAAGCGAAATTGTTTTGCCTGAGTTCGAGTGCTTCTTGTTATGCCAATTGAGATTGGTTTTCTGTCGCTTTTACTTTCTGCGATCCGCGATCTGCGATCTGCACTCTCCATCTCGAAGTACACAGTAAACAAATAAGTTCGATAACAAAACAAATTGCGTAGCTAAAATAAATATTTAACTTTCTTGTACAACTTTGATAAGTCAATTAATGATTATTTTTACTTTAACTTACGCTATTTGTATTACCTTTGGCCAAGTTCCACTACTATATATTAACTACTTAAATTCCATTAAATATCATATCTTAGTTCTATCTGTATCGATTTCGATTTCCTTACCCCAGATTCGCTGAAGTGGGCCAGAAACTGCGTCTGCTGGTGGGGCACATTGATGCGCTGCGTCTGCGGCTGGAATCCACCGTTCAGACTATTTCCCGATCCATTCCGTATTGCCTTGGAGCGTGTGAAGCCGTTGGTCACCGATGCGGACGTTGCACCAGATACCCCTCCCGTCGATGCCGCTGGCCCCGCCCCTGCTGGCACTCCAAAGGGGCGTGGCGAGATATCGTAATAGTCCGTCTGGCGACTCGGTTTCTGTGGCCAAAATAAAAAGCAAGAAAAAACATCATCATGATAGGCTTTTAATGGTACTATGGCAAAGCAGGTTAATTAGTTTTTTGTTTTGGGGCTTTTTGTCAAATGATATAAATGGTCTGATAAATAATGGATTAGGGCTTCCAGCAGAATGGGTCTATAATTAAAGGTAATATGGGAATATACATCATCGTTCTTCATTTAAGGATTTTCTACTTTGGGTTATTGAACTGGTTGTTTGCCCGTCATTAAGAGGTGCCACACATTAATCTTCTCTGGAAGAATCTCAGCTTCTGGTTCTTGAACTTTTTATTATGATAATCTGAGATATATTTTTAAACATGCCCAAGCTGCTATTGATTGACCTTTCTTTGAGATCATTATCAAGTAAAGTTATACCTATAATGTTTATATTAAGGTAAACATTTGCCCAGTTTGCAAAGTTTCAAAACAAATAAATTGGAAAGTACCTAGAAAGTAATTTACATATTCCCAAATTGAATCATCTTCTGAATTCTTTTATGAATCATTGTGAATTTGGTAGGTATTTACCAACTTCTTTAGTCACCGCTATATGCAAATCATCTGTCAGGGTTCGTTTTAAACCAAACCCAATAAAAAATAACCCACTTAGTGATTTTCCCATCGAATAAAAGAGGAATGTACCTATCAATTATACAGACAACTTTTATCCTCCCAAACTTAGAGCTGACAAAAACTGACGGCGATCGAGACCTTAAATTGATACCATATAAGTCCGCTTAAGTGACAGAACTATCATAAGCAGGGTCTTAAGATGACAAAGTCCATAATCTAGGCCAAGTAGGGGCACTTGGGTGTTCAGCAGAGATCAGGCAGACCCTTCTCAAGCACCTTCAACGTGTTACAGACAATGCCACTGAGCTCTAGACGGAGTTTTTCTTTTTTTTTTTTTTTCTAAGAAATCAACATCGAAAGCTGCAACAAACAATGGAAATCGATTGAAAATGTTTGATTGAAGTGTATCAAGGTCGTTCGAAACGATATCCAGCGACTCACTAATTATCCAGTCGCAGGCCAAAATCTAAAATCCGAATTGCCGCCAGTTTCGCCTCCAATTCGAGTACTTGTTGTTATGCATTATTATTATTGGTATTGTTTGGGTTTGGATTGCCTGTTGGCTTTTTGAAAGTGTACAGCGGGGCCATTTCGGCTGCATTGGCTCTAAAGGTTTTGCTCTGTTAAGCAAATTGCATACAAAACGCGAGTTTTGTTGCTAAAAGGTGCATTTCAATGCATTTATTTTTCCGCTTCTTGGCGGAGCGGTTTACGCATCACAAACTTCACGTTTCCCCTTCAACACTGATCTGCTTCTTTTCAATCTAGGGAGCCCCAGATTTTCTCTCGAGAAAGAAATGCGGTCTCTGGTCGATGGACTTACTCTGATTAACAGTCATTAAATGGGCGGCTTTACTAATGGCAACACCTTCTCATTGGTACAGAGAAAAAATTGGTTTGCTGTTATGAGGTCTAAGTAATGGTTAAACTTAGATTAAAATCTAAATATATTAATGTTTATTTATAGTTAAATTATCTAGAAACATGTTTAGATTTCAGTCTAAAACCAAACCTTTTACTTTTAAAACCTTTTCTATTCTTTTACTGTTTCAAAGTTAAAATCTTAAAATTTTCCAGATCTTCTTTTAATTTGCCATAAGTGAAGGTATGAACATATTTCTTTCAGTTTATGTTATTGTTTATATGCTCTGATATGCTCTCATATCTCAATTTCACTGCTCCATTGTCAACAGTTGGACCTGGCTTTGTGTGTTAGTCGGTGAGTGGCGGTGAAGAAAGCGATAGCCAGTCGGTGGGGAAATTAAAAAACAAACGTTTCTAAGACATTTGTCAATATGGATAGCATAATGAAACTATGAAAGCTTCGCTCACGTCTTTTGAAAGCTGTTAAGCTGAGGAAGAGGGTTATTGCACCGCCACTCGTTATTACAACGCACTTTCCCCTTAGACCAACACACTCCACTTGGCCAATCAGCCGCCATTCAAACAAATCACAATTTTCCATTATGTTTTATGATGTGATCTCATAAGAAGAGGTGGATGGAGACAGACTTAAAGTCACCCAAAGGATCAGTTCGGTAGCCCTGCTCCTTTATCCAACGGCAGCTGTCATCATTTATCATTTGAAGAGCAGCAGCCCGTGGGTTCTTGAGGGCTACCACATCTGGACTTGAGCCAAGTTAATTGAGTTTTTCTTTGGCTCATAAAGAAGTCAGTTCCATTAGGTAAAGTGGAAAGAAAACGAAATCAGCGCCACAATGCGATTGGAGCAGTTACAGATTGTGTATTGCAGCTTGGGACTGGCATTGATGGTGCAGCAAGAAGACCCCTTGCTGTGAGGCAGCACCTCTCTCCGCCCCTTGATGATGCCCACCAAGTGCATTTCAATTAGGGCCAAAGATGCAAGCGGCAGGCAAAGTGCGTGCTCATCGCATTTCTGGCATGGCCATAAACAATATGAATTTACACTTTTTTCAATTAAGAAACAACTTGGATTCACCACCCTCCACCTCCTCGCGTGGCTTTGAATATCCAGTGATTACTCACGCATACATTCGTTGATATGCAGAAGCCGATTCGCTTTGTTTGACTTTGGTCAAGTGAAAGTACGTCCGACCAACGAAATGACCAGCCTGCAGTTGCCGACATTTCGTTCACGCATATATTTTTTATATCTATAATTTGATTGTAGTTTTATGTTGTGGGTTTATTTCTTTTTGACGAGCTAGCGTGCAGCCTACGGATATTTAAAGACTAACTAACAGTATTTGACAGTCGCGTGCCATAGAAATAAGTTAAGCATACAAGATGTGATAGGTGAAAGATGGAAGAGAAAGGCTTAGCTTTGAATATTATATGCTAAATTTTAAAAAATAAACGGAGAAGAAATGAAGACAAGGCATGTTTAAGTATTAAATCTATCGTGATTCGAAACAATTAGCATCATTTAATTACATTTAAACATTGCACTAAATGAATAATGAACTTAAAGATCCCTTGGCCAAATATATCCTGCCTTTCGTGTCACGCTATCATCTCAACTGCAAAATGCAATTTAAATTCCGGCCTGCAATTTTGGCCAGCGAACTAAATCAAATTTCATATGTGGTATGTGGAAATCCTTTGGCGTTTTGCATTCGATTTGATTTCGTTTTTGGCGTTGATTGACTGGCGTGCCTAGAGCCCACAAAAACCAAGAAAACGAACCGAAAAAAGACCACTTAATTGCCTAGAGCAGAGCTGCTTGAACGCCCACTCGCCGAATAAGGAAACGTAATGGGGAAATAATTGAATTTGAATTTGAATTTGGTGCAACCAAAAAAAAACAAAAACAAAACTTACCGCAAACTGGGAACTGCCGCCGAGGTATTGAGTTCCGAATTGCGAACTGGCCGCTGGTGATTGTTTGGCATTTTCGTTGGCTATGAACAGGAGCTGTTCCTGGTAGGAGCCCGGTGATGGTGCAAATCCGCCGGAACTGGCACGGAAACCACTCAACGATTGCGGCTGCTGGCGCGGAAAGGAACCAGATGATGGCACAAATCGATTTTGTGATGGGAAATAGTAGCTGGAAGTATCTGAAGGTCATAGAGTTATTAGTCAAAAGCGTAAATGTGTCAACAATCAATTAATTTGTTCATTTCAGCGCCTCCGGCATCGTTTAGCCATGAAACGCGCCGCAGACCCAAAAATCCAAAAATCATTGCTCTTAATTGCGCGAAATGTGTAATAAATAAATAAATAAATAAATAAAAGCCTCCAGCGGGCACCAAATAAATTATTTTATTTATTTTTTTGGGTCAAATATTTGTCACAGCAAGGACAGTGGTCTCAGAATTGATTTTTATGAGGATAAAAAAGCCATTTCTGCTTGCCTTACCAAATTTGTCTGTTAAAATGGTTATAAATTTGCTCAAATAAATAAATAACTTAATTGGGAATAAATATAACCTTTTAACTTTCAGGTAAATTATTTCACCATTGACCCACTGTGCCTGTCAAAAAATATTTTACCACTTTTTTCACCATACATTTGTCAAACAAAAGTGAATGTGAAACAAGTGACTGTGATGCTGCGTTTGGCTGAAAATTCCCTCAGGTACTTACTAGTAGGTGGCGGATTTTTCGATTTTTAACACAAAAAAATTCACAAAGTTCAATCAGGGAACCTTAAACTGTGTTACTTCGATTTCCCCATAAATATCCCATAATAATAGCTTATTATATTTTGAAGATATTCAAGATAGTTAAGCTAATAATACCCCATTAAATTGTTCAACTTTAAGACTTGTTTGTCCCATTTTTCATGTTTACTTTGCAACATCTTTGGCGGCTTATTTTTGCTCAATTTTGTTTTTATTTTTTTTACTTAAGATTATAAATGATTGGAAAACGAAAGTGTAGCAAAACTGCAAGCGAAGATATTAAGATGGTTATTAGTTGAATTGGCGAAATATTTCGTGTGGAATAAGTCCATTAAAATGGAGAATAGACCGGGTAATGTAGTCACCCAAGTCGAAGCTAAAGTTGCATGCGTCACAATCCTGACTCTTTGACCCACAATGTCTTGCCTAAAAAATAAGCAAACAAGAAAATGCAGTCGAACCACGCAAACTTCAGTATTTCCCCCTCCTGTGTCGACAGATTTTCAAGTCGCTAATTGAAAATTGAAATATCATATGGCCGCAGTATTTCAAACGAAATTGCACGGCCGCAGCAGCGATTCATTGAAAATTTTATCAGACGAATTTATGCAAGAGCCTCGAGCTGGAGATTTATTTTTTTCTTTGGTTTTTGGAGTGGGGACAACGCCCACCATCGATTCAAGTTGAATTTATCTGGCACTCTTGGGCTTCACACCTTGTTTTTACCTGAAACGCTTTTAACTGCAAGTAATTGCCGTTTATTATCGCATCTAAGAACGCGCCGAGGCGTCGCATGTCTCGCACATTTGTTTGCCGTGAGTTGTCGAAATGACTGACTGGAGATTAGTTTAGGGTTTGATTAATGGCCCAGGGATCTGTCAGTACAAATATACCCAAAAATTTTGTATGCCAAGGCAGTTGCAGCAGCCCATTCGAGTGTTGATTTCAAGCTGTTGAAACACGCCCACTTCCGTTGTAGTTGCTCTTGGCGCTGGATAAATGCACAAGTTGTCAATAAATTGACTGCAAATGAGGTTTAAATTAATTATATACTAATATTCTGGGAAATAAAATAAATATGGATTCTTATTGAAGAAATTTTACATTGATTTTACACTCAATTTGCTTCTCTATACACTGCTTGCTAGTCTGCTTGACCACTGCTTGTCATGGCTAGGGTTTCATTTTAGCTCTTATAGAATGGGAACCGCCGATGGTGCTGCGGTTAAGGTTCTCCTATTGTTCTTACACGACACTTCGGTCGCGAGTTCGAGTCCGCTCCCATAACACAAAATATAAATATAAAATTTTTCCTTCTGCTTTGGTGCAAGGGTGGTTACCATTTCCAGCGTAACTCGCTCTAATCTGCAAAAGGTAGATAAAATCGTTCATCTTCCATCGCCGTTGACGCTGCACTAGTGTTCCATGTAATCTAAGTGGGCATTGCAGTTTGAAATGTGGGTGAATACACTTCTTTTTGGTGGTCTTTTCTTGGAGGAACAACTCATTAGCATGCTATGCGTACTTGACCTAAAATCGAAAAACTATCAAAATAAATTCAAATATGCCGATTCGATGTCGTGACATACTTGTCTATTTCTGGACAGAATTTTACGAGACGTCGGCAACCTTCAGGCTCTTGTCACATAAATAAAGCCTATCGATCGCAATTGGAATTTATTGTTATTGTGCTTTGAGGATTCGATATGTGAACTGAATTTATGATAATCCGTTAGTCAGAAAATAATATAACTAATACGTAGATGTTATTCATAAATTATTTTTATTATATCTGAAATTTATACAAATTTTGGAAATTTTTAAAATTCCCATTGCTCTTGATACAAAGTTGATGCAAATTACGAAAGATGCATTGCCAAAGATCATCTAGTACGAGTTTACTTTTTCTTCTGGCCATAAGGAATATATTTTGGCAAAGACTTCGAACGATTTTCCCTCTTCTTCCGAGGACCGGGCATAGGTGTAGGACGTCGGGCCATCTTTTTGGATCGAACTAGTCTTAAAGAGGATTCCACCAATATGACATTTCGTTTAGGTTTCATTTTATTACTGCGCTTGATGCCATCCCCTAGTAGCTTACCTTTCGATTTCTTCTTAAGTGCGATCTCCTGCGACATCAGGTCTCTCGAATAAATTTGATACTGGACTTTTAATGCAGGGTCCAGTTTCTGCCATTCCTTAGTGGACTTCTTCCGGAGATTCTCTATGGCCTTGGCCCCTACAGGATTTATATCATACCATAACATATAATCCTTAAGGAAGAGCCTGAAGGGATGATAGAGTGTCCTGTCAATAGCCATTGCTGTCGTCTTATAATTTGCAGATTGGTTAAGTATATTTCTCGAACGGGTCAAGATTTCTTTATTTTTTGATATTTTTGCTTACTGAAAATTTTTTCACAAATAATTTGGAATTCGAATACGTGTTCGTTCGTTGGGGGATAGATCTGTAATGGCCTTTGTTCAAAGGTCTCGTTACGACAATCACATTGAAAGAAAAGGCAATGCCAACTACTACAATAGCTTTAAAGTCCTTTTCAACTTAGCCGCCCTGTCAACTGGTTCTAACTCAGCTAAGGTGGCTCTCAAACTGTCGTCTGCATTTGGCATTTGGCAAAACTAAAAAAAAAACCTAAAAAAAAAAAAACAGGAAAATGGCCGAAACAATGGGGCCGCAAACGATCGAGGGGCGTTGTGTGGGCCGAGCGGTTCAATGCAATACCATTTACAGCCGGCGATCGGTGATCGGTAATCGGTACCCAGACTGGTCACGTCAAGTGCTATTCCCCCAGCACAGTGCTTTATGGTTGCATTCTGGCTGGGATTGCTAATAAAATGTTGATTTACAAAAAGCCAATAGTTGCTTAAAGCTAAAAAGTTATACTAGTTTATATAGTCTTGCACTGCTTGAACATGCTCGTGTCTATTTCTTTATTACGCCTATGAAGGTTTTTACCTTCTCAGCATTACAACTATAAGTGATATATTGCTATTTTTTCGAATTAGCCTACTTGTCTTAGTAGCTTATATTTGAAATGTGTTAAATAAGATTTGGAATCTACTTGGCTTTGCAATCGATTTATCTTTTGAGAAGTCTAAGAACTGTAACTATTTTTACTGAATTCTGACACATCAGTTGGTACTTTTTGGCTAATTTCAACTACTTCACATGGATTTGATTAGATTTTAATTAAATAATTTAACTAACCCACGACCACTGTGGCATATTGAACTCCTCTGCTTGACATTTACAGTTTTGCAGCAAAGAATTTGAAATTTGCACGGCATTATAGCTGCTGGTTTCGCCGATCTCAAAGCCCCCCCGCACACATCTTGGCTGACTTGGCTTTATAGATAGAGCTTGAGAGAAGCCGGCTAATTACGATAGTGACAATAGACCGGGCATTTTCAGATTCATTATATCGCACTGGGCTGGGCTGGTGCAACAAATTGCGAAAATAAAAGCATGAAATCTTGCAGCCTCTTCTTCATTTGTATTTTGATTTCTTTTTTTGGTATTCGCCCCGTTTTTTGTTTTGTGCGAAATGTCAAGACATGGCGCAAATACTTCACCAGAAGTGCAACAAATGACAGCAGAAACAAGTTGAACTTTACGTTTTTCTTAACTTTAATCAAGTTTCTTGGCTGGCCGCTCTCTGCGATGCATTCGCTATTGTTGTTGTTTTGCTTATTGTTAAAGCGGCTTCTTCGTTTTTTTTTTTGTTTATTTATTGAAGGTCGTCGCCTTTGCCTGAAGTTTTTGAATGAAGCTTAACATTTTGAAAGTTTCACTGCCTTAAAGATAGTTTTAGAGGCACTGTTTCACTGCCTGTTTAAACAGAAAGAACATGATTTCGTAAGCTGAACTCGCCCATAGAAATACTTCTTAAAATGACTCAATAAAATCCCACATTTTTATCATGCCTCTCATCAGAGGTAATCAAAGTCATAAACTAAGATACTCCCACACCCATTTGCCAGATAGTTAAAACTATATTTGCTTAGGCCTAGGTAAGCCCCATAAATACTTAGATGTTTGGCCAGGCAGAACTCATTTCCTACTAGATCTGACATCATATACCCGCGCCCAGTTCAGTAAACCCCATATTATTACTTCTATTATGCTTCTTTTTGTTTGACAAAATTTCATTTAATTTACTCACTTTTAATGGACTTCGGCGAACTGATCAGAACCAGCTCGAAAGATAACAAAAATATAATCATAAAAAACAACAAACAAAATTGAAAATGGAGACTGAAGGCTGGAAACGAGAACAATAAGCTTCCGACTCCAATGGCGATAATATCAAAGACAAATAAACCTGAGAAATCTTTCAAGAAGTGGACAGAGTTCTTTCTGCCGCGATTCGCTAATTAGAAAATAATGGCCAAAAGGCCCAAGGTCAGATTGGCGAGATGAAAGTGAGTCAGTTGAGAGATTATTAGCACTAATGGGTTAACTTAACAGCCTCACCCACTCGACAAGTTTGTCGCCTAAGTCTTTTGTTCAACATCTTGAAATTATACAATTTTCAAGTTTGTCGCCGAAGTCTTTTGTTTACTTTCTTGAGATCATAGAATTTGCACATGATTTCTGCTTCATCGCCATGGCTTACATCATTTGAGGCGTTTGCCCAACTCGTGCACATTCCGATTTAGTTTTTAATTATATTTACTAATACTCCACTGCCAGTTGGTTAATTACATATGCAAACTTGTTACACAAAGTAAGCCAAATGCGAGCAGTGAGCAGCGCAACCGAAAGAAAAACAACTGCAAAAACCAAAACAAAGAAAACTGTTGCAAGGCGACTCGGCCAACAGCTCTCCAGCTGGCTGCCTTTTATTGTTGGCCAAACATTCAAGATTGGAGCACTGGGCGGGGGGGCACCCACTGGGCTGGCCAACTGTGTGTGTGTGTGTATGGTAAGCTGGTGGTGGCTAGTGGCAAGTAGCAAGTAGCAGAATGGCAGAATGCAAAACTTCAAATAGTTTGTCAGCAAATAAACAAATTTCACATCTACTCTTTGTCGGAGAAATAGGAAAATATTTGTTGAGGCAGCCCCCGATGTTTGTGTTTCGATAAGTGGCTAACAAACAGAAACGAGTGAGTAAATATAAACTGTTAAAGACTTAGGAAGGAGCTTAAGTGATTAATATCGCTGAAACAACAGTAGGAAGTTGTTTAAATGGAGGTTAGTAAGATCGATTAAGATTTGAAATAGGAAGAGTTTAGACAAGAATTTGAACTGCTGATACATTCTTTGATTCATTCTCTAAGATTGCCTCAGATATTCTGATATGTTGATAAAAGTATAAAAAAATATTTATACGATTTATTAAACTATTCCAAAGATCGAAGGAAATCCAAAAACAATCCCCAGGCTTACATTGCAAACACAAAACCACAATCGTTAATCATTGCAACTAACATGACAGAACCCTTTAATTAAACACCTAACTCAGAGCGAGTGTAGAGGAAGTGAGTCGAAGATATGTCACTGTGGGGAATGCGGCTCTGTCGACAAAGGCCAGTTGACACCGGGAAAGAAATCAAAAGGCAGCTCCACACCCTCAAAGCTGAAGGCAAGTGTCGGCTTGTAATTGGCTAGCGGGCAGCGATAGAACGAAGAAACCATTCCACACCCCCGCCGAAGTACAGGCAAATTAAATACAATTAAGGCAGAAATAACTGCCAAGCCATAAACAGGTTCTGGCCGGGATTAGAATGTGGCTCTGGTGGTTCTATAGCTCTGTTCTTTGTGCGGGTGTTGGCCAAGTTTCATTCCACAACCGAGGGACAGTCGCATTCTAATGGCAATGTCCTTGGCTGGGGGTTGTGTGCATAAAATGATTGATTGGAATTTTCGCTTTTTCGTTGGCCAACAACAGCAGGCGGATATTGTTTGTGTGGAGTCGGAGTCGGAAATGGAGCTCTCTCACAAAAGCATACATAAATCAATTATGAAAACCAGAAAATGAACGAGCAGGCCATTTAAACTGGTTTCAAATACTTTTCACAGTTTGCTTTATCTTTCCCTTTTTTTTTTTTTTGTGTTTTTCTAGCTTTTCTGCCAGTTTGTTAGCCATTTGCATAAACAGTGCAACTTGTAGAGCAATTATACGCAAATTTTGGTCATTGGGCGAACAGGTTAGTCTCTGGTGAATGCAAAACTATGGCACTAAACTGGGTAACTGTAACTAATGCAGACTCAAGAGCTCTTTGAAAATGTTAGCAGGTGCCAGTGCCAGTGCCCGTTTGCCTATCTTGTTCACATCTCGGATCATATTCGGGTTATATAAATTAAAAGTCCATTCCCCGCCGCTTGGTGTCACTTTCCCACCCCTTCCGCCTGGGAACCGTCGGCCTATGGAATACACGAACATCATCGTCATCAAAATACCCGAAATTGAAAGCATTTTTCGGTGGAAACCGCATAAATTTGTAAACCATTTAAGCTTAAAACCTTCGATGCGCCGAAGGCAGGCCAACCAAAAAAAAAAAGCACACACAGCAGCAACTACTGGGCGTGGCTGACCAAAAATTAAAAACAAAAAAACAAACTAAAACTTTACGTAATGCTCGCTGAGGTCAGTTTTTGGGCGGTGAAATGAATGAATTTTTGGTGAACGAAAGAAAGCCCCCAAAAGCCGGGCCCCAAAATGAAAGTGAAATTTCCATCGCCCATCGCCCATCGATCGGAGTCAATTTTTCATTGGCTCCGCTTGATTTTGGGCTCATGATGTTTTTAAATTAAATAATCATCGTCAATTTACATTTTTTGTTTTGTGCAAGCCCAAAGGGTAGGTCGAATTTTTTAATAAATTGATTTAATAGACGTCTGTAGGGAGACGAGGGAAATTATTGATTTGGAAAATTTGTAATCAATGGCGGCCTTTTGATTTGAGGAAAGCGTTAAAGAAATAGTGAAAATGTTTTTCTATTTCACGCAGTCATTGCCAGTAAATGGATGTCTTGAATAAGTTGAAACTGAAAAACATTTTCATGAAAAACGAAAAAGAGATTACAAAATCATTTTTTCAAGTAATTTAATATTTGCAATGCAAAGCAAACTAATTGTATTTTACGCCATGAGCATGTACTACCATAAATCCATTTTTTAGCCTAAGCAATGGTTACCTGAGTGCCCGTTCGGACCATGATTTTCGCATAAAAGGACAATGGAAATAAATGGTTGAATTTGTGGCCCATTGAAAATGGCAAACGAACATGAAAAACTTCTTAGCTGGAAAATTCTTTAGCCGGTTTTCGTGTTGCCCATACCACTCCCGGATTGGCAAAGTGTCTAAAACACAAAACTGGTTCAATTCCAGCTCTAAGCCTGGCCGAAAAGCATGTGCGGGTGGTAGCGGTTTCACCCGCACTAGCACCGGCACCCTCACCCTTTTAAGCCCACTCACAAAAACACGACTTGGCCAAAGGCAAAGACTTCGAATCCAGCTTCAATCCAGAGCTGGGCCCTTCGTTTGGTTTATTTTCTGTTTTTGGTTTTAGTTTGGGTTTTGTTTTTTGGGGGGGAGCTCGTGCTGGGTTCAAAGTTGGAGTGTAGAGTCCAAATTTCTGGGTGAAAGGCCACCGCTGCTTTGCATTTTGCTGGCCTGTCTGGGAGCCTACGTCGTCGTCGTCGATATTCTATCAATTATTTGATGTTTGATTTGTGCTTCACACTCGAATGTTGATTTTTCAACTGCTCCTCTGTTTTCCCACTAACATTTTTTGGCTTCGTCAGCTTTGCTCGTGCCATGGTTACTGTTTTACTTGCTTGTTTTTTTCGAGGTGCGACTGCACTTTGTTTACGTTCATTTTTTCCATGTTGTTTCTGTAGTTAACATTTATTTTTGTGCCTCTCTTTCGAGGTGCTCTTTTGGCTTTATGTAATTTGCAAAGCGTGCTCTAATAAAACCACCAGAAAGCCGCCACAACAGCAACAGAAATTATATTGCAAATATTAAAACTAAATTACGAGCGCAAATGCAAACGAGTTTTTTTGCGATTGCAAATACCCGAGCACTGGTATCGAATCGAGAGAAAAAACAGATTGTGCTGGGTGCCAAAGTGGTCCGACTTCCTCGGCTGGGCTTTCAACTGGGCTTGGCCCAAAGTCGAGTTGACTTGGCTGGCTGTCTGAACCATAAATCTCATTTAATAAGAGAACAAATCAAACAGAAAAACGAATAGAAACTAGAACTGTAATTTAAACCTGATGAAACTGATAGGCAAAAAAAATTAAGTAGATTGGAAACTAAAGAAAAACAAGTCAAGTTGATTTTTAGAAGGCTGAATAAATCAATCTTTCTTCCTGTTTTGTGAAACGTTTCCCTGAAACCTTTCTTATCTTAACAAACATCAACTATATCCCAAAAATGTTATGTTTTCAGAACTTCAAACAAACAAATCACTTCTCTTATCCAGTTGATTTCAGAAGCCTTTAATCTTAGTTGTATCTCCTTTTGTGCCTGAAGAATTCTACAAAGACTTGACCGACCCGACCACAAATCTTCGGCATTAGCTACAGGCCTGCTCCACTTCCAGAATGGCGAACAAATTAAGGCACTCGAATTATCATTCCAGCAACGAAGCCAAATTCCTTGCCATTGTCAGCACTCAATCTCGATCTCCAATCTCCCGTAGATTCCAAACAACAAACAAACCACTCGAGGCGGAGACCAGAGATCCCAAATACCGAACCCCTGGCACGTAGCAAAATCTCCAAATAGAATGCCGCCGAAAAAAAAAAGAGAAGTGGTTCTATATCAATGGAGCTTTGAAAACTATAGCACGTACGTACTCGTATATAGTTGAACCAAAAGTTTAGGTGTGAAAAACTGTTGACCGCCTTGGTTCGCCTTCTCCACCTCTTGGATTTTTCTTAATTTTTTCCTCCTTCTACACAGATCAGCGGGGTTGCCTTTCTAACTTGGTTGGGTTTTTTTGTGTTTATGTTTCTGTTTTTTTTTTTTTTTAAGGTTTTCTAGTCGCTGTGGTGTTGATTGAATGTCTGGAGACGGAGAGACTTAACCGTAGTAACCGGAGGATCGTGTGTCTGGGCCTTCGGTTTTATTTTTTTTTTTGTGGGTTTCTGGTTTTGGGGCTTTGGTTTTTCCTTTGCCACGATGTCGTGCTGCCATTGTTCGCATTAGTGTTGCATATTAAGTAATAGAACTGTTTTTCCTCGCTCCCTATCTGAATCTCGTGGTCTGCTCCAACTGAGTCTGTTAGCAGCCAACTTACCATCCAACTTACGGTACTGCCAAGTGGCGCAATGTCCCGCAATCAAAAAGCCGAGTGAGTTGTGGCCATTAAAATGCAAGTGGCAAAGAGAATTCAGTTGTGGCAAAAGGTGTTGCTTGCATTTTAATTCTACATTTTCCGGTAAATGATAAAAAAAAAGTGCAAAGTTTCTTTAAAGGAACCATCGAAATCCAATCAATAACCAAACCAATATTTGATCAACTAATTCCCTCACTCTGACATAACGAATGTCACAAACCAAAAACTCTCTCTAAGGCAAACACTATCAAAATGATTATGCAACCTTAGCCTACACCCAGAAATACATAATTCACGATTAGATCTGTCTCTCAAACGGCACAAATTTCTATGCATTGTAATTTTCCGCATAATTTTGCTCAGCTCTCTTAGCTGTTTGTCGTTTCTTTTTTGTTTTGCTGGTCTTAGCAAATATAAAGAATGGCCAAACAAAAGCCAGACATGGAAACACAGCATTTTGCCGCACGCTTCAACGACAAAATGGTCAACAATCTTGGCTTAGTTTTGTCGGCCAGCTGTCTATTGTTGCTGTAATTACAATGGCTATATATATATATATATAAAACTGTTCTGGTTGTCGTGATTTATTGTGTGAACAACAAGGTTTCTTCTGCCTAGCTTTGCTTTGCTTTTGTTCTGCCTTCACATTTGCATATTCTCTTCGGTTTTTTTAGGAACTATAGGCTTCATTTGGTCCCGGGTGGCACTTCAAATTGGGCGTGTCCAGATATCATAGAAGCCATATATGCCGTACACCCTCAAAAGCTCAGTGGGTGCCCAAGTGGTTGGAGGTACATATAAGTGGCTAAGAATTGGCTCCCATCGATCGGGGGTTTCAATGGGTTCAATGAACCAAAAAGCCCTGCAGTTCTCGAGTGTTATTAAAGCAAATATCACTTGAGATGGGTCCGTCAGGTTGCCAGCCACCGTCAATCAAGAGTTGAATGGCTTTTCAAGAGTCCACTGGTGACGCCAACGCACAGAAATCTGAATCTGAATCTGAATCCGTATCTGAATCCCAAATGCTGCCCAATAACTGATGCCTTAATGTGCGGATTACTTAGCAAAGGAGCAGCTTTGCAAATTGCCAATTCATTGTTACCCCTTTGCCTTTTATTTTCCTCCACTCATGGTTTGACATTTTTATTAAAAACGCAAAGAGTCCGCCGTGAACGGTCTGCAATCAGGCGATCAGCAATGTCTGCAGCACAAAGGGCATATTTTATGCATGCCGCTCGTTAAGAGACCGCTTCTTCTGCCTTTGCCACTTCACTCAGAAAAAAAACTCATTATCAACTTTGACAGAAGGAAATTTTGACTTTCCAGACTTAACTACAAAACTTTTCTTAAACAAAAAACAGTTTTCCAAGTACATAAGATAAGCCAACCTAATAAACTTCAATCTTAACATGTAAGAAACTATTTTTCCCAGTGTTTTGGCTTGTTTGTTGTTGCAGCCAAATTGCCAGCTTTTGATGTTGTTACTGCTTTTGGGCATCATTTCCTGCTTAAAAGGCCGCTGCCGATGAGCATTCAGTGCCGAAGAAGCGGGCAAAGAGAAGACTCCTCTTCATTCCCTGAAGAAACAAATATATATTTATAGGGCTGCCTGATGAACCGTAATCCCAAGGATAACTGCATATTTTTATTACAGGTTTCCCCCACTTTGCAGTGGTTGTTATTGTTGTTGGAGCAGTAGCTGGTCCATAATTTCCAGTTACAAAAGGCCACAAAGGAAACGAATGACTTAAGACACAAACTTGTTTTCCTTGCGGAACATCCGTGAATGGCACATAAACTGAAATTCCTATGCGACCAGAGATTATTGTTGAATTTTTAAATTGGCAAGCCAAAATAGGTCTCTAATTTTATCCAATAAATATTAACCCTCCTTTATAAGCAAGAAAATTGGCTAAAAAATAATCCATTATAGGTAAACAAAGGGTATTTGTATATGTAATCTATTGAACTTCCGGCCTTAAACAAATATTTCGCTAACCAAAATGGGTTAATGGGAAGCTTAACCCCTGCCTGATTGACTTCCCTTTTCGAATGCTCATTTAACAGCAGAAAAATGACAAAAATCGCGATCAGCGACGTAATAGCAAACCGCAATAATACACCTTGAAAATCGCCTACCAAATAATATTTCTCTTTCTCTTTGCCATTTGGGGTGTATAATTTTTGCGAGCCAAAAAGGTTTAATGACTGCAAATTGATCCGAACAGCGAGCCGAGTTTAATTTTGCACTTTGCAACATACAAAACGGAAATGCCAGACGGCTAAGAGAACGAGCAAATGGGTCAAGGATTTAGGCCCATTTAGCCACACTCCATTGGCTTTACTTTTTTGTTTTTATTTTTCCTTCTGGGCAGGGCGCAAAGTTCAACTCAGAATGGGAAATTCACACACCTGGCCTGGTTACTTGACTCCGCCTTTTGGATTGGTTTATTTGGCTGGCTCAAAATATTGGCGCTTGTTGTGTCACTGGGCCAGAGACCATTAGCCAAACATGTGCCACATATAAACTTCAGTTAAACCAGCAGCCCAGCGGGTTGTCCCATTCAAGTGGCCATGGCTGTGTGCGCAGACAGTATCTATATACGAGTATATCTTGTACGCGGGTGTCTGAGTCAACTTTTGGGTCACTGGGCGGCATGAATCACTGGTCTATTATGCGGGGTCAGAGTGGCATTTGATTGGTTATTAGACTGGGTTAATTGAGCGATATGTGTGCGGTGCAGTTGTGCAGCGGTGGGAAACCCGAGATTGCTATACAAATGCCAGCTGGCTTGGGTTATTGATCGCATTGTTCGATCCCCCTTTGGGGCCTTGCATAACACACATTTTAGCATTTTTATTTGAACTCTTTCCTCCTCTTGCCCTGCGCTAATCACTCAATTTAATGCCACTTTCGCCCCTTTGGCGAACACTTCCGTTTAGTGTCAACGCTTTCTATTCGCCAAAAACAAAATGAAATTCATAAATTTCAGCTTTTGTTTTACGTTTTAAGCGACCGGCTGCCAAATTGTCAAATTTGCTGGGAGTTCTGCTCGAGTGCCCTTTCTTTAACGGCGACTCCGCCACCAAAGTGACCACCACCTCGGACCGACTCTCGACCAGACCGACTTGGAAGCCATAAAACTAAAACTAAAAAAAAAACACCAACCGCCCAGACTCGACTCGACTGGCACAGTTGCAACAAGTTAGTGACGCGAAAGTAAAACGAAACGTAGCGAATGCAAAAGCCAGGGAAAACGGAGTCGAGGAAAAGCCAAAGCCAGAAATCCCAATTAAAAAGAAAAGCGAAAATGTGCATGGAAAAACGAGTGCGAAGCGAGGCAGCGAGAAGTAAATGCGTTCAATGCACTTCGATGGATGGGGCGTGCCAGTGCCATATCGACAAGAGGCTTGAAGTCTTACTTGCCTTACTTTGCTTTGGCTCTGACTCTGACTCATGGCTCAAACATTTGGCTTAGTCTGCCATGAGTGCAAAACAACACAAATAACACAACAACAACAACAACAACAACAAATAAAGGGTAGACGCATTTTTGTACAAGTGCGGAAATCGTAGGTGTAGCTCACCCATACGAAAATGCCAAAAGCAACCTACAAAACGAAACTAAACAAAGCCGAAGCTCTGGAAGTCGGTGATTAATGAGAAATTGTGCAGTGTTACAAGCATTATAAGGAGAAAGAGCCTAAGAGCAATCAAAATAAGCTTATGAGGGGCAAAAAACAGATCAGGAAACTCGAAACTATAGGAAAACATATAGGAAATGCTTTGAATTCTGCCATTAATCTATACAAATGAACTAACTTGAAGAGGCCACTAACCAGAAATTACATTAACATTCAAAGTTCGACAATTAACTGACTCAAAGCATTGAAAAACCCTCAATTCCATCCAGCACCCACTTTCCAACCACAATACACATTCCACCTCAATTCGAAGAATGCAGTGGAGCTGACCAAAATTAACATATAAAACTCATTTTCATCAATGGAGTCTCTCCTTAGCCCAGAACACACCCCGAAAAGTGCAACAAAAGAAATACCAATGCAAGATAATTGCAGAGGTTTGTGGGGCGATGCTGGAAATAATTCAAAAAGTCAACCAAAAATGTCAACAACTTTGGTTGGGGCCATCGAGCGGGTTGGCTAAAGTTCGATTTTGGCCAACCACCCAATGACATTTAAGCCAACTGCTCTAACCAATTCAATGGGAGTTCATTTCTGTGTGGTTAGAACAAGATATTGGTTATGCTCGTAATATGAATTTGGTTATTGAAGTTGATCGTTGCTATAAAGTGGTGCGACCTTCGGGCTTAAATTCCTCTATCGCAGGCAAAGACTTCACAAAGTATCAGATGTCAAGCGAAAAAAGAAAAAAAATAGTTTATTGAACATAAAGTTAGAATATCACGTTACTTCTAACATTGAAACCATAGATAATACATACTTCCACATGTATAGAAAACATAAAACATTTTGTGATACATCTCACTTTTAGATTAAATGCAAAAAAAAACAAAAAATATTCACTGTATCCAACAGATCATAGAAATAATATTCGGCGACCTTGAACTTGTCGTTGATTATGTTTTTGTTATAAGAAATTCGTCTTCTGGTCAAATAGTGGTACATACCTGAAAAGAAACAAAAGAAAACGACATGAAAAACATATTTTTATATTGCTACATAAACTAATTTGAATGTTGCACTACAAACGAGAAATAAGAGCACTCGTAAAAAAGACAAACAAAGGCGAATTTAATTACTTTAACGGGCGTGAAATTAACATCAAGAGAAGACGACCAGCTGGGTCAGGTTCTTGGGGAGTGGTCAACATAAAAGCGAAAGAGATAAAAGCTTTTAAGAAACAAAGCAAGGTCGTTGTAGACTGGGATGCACTTGGCTTAAAAAAAGGTAAAACTGAACTAGTTTCCAGAGGTCACACGGATTCAGAGATAAAGGTGCTTAGGCTATACTTAAAGATAATGTTGTTGAAAGTAAAGAGAACCACTCATATTTATAATAAATTTAATAACTAATCTAAGATAATCTAGTTATTTCCCTGCTAAGTCTAATTGGAAACATGGAATTGCTCAATTTATAAGCCAGCCACTTATAAGCTTTAATAACTTTTGTATCACTCAACAATGGATTAGCCGAACCACATGATAAATATCCATCAACAATCAATCAGCCCTTGTAATGGAGCCAACCCATTTGTAAGACGATATAGCGCCACATCGGGTTAACCAACATTGGGCAATCTAACCGCATCTCCGCCAGCTGTTGTTACTGTAACAAATGCACGGCAATGGCAGCCGCAATGGGCCACCTTAACTACATATAATTGCTGTTCCAATAACCCCTAACCCAGAGGCACAAAGCATACAGCATACACACATACAAGAGATACCAAACAGCGGCAGCAAATTGTGACTCGTGCCACCAAACAACCAGATATATTAAACTGTCAAACAAAATCATAAATAAGCCAGCCAAATAGTGAAAAACACACCCACTCTTTTGCAAAAAGAAAAAAAAGAAAAATAAACAGACTTGGACATCGGATGCGGCAGTGGAAAATTGCAGTGAAAATGCATCAGAGAAAATGTAAGGTTTTGGGGGGAATAGAGGTGGTGCCATGGCATATGACTGCATATTAAATTATTGTATCTGCTTGCTGCCCCTCAGCAGCCTACGCGACCCAAAATGTTGCTGCTGGCCCCAGTCAACCACAAAACAACTTCAACACAGGCAACACCAACAGGCCAGGCCAAGAAATGCGTTCGCCGTTGCTGTTTTTGGTAATAAACGAAGCGTTAAACAAATTGCATTACAACAACCAACTACCACCAACATAGAAAACACATTTTGTTTCTTTCTGATTTGTTGTTTACCATATGCAAAGCGTCATAAATGAGGTTGCCTGTTGATGTTGCTGTTGTTGTTACTGGTTGGTTACTTGTTGCTGCCTTGGGCGTAATTACATCTCATGCCAAAAATGGTCAAACGAGCGAGAAAATTATCACATATGCAGCCAGCATTGTTGTTGCTGTTGCTGTGGCGGCAGAAATTAAATGCAAATTTTGCCTGATAAAGAAATATGGTTACAACCAAAAAATTTCATAATCAGGAAATTAAAAAAACTTTTTCGGTTTTCTTGAGCGATGGAAATTTAAATTGCTTTCGATGATTTGACATTTGATAGGCAATTTGAATATTTTTTGGTAGGCCAATTAATGAATGGAATCTTTTGTAAGCTTTGAGAGGCGTGCATTTCCCTTTTCTCATTTTGCCACTCCTCGAAAGCCCTCACATGCTGCCACGACCACAATGGGTGGAAAAACATGTTCCAGCTTCAGAAACTATAGCAAATGCCATGGACAGCTAATTCAAAACACACATAAATCAATGAACGCCAAAGTCGAAGGCAGACCAGAAATCAGGAAGGTAAAAATCAGTAAATTGCACAGCAATAATGGAAAATAATTATAGACCAATGGAGCAAATGGAGCAGAGTGCAAGCACGCCTTGGCGGTAAATGTACATTAAATCTTGTAAATGAGTTAAAATCAAAGTGAAATGAAAATTTGTTTTCTTGGGATAGGATTTTTAGTGGTAGCGCATTTTCAAATGCTTTCGCTTTTTAAAATAAAAACCATTTAGATTTTAATTTCTACCAAGATTTATGACACCTTAATAGTTATCGTGTCGCACTCTTGACTTTTAACATTAAAAATTTAACTGAATTAAATTAAACAATTTAAATTAGCTGTAAGTCATTTAAGCCACCATAAAACGAATTATAGGCGCCTAACAACTAATTCAACTAGCCGTAAAACCAGATTTTTATATGCATGCGAAGCTAACCATTAATCCATGGAACTAAGTTATGATCTGCAATGAAATCCTACTGTGAAATTGCCCGAAGACTGTATTCGGCTAGCCTTAAAAAGCTTACAAATGACATTGAAATTGCGCAAGACAGCACTAAATGGACACATTTGTCCATTAGCCGGCGAGTCCAGTTGGTGGCGTTAGCGTGTGCCCCGCAAAGGTGTGTCCGCCTCTCCAGGTGTGCGTGTTGCCTTAGTTGCTTTGGGTTGGGTACAGTATAGTACAAGTAAGTAAGTACTTATGTCTGAATTGAAGGTTAAAGCTATGAGATACGCCATTAAGCGTAAACTGACTGCATCTGTACAGAATCACAATTTCGGTTGGTGACTTCATTCTGTGACTCCGATCGAGTTGAATGAACCATGGAAGCCTCTTAAACGCCCACAACATTTTGCGAGGGAGTTGGCCCGGTCTATCCAGACGAATATGTTGCCAAGCCGCCGAGTTCAAAGCGTAGCAGCTGTCAACAGATGCGACAGATAAGCCAAATGGAAACCGAAAACCCAGAGTCTGGAGCCTCATAATTTTCGCTGCCTGATCTCAAGTAAGAAATCTACAATAATTGCGAAAAGAGAAGAAGGCATATGAGTGTTTCGGCTACCTATGTATGTGTGCCAATAATAGACTCTTGTTAACGCGATAAAGACATCTCACATAGTTCCCCACAGAACTACTCGTAAATCTGCAAAGGTACAGTCATAAATCTACGAAGAAGCATAAGTGCAACCACGATATAGGCAAGCAATTTGTCATATGGCTAACATTTGAATTGCCAATGGTTTACCAAGAAGAGAAGAGGAAAATGCAGATACAGGTGCAATGTACAGGGAAACGAATCGAACAAGTTGATCCGCCGACCGGATGATGCCTCGTTTTCGTTTCTGTTTTTGTTTTTCGATGGCATTTATCTTGACCCGAAGGCAACGTGAAGTTTTCATGGCTCATGGCTCAAATATTGCGAGCGTCGAACTGTAAAGTTATGAAGAAGAAACTGAAGCTGGTCGGGAGCGGAAGCTTGCGTTTAAGGTTACGGGCACAGGGCCAACATTAACTACTGCCACAACTCACCACGTACTAGACATCTTTACTCAGGAACTTTGATTTTCAAGCTCTCGAAGTACTCTATTATTTGCCTTGGGTATTTTTCCTTGATTTCTTCTATTAGCACTGCATCGATAGCCAAGCAGCCCTTCCAGGAGACGAATAGAAAGAGCTTTTCGCGCACCTGAAAGCTGTGAACTATTTTGTCCAGCTCCAGGCCACGTTTCAATCCAAATAATTTCTTTCGCTCTTCCATTCTCCAATCTGGTACTTTTTCACTCCTGCGACCACCGGCTTTTGAACGAGTGGTGCTCCTGGCTATGCCTTGTGCCGACATCTCTTCGGGTGAAATATTCGACTCCTTCTTTTTAGCCCCAGTCGTCTGTGGCTGATCTGGGCAAATATCCACCTTGTGGCTCCCAGCGTGGATCATGTGTCGCGTTAATACCTGGCTGGATTTCGTTTCTTGTTCAGACGAAATCTTTAGTGGCTCGGGGATGTTCCGATTGGTATGCTGCGGAGTAAGTTTTTTTTGTACCTGTGCCAGTAAAACCAATTTTTTTTAATGACTTGTCTATTTGAAAAGGAAAATCAAACCATTGTTAAAAGAAAATTCTAAATTAAATATGCTAAATCTAATTTTGTAAGTTTTTAATCCCCTCTCTCAGGAAATTTCTTTCAACAGTCAAATAAAAATGATTATACGAAAAAGGTATTTTTGGTTTGATTTCCTTAATAAAAATACAATGTTCTTACTCTCGGCAATTCGGAATCAATTGGACCTTCTGTTGTCTTTGATCTTAGCATCCGATTATGTAAAATATTCGTCTTCGGCGTGAACGAGCTGGGGCTTGTGGGATTAGGGGTTAGACTGGCAAACTTGACCGCCCGCTTATTGGCTTCCCATTTGCGAGAATCTCCCTTAAGCTGGTCCAGCGAAATGATCTTGGGAACTTTCTCGGCGGATTTGGATGAAGACGATGAGCTAGTCAGGGATCCTGGCGACGACGACCTGATGGATGATGATGACGAGCTGGAAGAGGAGTCTTCCGAATCGGAACTGATGCTTTCATCCTGACACGGTTTTTGATGCAGTAGTGAATCTGGTGATTCAATCAGAGGTTTTCCTTGCTGTTGCAAATCTAAAGCTTTGGGTATCAATGCTGTGTGTCGTTTGGGTGAACCTGCTTGAAGGTCGGGTAAGGGTGTTGCTGCCAGATTCTCCTCATCGCTAGATTCGCTCAAGCATTTGTTTTGTAGCGACTTGAAAATCTTATTGGGACCATTATCGCCATGGATATTCTCAGATGTCGTTGGTAGATTTTTAATTGATTCCTTGCTTATGCTCGGTTTGTTTACTTCTGCCTCTTCCTTTTTGTTTGCTTTTGATTTCCTAGACGCATTTGCTGATGAATTTTCTTTTTGATTCGATTCAGACTTTTTTTTAGCATTCACAGGTCTATTGTGGCTATTGTCAGTCATCAATAGGCCAGTAATTAATTCCTCGTGATTTGAGGAGGCCTTTTGCTGTTGCTTATATAGCGCTGCCTGAAAGTCGCAAAAAAGTTTCATGCAATTGTGCAGGTTTTCTAGTGGCTCCCAGGAGTTAGCTTCTTCCGGGAAACCCTTCCATTTCACCAGCGCCATAGGACGCCCTTCAATGAAGCGCTGTCCAATTATTTTCTCCACTATATATTCTTCAGCATCGTCAGAATGCTCTGCAGAACTGCCGCACAGTTTAATTTTGTCACACATTTTGTTTACTTGAAAGACGCCGAGCGAAACGACTAACGACAAAACATAAAAAACTTTAGTGGTGCTGCCAACCTTTTAGGACTGTAGCTAGAGATGAAAAATTGTTTGGTATTCTTTTTTGGATTTTTGCATATTGAATTATTATCATATTTTCGTTCCTTGGTATTGAGCTATACATCTTTCTAAACCATGTACAAAAAATACAGTCGTAAATTTACTGTACAATATTGACTTTATTTGTACATAAATATTTATTACATGGAAAATGGCCTTTGGAATTTGTTCTAAAAAGTACAAAACATATTCGAATTTCGCGTAAGAATGCAGTATTTCTTATATAATGCCCATTACATTTCTATCTACGATGCCCAGTCTGAAAAGGAAGGCTTCGAAGTCAACGACAAAGTTATGATATGAGCCCAAGTACTTCTTATGTACCCAGGTTGCGCACTCCATGGGATAGTCCACCCATTTAACTAGGTATTGGGGTTGGCCGTTTAAGAAACGTTTCGACAATATGTGTTCTATCCTACAGTCCTCAATTCTTGTTTTTTTTTCTTTCGACTTCAAGACCGGATTGCGTTTTCCCATGCTGACCTTTTGATGTCAGTCTACTGAATAAAAATTATGTTGTCATCCAAGTCAAGTAAGCTGTCAACGCGTCCTCATTAATGCTTTTCGATATGCTTATCACTTTAAATTTCAATCGATAAATTTCAAAATTAAAATTATATTACGAAGAATCGATATGGCCACATGTTGAATTTACTTTATTTAAAGGGACCATCACCAGGAACAAGAACTGCCAACTTTGTTTTATATAAAAGTAGCCGGAACTACTTTGTAGGTTAGGCCAAAGGAAAAGTAGTAACGATAATTCAAAGAAATTACTTGACTAAATGGAATTTTTTTTAAAATAAAATTTAGACGAATTTCAAGGAACTTGATCTCTGGTTAATGGTCGCAAAACCGAAAACCAGTGGACTGGGAAAAGTATGTTAGCAATGTGTATTAACTATTTGAGAAATTGCTCTTTTTTAAAGCGGACCATTATATAAAAAGCCACTGGCCAGGCGGTTGTTGCACCTGTTTTTTGTTTTGGTTTACCAGACGCCAAAAAATATAACCAAACTTGTTTTGAAGTCGAGTGCAGTTAACCTGAGCGGAAATAATGTTGAGCACTGTGTGGAAATGCGAATGTATTTTAATTGGCCATTGGTAAAATCTGCGCTTTTCTTTTCAGGCCACAAAAATCGCACATTGTCTATGTAAATTCGCTTTCCACTGCCATAATGTTCGAGTCGAGTTGGACAACAATGTCATTGGCATGTTTCCCATCATTATGGCGCACAGAAAATGCCAATTTACATGAGTATGTAAACTAGCAATTATTTCCACAGAGTCTGCATCTGGCAAAGAGATTTATTCAATGAAATAAAGCCAAAGAAATGCGTCACGTTCGGCCAGTTGGAAAAAGTAACGGCTGTGTGACAATTCAAAAAAAGTGCGCAGTTTCGGACAAGACTCAAAATCTGATTCGAAATACAGTCTTACTTCTTTAAATTAAACATGCTATTTCTTTGCATTTGGATGACGAAGGATTTCGAATTCCACCCAAAATTAATACATATGATTTTATATGATAAGAAGAATTCTCTGCAGTTATAGAAAATACTATCAATTATTATAAATTCTTATAATAAACATAATTTATTATATGTTCGCAGAATGATCTAAATAATGTGTAATTTATATAAAAAAAATTTTTTTTTTTAATTTCCTTGCATTTTCCGAAAATTGGAATTCACAATTTCCAGCCAAAGAAGTGGGACTGTAAAACTCAGCCAACCTGTTGCCATTACTGTTATGATTTCGAGCGAAAAAGTTGTTGCGGCAACTTTGCCATGTGCACATGTACATTGTACAAACTCGTACATTTCTTTCACTTTCTTTCGGCACAACGGCAGTGGCTCCGAATTTATTTTAATTCGATAGAGTTAACAACTCGGTACATCATGGCCGAATAAAAGTGAAACCGGCGACAACAAGGGCACCTGGAAGGGTCTCTTCTGGGGGCTTTCGTTCGAGCGTTTTTCAAAGTCAAGCGGCGACTGCGGCGGCTTTACTTTCGTTTTCATCGTGATATTACAAAATATCCCAAGCGACATGCAGACATGTGTATATCTTAAGTATTTAGTGTTTAATTTGCATAGTGGAACGCCAAGAGACTAAAAACTTGTTTAGCCATTCTGCTGCTGCTGCTGGTGGTGGTTTGTTTTTGGCCGAAACACGCGCGACAAATATCTTTCTGCATTATATACAAAAAGGCTGCTAGTCGATTTCCATAAGTTGTATTTCTTGATTTCAGCTTTGAAATGATTTAAGTCAATATATGTATATATAGTATATATGTAGCCTCATAGAAATGATGCGGTGTGATCATCGCTTCATTAGCAAGTTAATTTTATTAACGCTGCTTTTGTCTCTCGGCTTTTGCTGGTTGTTTTTGGTGTTTTTTATACGAGCCCCAAAAGATTCCGTCTCGGATTGCGCATCCACTGGCCTGCTCAGTGGAAAGGTTGTCTATTGATGTCTTATGCAATAGATTTAGTTTTAATTTCTTTGGTTTCTGTTTGTATTCCAACCTTTTCACCTTTGCTGCTGATTAATTCAAAGAAGCAGATCCGTCGTAATTGTGTAAATATTATGTCAAGTTTACGTGACACAGCCCAAGTTCAATGACACTGATTTTTTACCATAAAATCACTTAAGTTAAATGAGAATCTGTGCCAAGCACTCGTTTGCCATCGGTTTCCTTCAACTTTCGAACAGTTAACCCCATATTTAAACAGGCCTTTGAGGCGACAAAAGTTTTATTGACATTTACTGACATTTTAACACACTTCAGCAGAGAAATAAAGTCAAGCCAATGCAGAAGCACAAACAAGAAAACATATCAACAGGTTACTCAAAATTGGTATAAATATTTTGGTTGTTTAGAATACATATATTTGTTGTTAATAAAGCTAAAAATAGAGCATTTTTGTTTTCATTTTTCCTTGTTAATTTATAGAATAATAAAGCTGACATTGATATGGAGATAAATATATTCAAATTTTATATTAAAAGTTTCGACAATACTTTGCAAACTAAAAGCATCACTAAACTAGCCAAATATTTCACCCAAAAGTTAAATACACAACAATTACCCCTAAAACTTTTCTCCCTGTGCACCCATAAAAAGTTTCTCCGAAAAAGGCCAAAACCGTCGACATTTGCCAGTCAAATGCTGAAAGCCCCCGAGGGCATAAAAATCAACTGCAGGTGCAACCAAATTTGTGGCTGCCAGTTGATCAAGTACTTATATGTTAGAGACTGAAAACTGATGTTTGTTTAATCACGACTGTCATCTGCCAACTTTCCGGAAGTTCTTAGACGTGTTTTTGTTTTCATTCGAGCTTTATTACTGAGCATCCGTTTCTATTTTCGTGACAATTCACTCACAGTTGGGTTTAATTTTTTGAGATTTTAATTTTGAACACGCATTTAGTGTCGTTGTCGTTGTTGTTCTTTTGATGCAGACCTTCAGGGAGTTCCGGCTTGTAAAAGACACCGATCTCATGGCTTAAACTCGCCGCTAACATCAAGATATATTAGCATGCAGTGAATCAGACAGAGAGAGGGAGAGAGAGACTTTTTGGGGTTTTCTCGACGATATAATATTGTACCACCAAACAAAAACTTCGAAGAATATGACTTAAATTAAGCGTTTATTTTGTGTGTTTTTTTGTCTTGCGGCGCAGAAGACATCATAAAATAAAAATCATATGTAAAACTCACTCACCTTGTGCCAAGCAGCCGCAGATGGTGACGAAGAAAAAGAAGCTGCGGCCGAGTAACAGCGACGCCGACTGCGACGTCGACCGAGACATTTTCGTTACTCCTCCAAAAAAAAGTCGTATCCAAAATTTGTTGTTTTTAGTTTGTAATTTTGCAATTTGACTGGTTAGTTATTAAACTTGTTGTTTCTTTTGTTTTATGCCCCGGGCGTTTTGTAAATTATCATTAAATTATTTGTTGTCCAGTATTTGCATTTTGTTTTTTGTTTTTTGTATTTGATTTTTATTTTTATTGTTGGCTTTTGCTGGCAAATTTAGTAAAGAGCGAGAAATTGTTTTTAACTTTTTTTGGCTGGACGGGTCAGACGGGTTTCTTCTGAAAGGTATTCAAAACATTTGGCGTTGTTTTCGAGTTACCGTTAAAATGTAATTAATAATAATGCGTTATCTTTCACTGTGTTGCCTTGTTGAGCGGATTCTACCTAAACGAAAAAGTTCAAGGCTGAAACGCCAACGTTGCGTATGATGAATAACTAGAATTGTGTGTGAGTAGGCTAAGTTCTCAAAATGGTTAATGATATTGGATAGATCTTTTGTCTTCTGAGAGAGAGGTAGAAGATAATTTGAGTAATAATTAAGTCCAGAAAGTTCTCCTCTTCGAAAATCTATACTCTTAATAGTGAGCTACTAATCTTAGTTGATATTTCCACCTAAAGGCATTTGTTACTGGTCTCAATATTCTTAGAAATCTTAACTTTTTAAAGAAAAATAAGCTGATTTAAAATGCTAATTGAAGCAATGAATCTAAAAAACGGAATCCGAAAAGCCTTTGGGGGATTCCCATTCTAAGAAAAGACTGTATATTGTTATTTATTTCTTCCTTTCCAAATTAGTTACTGATTATTTCTCTTTTTTGTGAACACCTTAAATTGGTTTTGAAATTTATGCACTCTTTAATGGCATTTATTTTTTGGGCAAAGTTTTTGTTTTTTTTCACTCGTTCAGCACGCGAGCAAAAAAACTGCCAATAAATTTTCACTTGTTGCTCGGAGCACTCTGTCAAAAAAATAATGGCAACATTCACCTTGAATCTGTCTTTGCTATATAAACACGAAAGCATATAATATATCTTGGCTCTGGAGGTTCGCCTTTTTGCTTGTTTTTTTTTTCTCTTCTTGCAATTATTATTATGCGATTTTTTGTTTTTGATTAGTTTTGTTTTCCATTTGTGAGAGGTAAAAACTTCTGGAAAATATCACATTTTATCAGCCAACGACCTTGCATAAGGCTAATTAAATAATTAATAATTCTTAATGAAGTCTGTGAATGGACTTCGCTGCACAATTCTTATGCATTTATGGCAGTTTCTAATTGGAGGCCAGCCGGGGGGTAAAACTTTATGTTAATTTCACGCTCGAGAATCTCAATGCTATATCTTTATATTATATATATAGTTATAATGTTAAAGGGAAGTCCAATGTAGTCGTAGCTTGGGAAATAGACTGCAAACACAGTGGGACCTCTGATAATTGTTGCATATGCAAAAAAAAAACAAACGAAAAACTAGCTTTCGATACAAAGTGAAATTTTCCTTGGGTAATCAATGTTTGTTTTTTTGCTTTTGGTTTGTTTGTGGGGAGGTGGGAGGGGGCGTGGTCACTTTTTATGACGCGTCGAGACAACGGTAATGCTAAACTACGCTCTTTGCATACGTAAAAAGTCCAACGAAAATCACGAAAAGCGATAACCGAAGACCGAAATTCAAATCGAAACCCGCTTGTCAGCAAATCTTCAGACGCACTTGCTTCGCTGCGAAAGAGACGGGCATAGCCGGCGCGATAGAGAGGGCTAGTCACACGACTCACTTACATATCACCCACTGGACGATATTGTTTTGGTTACAATTGAAAGACATTCACTTGGCCAAACGATGATCGGGGCGACCGGCGGCAACAACCGTACTAAGACGCGCTTCGAATCGAACTGAAGACTGGGCTGCCGCCAGTTGGCCAAGACAAGAGCAGAGCAGAGCAGTGCAGAGCCAAGCCAGCGGAGTGGCTGGAACACGTTTTGGCCAAGACAAGTGCAGAGAGCCGCTCCGGAAGAGAGTCAGCGAGCGCGTGGCAGCTGTTGCGGTCTTGGCCAAGAAATGAGCAATAGAGTTGGTTTTTAGCCAGTGAATCAGTGGTTCTTTTGGATGGCTAAGCAACGGTTGGATATTTTAAATGGAAAATGAATAGTTAAGGGTTTTGAATATTAAAAAGAAAACATGTTAGTCATAATAAATGGCTTATTATTATAAGGTCTAGTGCTTTGATTTGACACACTTATTCAGTAAGGTAGAAAACCTTTAAGTCGCAAACTTCAAAACTTATAATAGATAAAACATAAGAATATTCTGAAAAAATATGTCTAAATACACTGCGTTAAGATTGAAACTAATACTCAAGAGGAAAGAATTTCGGTCAAAAATCTTACAAACCACAAAATTTTAAAAATTATATTTCTAAAATAGTGTTTAAAATTAGTTTTGAAGTAAGAAATAAGGTAGACACTTATAATATACATGGCTTATGTAAAATCACTTCTTACATGTCAGATATTCAATTTTATACAACAAACTAAAAGCTTGTTACATACAACGTCTTAGCCAAGACTTAAACCTCTAGCCGCGTTTTCTTATTTTCAAATTTTAAGTTGATAGAGAAGGCTGCTGAATAATTAATAAGTGCAAAAATTGGAAATACAGAAACATTATTATGTTTCAAAATATTTAACAAAGAGTACGAATACAGAATATAAACAGTTTATCTATAAAAAATATTTCTTCACAACAAAAGCTAAGAAACCTGCAGCTCTGCCTTCACATCTTTAAAATTAATTTAAATTTTGCATTCCCTTTCACTTGCTCAACTAGTGAAGACTTCAAAGTTAATTCCGGCCAAGTAGGAACGAACAAATTAGGCCGACTTCCCCTTATCATATGTCATGGCCCAAATCGTGCGGTTTAACCCACTTTAAGTCAAATCTCGAGCTTGCCAAATAAATTACAAAGCCAAACAGCTGGACGGAGAAAGGGAGAGAGAGGGAGGGAGTAAATTCCGAATCCTTTGATTGACGATAGATGGTCCCTGTTCCACAGAAAGCTTTCCGATTGAAGAGGAGGTTCAAGGGAGGAACCAGCAAAGATTGGCATGCGATGGAGTTGGGGATAAAAGCGCCTGCAGGGCATCGATTGCATGGGCCAACGCTGCGGATGCGTGATGTAAGCGCAACACGGTGACTGCAGATATGCAAATGATGTGATTGTGATGCGAGGTGACAGCTACAACTGTTCAGCTAGTTGGCCGAGTATGTAATCGCCTAGAGCCGGGATTCCAGAACACGGATCTTCCGGAAATTCCAAATGTCCATCCACCTGTAGCCCGAAAAGTAAGCAATATGCCAAGTGCCGTCTGTTTGCTCTGTCTACTGCATTTGATATTTTTTAATCTATTCGCAGATGCCGGCAGCTGCCACTGACAAGATTTCACAATTTTCACGCAATTTCACAACTTTCCGATTGCAAAGAATGTAAGGGAATACTCTTTTCTTTTTTCCACTGTCATTATTATGTCAGTTATGAAATCTCTTCTTTTGTTCATGACTACCAATCGTATTGTTCTACTTTTCGTATTTGACTGAATTATTAATATGAGTCTTTGACCTTGGCTTGCTCGGGATTTCCCTTAAGGTTTTCCTTTCTTTTTTTTTTGGCAACTCTTTACTAGCACTTCTGGTTTTATTTATTACTTTTGGAGCCAGCTTGAACTCTGGCCTTTTCCTTAAAAGAAAGGACAGGGGAAACCGCAGCGGGGCAGTCGAGTGGAAAAATGATATTTTAGTAAAGCGCGTTAGATATTTTTGGCGGTTTAGTTCCCTAACCTTTCTCTTTGCTTGTGTGTGAAATGCCAGAAGCGCTGTAAGTGATTCTACATACCTACAAAGTTTACTCATTTTAAAACCCACTTTCTACTTTGAAAATCAGATTCAACATTATACCACTTATCCCTTTTAGATTTTACTTTGTTATTCAAGAACAGAAACCACAAAACTATGAATCTATTGTACCCAGGTTATGCATACTACAATGGCTCGTTAACTTGTCGATAATACGTGATGTGTCTAGAACACATGTGACCCCTTCAAATGTCATAACTCGAAAGTCAGGCGAGTGTTTGTTAGCCGGAAAAAGAAGAGAGAAAATAGATTCCTAAAGAGCAGCCCACAGACACGTACTTAAGACACAATTCAGTCGGCGATTTGTCATTATTTTGCATGCAACCGACCGGAAACGGAAGCGAAAACAAAAAGCTCCTCTCGCTCAACTTTGTTCAATTGCGTCGTTGGATGCTGTTGGTTTATAAGTTTGTCCTGAGTTCCTGTGCAAAAGTTTATGGCGGGGTCCATTCTGGAGTTTTGCAGCAATGCAGGCTGACGTGGCGAAGAGGAAACCCATTCCACTCTTAACCCACTGTTGCCCGCTGATAAATGAGCGACCCATGATTTGGCCAAAAGTTGTCAGCGCAAATTTCTGCTGTGTTTGTCTTTCAACATTTTGGTCGGGACAACAATGTCGGGACAGCTGCCAATTTCAAAGTAAAGTACGAGATGAGGGCAATTGTTGCTGTTCCACTCCACTGCTACTTTGACATTCGCAGTCCTCTGGAAAAAAGTAGGTTAAACGGCACTTGGCCAGTCATATGTCCTATATTTGCCTTTCGGCATGCAGATGCTGCTATAGAGCTATAGGAAACGACTTTGTTATTGATTTTGGTAGGCAAATAGTTAAGTACTTGGCCTTTCTCAAGGCTAGTAAAATATGTTTTTATTAAACTATCGAAAACTTCTTGCAGAGACAAGGTCCTGTCTTAAAGTGAATCTCAATATAGAATGATTTTAATTAATTAAGAAAACGACAATCACAATCTTTCAATCTCAAAGGAATGGCTTTCGATTCAACTGTTAGTCAAATATTTCCATTGCTCTCTCGACATGCCATCACAGCACAGCCCGTTCTATAATCCCATCGAGAATTTTCATCATTTGCCGACTATGATGGAATTGCTCCACTGACTATGGCTAATTTGATTGAAAAGGGTTCATCCTCACTTTCCTACTCAATCCCCCGAACAGCAACCCATCACAACAACAAACACATAAAATCAACGAAACGAAAAAAAAAATTTATTTTATCAGGACTCAAAGTTAGCCATTTGGACGCCAGTTTTTGTTTTTGCTTTTGTGTTTTTTTGGGCCAAGTCTGACCAGCGATTTTGGCCCGATACAAGAACTAAAATTGAAAGGGAAATTAATTAGACAAGTGCAAGTTTTGGACACTTTTGCGATGTTCTCAACTGGAAATACAAGAAATTAGAATAAAACAAAAGTGTATTCCAAGACTTCGTGAATTATAAATGAAATAAATCTGAAATTGGCTTTGATTTAAGGCAGACGACTTATGGCCCAGATTAAAGAGAATTTTCAAGGTCTGGAAGTTGAGATTCTTAAAGGATAAGACTTAAACATTGTTTAGTTTTCCCAGAACCATTTAGGGAAATCAGAATCAGAAATCATTAACATATTCAAAAAGCACATCTGAAGTGTTAGTCAAAACCTTTTGACCTTAGAGACAAAGAAGAGCCAAGAAAGGATTCTTGGTGGCTTTTGGCTTTTTTATAGAAATTCCTGGGCCCTGGGCCTTTGTCTTCTGCCTTCTGTCCATTGACAAATGTACACATAAATCCGGGGTCTGTTTAATCTTTGCGGCTGGGCCGTTCAGTTAAGCGTACGAATGTGACAATTCGGGCGAATGTCCTTTTTACTATTTGCTCAGCCGGGCTAAGGACTTGCGACTCGTGACTTTGGCCGGGTTGAGTGGCCCAGCACATGACACTTGGCCTGATGTGGGTCTCACATTTTTGGCCAAATTTAAACACGCGTGGGCCGTTTGGCTTATTTCACGCCCTCAATACTTGCTTCTCTCTCAATCAATTTGAGTGTCAATTTTCAAGTGCGGATAATGCTTTTCCCTTTATTTGATGCTTAATGCTTATGCTTAATGTCAACCAAATGTCAGGTGCTTCTCCTTTTACCTCTCACCTCCTTCTCCTTTAGCTTCGCCTAATAACGAAGTCCCCACTAGCTGGGGTGTCGGATTTTAGAAGTTTGTCCTGCTTCCTCGGCAATTAGCTGGCAAAAATCACTCCCTCAAAAGGGGGGGAAGAGCTCTAGGATTACACTTTGGTAGCCAACCGAGCGTGGGTGGCTCTTGTGGCATTTGCCAACCGCCAACTGTGATTGCTCCCGAAAGGAGCTTAAAGTCATCCCCCCGGGGAGAGCCGGTGGGTGTAGAGATGGTGCCCCATCAATGGCCTGCCTCTTGACCGTTGGCCATAAAGTTGTAAATGCTTAAAATAGACTCACATCGGAGGTTAAGTGATGGGGGAGTATAGGGAAAATGCGGGTCCATTGACCGGTACTATAGGATCTGGAGGATGATACAGAAAGTTAAAGCAGGTCCTGACACGCTTGTATAATTCCAAGTTAATATAAATCAGCAGTTGGTTTGGCTTTTAGGCTGCCAGGTCATGAACTCAGCCTGTATGTAAAGTGAAAAATTTATTGGAAAAACTTTTATGAATGTTGTTTAATTTTTACTATATCCATTAGCATAAATCATTGCTTTCGGTCATTGATTACTGCCTTTTGATCCGTGATTGATGATGGGTCTGTCAAGTGAAATACTTACTGTATTATACAGTATTTACTATTATTAAACAACAAATCTAAGTATCAAAACAAAAATCACAATTTTCCACTAAACGCTATCCGTACTTAAATAACACTTAACAGAACGTTTTCTATTAAACACATTAATGTGTGGTTAGATCTTGATTAGCTCCGATTAAATCTTTATTAAGCTAGTCGTTGGGGCAGCTAAAAATAGTATATAACCTATTATTTACTTTAATTAAGCCACTGACAACATCACAAGCTGCCATTAACATATTTACCCATTCGATGGGCCTTTTATGATTATTATTTGTATCCCATTTGGGCATTTAAAATGCATGGCCAGATGTGAGGGGATATAAACCTGGTAAGCTATAACCATCGAGACTATGCCGTCAGCGTCGCCGAGAAAAATGCTAGCCTCTTGGCGACAGGAACGCCCACGAAAGAAGAAAACATATGCATGTATGTGTACAGTGTAGACGTGCGCAGGGAGGTGGAAAATTCGGAAGGAAAAGCTGAGTCTGAGTGTGGCCCAAAAGTGCCCTCATGCTTATTGAGTGCCAATTTTTATGCCCCTAATATGTATATATACGAGTGTGCATGTGTAGATTAGTACTATGCCAGGCAATTTACGATTAGCAAGGACCCTTCGTCACGCCAATTCCGACATTCATCTGCCCTCCTCTCCCCTGGAAAACCCACCCACTTTTCACACAAGAAATACCGTTAAGATCCTGTGCTTTGCACCTTGAGGACTTGGTGTTTACATATGAGCGGCTCAGAGCGTCTAAAATCGTTTTATTTATTTACCACGCCGATGTTTCCCCGTTTCCCAGTCCAGGAAAACCCCCAACCAAACCATATATCTTCTAAGGCCATGCCATTATTATTGTTATTGCTATTGCCGTGTTTGTCTTTTTGTTTGTATTTTTGTTTTATATTCACATGTAGCGGCGGTGCTCGTTGTGGTTTTCAAGTGTCAAGAAACTTGGCGCTTGTCTCACTTAAATTAATATTAATGGCCGCTTATCCACGAACTGTTGAATTAAACACACACTTTCCTATGGCTATTTAATTGGCTAAATAAAGTCTGACGAAAGGCAATAAAATTAAGTCATGCCATTTGGCGGGAGTTCGGAATAAACTTAGGAAGCGATTTAAATTTGGCTAATATCCTGAAATGCTGAGAGACAAACATCTGGAAATTGGAAATATTAACTAAAAGAAGCTAAAGTGCTGACAGCTTATCATTTATAAACAAAGCTTTAAGGCTTGACAAATGAGCCTGGCTGAAATTTATATCGATTTGGTGAGATAAACTATTAATAAAAGGTAATTGATACTTAATAAAGATAAAGATAGATAAAATAAACTATTAATAAAAGGTAATTGATATTCAATTTAAATTTCCGCAGAGATAAGTATTTAAGCCTTGATCTGATATAGTCGCAGTTTCATTGGGGTTAAAGTTGATTAAAATAAAATGGATTCATTTTCTGAAGCATTGGCTGGGCATTTTATTCTTAAACAGAAAGAGTTTTCTATGTTAAATATGTTAAGTAAATGTAACAAATATTTATTTTTAAACTTAGTAAAGCAGGTTCTCATATAAGCTCTTTTCTCCTAATGAGAAAGTAGATTTTTACATCTTTTTAAAGGTTATCTACTTCCTACTTTTTTTTTACTTTACTTTTGGTCTCTAGCTATAAAAACTAGCTATTCTCTTACCTGAGAATACCTTTAGCTTAAACCTTCTCAAAATACATACAATTACTTCTCTTCCTTAAATTACTTTATTCTATCACTGGTCTAGTAAACATTCACCAATAGCAACTAATTAGACCAGAATTCGTGACCACAAATTTACCAAGAAAATTCCCTCCACAACTTAACCAAAATTAAATTTCCGCCAGACTAAACCTAAAAATAACAAAGTATAAGCAGCAAAAAAAGAAAGCAGGAAAACTGAAACCTGAAGGAAGATCCAAAGAGGAGTGAAACAGAAAAATAAAGTCAAGATAGCGAGGGAAAGGACTAGCCGCAGAATGGGCGACAAACACTTTGGACAGTTAATAAAGCCGGGATAAGCACTCGACTTGGCTTGATGACAACTTGACGTGGTCTCTGAAATGCCGCACTGGCTGGATTATTAAAAATGAGCAGCGAAAAGATGGAAAAATAAATAGAAAAGTACCAAAAAATAAAAAATAAAAATAAAACATATATAGCTGATGTCTAATATAAAGATAGCGCCTCTGTGGCTGGGACATGCAAAAGGAGTCGCTGGATTCCTGAAGGCAAATCCTCGGCACGTAGCTGCCAGATCAACGCACGCCCTCGACGCGCTCGACATTTTCATGAGTTAATTTAATTTCTGTATCTGTCGAATTTGTTGTGTGGCCAAAATCCTAGGCAAAGAGCCAAGAAAAAGCCTTTCACTCAATGATGGCTCAAATGGGCGTCCGATTTAAGCTGATTGACGTGATGGCACATTTCAATGGCACTTGCGCCCACGAAATCATCTTCCCAATGGCCGGAAATTGATTCTGGAAACGAGATGAAAAGTTAATGTGGCTTTATGGGTAGGGCTATGAGCATCCAATGAAGTTCGACAGAAATCATCATCAGACACAAGTTTTCATTATGAGTTTATTAATTTTAAGTCCTAGCTAATGAGACAAAAAGGGCGTTTCAATTTAGACATTTAAATGGCAAGCAAAGATAAATTAAATTTGTAAGTAATTAAAGTCGGTAAATGCTGGTTCATGATATTCATTGATTTGTTTGCAATCGAAGGTAAGATTAAATTTCCTGTTTTTGCTGCTCCCTTAGAAACGTCTTAAAAATAAATAGTAATACAAAAGAGCAGCTAAAAATACTTACTTCCACAAAGGATTATATTTAAAAACAGCCTTTTGGCCAAAAAAAAGTGTGCCCTGAAAAAGCCAAAGAAAAACCCCTACCAAAAGTCACAAAAATTCACGATTCATATCTCGATTTGAGATCAATTTGGGACCCTAAAATAATTCAAAGGGTTTCTGTACTCAAAGACAAATGGCTTTTTAATACTGCAGACAAATGGAAAGACTGTTTCATGGTTTTTCCAAGCCAAAAACAGCGATTTGTTTGAAGTGAATAAGATTAAGTTGTGACTCCACTACGGTTTCACCTTTTTGTGCCGGCGGCCAAACCAATTAATCTCCCCAAAAAATGTCCCATGCAGAGCGCCCAGGAACCGCAGGGAGTTTTCCAATACCATCCCATCCGATCAGAGAAGCTTTTCCTTTTACCCAGGTCACGACCGGCCTGCTGATGTTGTTACTGATGGGTGAAAATTTTTTCTTTTAGACCTCCTTAAAGTTGGCTAGCCGCCTCTGTTATTTAATTCCACATAAATTTCCATGACTTGCTAGCAACTCTGCGGTTTTTCAGTGACTTTTCCGACCAGCAGACAGATGGAAACAAAGTTTTTAACGCACAATTTACATTTATTTTCAACTAGTATGTATAGTATATATGCTGGCACATAAAAATGTATTTACAAAGTTCCTGTGGATTAGGGTCTCCATTTAAGAGCACTCAATACGCTTTAGCTAACTTAATCATTTAAAATAATTTATACGTAAAGTGTTTGTTTAGCTTAGAGCCGTGCCACGGCTGCAATACTTTAGTTCATAAGCTTAATCTCTATGACTTTGACACAGATAAAAGACATCAAAATTGGTTGGTATATTTACAGTTTAGGAAGTTAGTTAGTAACTTTGTTTCGATGGCAAAGTTTTAAACATTTTTAACTGCTGTTTTATGGAAAACCTTTTTTGTATTGGAAATAGTCACGTATTTTTAATTTTTATAAAATAGTTAAGTTTAGATTTCTAGCAACAAAATGAGGGAATATTTTGCCTATTTAACATTTTTTATAGGTACGTCTGCTGAAAAGTATGCTATGGAAAACTTAAGGCAACTTCCAAGCAAAAACTTAACAAAGTTTTTGGTTTTAACAATCTGTTACAAATTAAATTACAATTTAAACCATCAACAAGAAAGTGAAAACTTCTTCTTTAATTTACTGTATTTCTTAATAATCTACTAAAAATTGTATTTAAATTACATTTAAGTTTAAATCATATAAAATTTTACCCTTAAAGTACTTTAACTTTTGATTTTCAAAGAGTGCTAAGGATACAATGGCAAAGGTCTGCTTGAATTCCTGTAAACTCCGTTTAAATCCTTTTCATCTTAGAACTTCAGTTCAATAGCGACTCCTGGAACTTTGGTGGGTGCGAGCGGTTCTGTTGGCCAAGTTCGTTGAGCGGCAAAAACCCATAGCCCTGTGGTGCTTCATTGTTACCAGGCACCTGGCCCACGGGCATTGCCAAATCCACGGCGGAAATGGGGGCTCCATTCTGGTTCCCCCCGCCATTCGGCAGCGTAGTTATCGTTGTCTCCTGCAGGCGACAGCTGTCCATTGTGTTGGTTTTTTTTTTTTTTTTTGTTAATTGATGGGTTAAGGAAATTTGGAAATCAGAGTGAAAACTCACCTGCGGATGGTGCTCTGGTAGCAGGAGTGGCGGGACTGGTAGCGTTTCGAGGCGGTGCTGGTCAACGAGGTGTCCCTGTGCATGCAGAAGGTGTCGTGCTGGCCGCGCTTCTTGCGCCGTCCACTTGCTCCGCGGCAGAACAGATATCTGCCGGTGGGTATAGAATGAAGTTGCCGGGAAAAGCGGGTTGCAGCAAGCGAGATTCGCGTGTCAAACAAAAATATTTCATGAAATTCATTCATTTGTGACAGTTTCTATGGGGTTTTGTGTGTGTTTACACAGAGGAAAATCAGGTGTTTGTTTGTATTTAAGAGTGTGAGAGAAAACTCTAGGGGAAAATTGAAATCTTAAAGGGGAAATTATGAGAGAAAAATTGTATTGATCTAAAATATTTAGGAAAGTTAATGGAAAACGATTAGTCAACGAAACGAAATGTTAATTTAAAAAATGTGTAAAAAAAAGTATATTTTAAGAGACAGGAAAGTTTAGTTCTTGCAGATTTTTGCGACTTTTTCTTTGACACTTTGGATAGGAAAATAATTCTCAAGAAATAAAAACAGATTTAACTACAATTCACAGAAATATTTGAAAAAGAAATTATTAAAAAAAATTCCAAAATAAATTCCGAGCTTAAGTCTGCATTTTTTCTCCCAGTGCATGCGTGGAAGTCAGACACATTGCGAGCTCGAACGGAGGCAAGAAATAACTTCAGATTGCAATTTGAGAGCAGATACTCATATGGAAGGGGAAATTGTGCGATTGGTCATTGAGAGCGGTTTGTTGCAAGTTGAGAAAATATTAGAAAAAGAAAGAAAGAATAAAATGAAAACAAAACTAACAGAAGCACCATATGCTAGCCAATAGTTATAAGATCTTTAAACCTTTAATGAAAAAGCTTTTAAAAACAAATCGAATTGTATTCGTTTTCCTGATTTATCTGTCAACCAATAATTATTCCAGCATTCTTTATCACAACACGAGTAGAGCTCTCAAATTGACAGTCATGAATATTAAAATTTAAATGAAATTAAAGAAAAATACGCTTGGGAAATAACTTTTAGATAAACAAAAATATATAATAAACAAAGAGTACACCAAAGCATATACCAACTTCCAAAGAATGACATCGAAACAAACTACTGAATGTTATTGTGCTGAAAAGTTTGTTTTTGGTAAAATCAAAGTGAACTTTCAAGTCACGCATGTTTGGTCAAATGTTTTCCTTTTTTTTTTTTTCAAAAGTTTCATGAGTTTTGTTTAGAAAGAGAGTTACAAATTGCAGTTGGCTTACGCTTACAGTTAAGGGGGCTACAGTTTGTTTATTGATTTGCTAGCTAGCGACAGTCGACTATCGTACCGACTAGCGAGTACCGTTTAATCATGCTGTAGCGCTGTTATGCGGCTGGTGGATTGATGTGAACGAACAAATACCTATTGAAATGCTTGCGAAAGGCGCCGCTGACGAAGTACAAAGCCACGGGATTCGCGCAGCTATTGGCAAAGGACATGCAGTAGGCCACGATGCGCAGTACATGCCAGAAGGCATTGTAATCATCCTGGGCGGTGGGCCTGTAAGAATGTGGGAGAAAGGGGAAAAGTTGACTATCAGATATCTTATTTGATAAGGAAGGGTATTAAGTATTTCTTTGAACTTCAAGTTAAAGATGGAAAGTAAATTGGCCTTCTAGTCTCTAAACACATCTAAATAAATCCAAGATTTATACACCAATTGTTCAAAAAACAACATACCCCTTTACCCTACTTAATACCCCTTAAAATAACGCAAACAAACATCAGCAAAGCACCCATAATGGAGATATCAGGGGGAAATTGATTGTCCAGCATCCCAGGCGAGCAAGTGTCGGGCAAATGGCAACAACATTACTCATACGCAGAACTCCTTTGTGGACAGGATCGAGCCATACATACGCGTACTACATATATATCCTTTGCTGCTGGCAGGTTGCCTTTTATCCGCTTGACAAATTGACTTTCCATCCATTCATTCATGAGCATTCCACCCAGTTTAGCAGTACCCGTTTCATGGGAGAAGGAGCAGGGAGAGGATCAAAATCAAGGGGAATACGGAGCACTCACCAGAAATAGAACCAGAGGAAGAATACGTGATAGGGCAGAAAGCAAATGCCAAAGATGACAACGAAGGCCAGGACAGTAACGGCCACCTTGCGTCGGGCTCGAACCTGGAAGAGATTTAAACAGGAAGCAAGAAGTTATGCTAAATGGTTTTAAGTAAGGGATAACGAAGGAAAACAAAGTTTATGATTATGTTTTTTATATACTAAAGTTAAATCTTTGAAAGGACTCTTTTCGTGCCACAAATTAACCCTTGAAACGGCCATGACTTTCCCTTTTAGTTAATATCTTGCTTTTTAAGTGAACTTTAAACTCTTGCAAATTAAACACCTTTATCTTTTTCTAGCTTAAATATTGAATACTTCTACAATGGGAACTTAAAGACCATAACATTTTTATTGTCCTTATGAAGTCGAGCATCTGGTAAAGAAAAATCACACAAAAGTCACAGACAATTGAGAAAAGGAAGCTCGAAAAAGTTTGTTCATAAAGAAAAAAAAACTGAAAACTTCTAAGGACCTGAAGGAAAATTAAAGAAGTGCAAACCAATCAATGTTGAAAAAATAGGAGAAACAAAATTTAACATTACTTAAAATTTAAACATTTAATATCAGAAACCATGAAATATGTTTTTCCTAGGAAAGGTTAAAACCTTTTGCCAGAAACCGACTCTGGCTCAAAGACAATTGCATAAGGCAAGAAGACAAAAGGTTTCTTGGCAAACAAAAGCAAGTGGAAAACTTTTAACGAACTGGAAATACAAAACGAAACACTTTTCTCTTGAAATGTATACCATTTCATAGAATATTCCCACTGCGACAGCAGGCATAAAAAATACTTATTGATGAGGAACACATGCTTTTTAAACCTCTAAAAAGTTCGTCAATTTATTCGACTTTCCCAGCAATTCAGTTGGAATTTCAGTGTGTGTGCTGGTCAAGTTAGTATGAATATTTTATGCCACCCAACTGAATGGCAAAAGTTTTTCCGCACAGCAAAACTTGCGAAAATAGTTGTGGAAAAACTTCGTAATTCACTTATATGAAGCTACCACTTTTTGTTCGTGTTTTTCGGCGTTGGCTCCATGATTGATTTCAATTGGAGATGCTTATGAATACTTTTTAGAAAGAACATAAAATGAATATTGACCTTACCTGTCGAACGGCTCCCTGAATTTCACCTGGCACACTGGCCGAATACATCAAATGGAGGGCAATGAGCACGTAGAACACGGCGATGATCACCAGGGGAATGGCATAGTAGACCAGGAAGTGCAGCAGAACCATGGACTTGGCGTAGTTGATGCCCCACTCCTCCGGATACGGATAGCAGATGACAATCGACTTCTCGTTAATCCCAAGATGCTGAAAGAAAAGTTAAGTAAGTGTGGGCCTTAAAGGGATGTATGGATAACTTACCTTCAGGTTACTACCAATTAAGGCTGGCAATCCGCAGAGAATGGCCAGCAGCCAAATGGAAACCGCTGTGGCCAGGGTCATCCTGGTGGCCCGGCGACCACCTCCTGAAAGAAGGTATAAGAAATATAGGTTAAATAAATAGTTATTTAATTTTTTTTATTTTATAATAATATTTATCCATATTATATGCAGAGAAGTTTTTATTTTCAGACGAAAAGTGAATATGGAAAGTGGGAAAAGATGGTTTTCTCTCAAATCTCTACTTACCATGAGCATGAAACTTCCTCAGAGGATCCACAATAGCAAAATAGCGATCCCCCGATAAAGCAGTTAGTGTAAAAACGGAAACCCCAATGGAAACATCCTTCATAAACTCCGAAAGACTGCAGAGGAAACTGCCATATGGCCAGTACTCGACAGTGTAAACCGTGGAGGCCAGGGGCACTGTGGTTATGATAACCAGTAGATCTGCCAGGGCCAGTGATAAAATATAGCTGAAAGAAGCAAATTTTATATGAAATTTAAACAGAAGCTTAAAGAGAGCTTCTCTCTCTCAAGGAGAGAGTAAAGAAAGGGGAAGCCCCTAGATTTATGCTACATTTTTCAGAGATAAACAGGCTGACTTTGCAGCGGGGTTAAGTCATCTTTTCATTTTGGCCAGCACGTGTCCTTGAAGTGTGATAAAAATGTGGCACCAAGTTGATTTATGTTTGGCAAACTTTTAAGGGATCTGTATATATATATTGCTGCTGACTTGGGGCTAATACTATGACCATTAAAATTGATTTATCTAGCAAAAGCCTTATTAAGTGGAATGTAAATTATTCGTTGCCCCGAAAAAAGAATATAAGATGGATTTTACTATATTTTTTTGGTTTTTGTTTCTGGGGGGCAGCTGCCACCAAACACTTGAGGCGAATGTGGCAACGAATAAATGGCGCTCAGTGGCAATTCCATTCCGTGATCTCATGCAGTAATTCCGACTTTATCCAACCTCTTCGCTTTCCATAAATAAGCTGCATGTGGCACTTTGTTTGCCACGTTCGCCTGGCCGTCGGAAATGCAACACCAAATTACGCTTTTTGCGGCCCTCCGGCAAAGCCGATAAGAGTCTTCTGGTGGTCTCCTGGCCAGGCACTTGGCTTTTAAAGCACCCAACTTGGCTTTTATCCAGGGAACGCAAATGCAATTTCAGCGTAATTTGATCAGTTGACATTTCCTTTCGTCTGCCAGTTTTATGTGAATCAAGCTTAATGCAAAATCGTGTTGCCTGCAGTATCACAGTTTATACGGTTGCAACTTCTACGCTTTGTGTGTGTAGCCATGAAGGGATTTAAGTTGTGGTATGTACTAGTCCATGTGCCACAACAATATGACTTTAAGTGGCACAGCTTTGGTCAACCGCGTTGACCACTTCCGTCAACAAAGTGGAATGTTTTAATTGGCCACAAGCCGCAAGGGCCACACAGTGGCATTTGCCTCTCTTGTCAAGGTCATCGCTTTAATGATGAACTCGTGTCGCTAATAAACATCTTGACAACAGCAAGATGTTGCCACTAGAAACCGTGCTGTTTCAGTTATTTATTTTATGTGGCAAGGAGATTGTTGAGGGAATTATCAGTCAGTCATTTGTGACTTTAAAAGTCTATTAAATATTTCAAAATAAAGAATATGTTAGTTAAGGAATAACCTTTAGGACTTTTGAAGTACAAATCTGTTCTTTCCTTTCTTTGTTAAGGAAGCTCTTTAATCAAAGGAAAGTCGTGTCAAATCACCCATAACTTCTCTTTCAATCAGGAGAAAACTGTAACATTAAATGCTTCAATTTAGCAAATGGCTTCCTTTGGGCCCAAAAATGCTTCGGCAATTTGTATTCAGTCGCCTTTAACGAATTACTTTGGCTTCCCAGAAAGTAGGCAACATCTCGGTCGTGTAAGTCCCATAAGGTTATTGTCTGCCTCAAAATCATATTTATCTCAGTTCGTAAGCCTGCTACAATAACTTGATTTATGAGGCACAATGTATATAGATATATATATACATATACTCGTATGTTGCACAGGAATCAGCCCCGCTGACATGACTAATTAGTTATGCCATTTTGTAGCTCGCCTGGGGAAACATCAACAGCTGCCAATCGATCGGAGGAGTATGCGTGTGTGGGAGGAGCATGTGGTTTGGGCACATGTTTTCCCCTTTTCTACATGAAAGGGAAATTTTAAGCAATTTCCAGGCGGAGGCGGTAACAACATTACCATTATCGTCGCCGCCAGAAACCGACTGGCATTTCCCCTGGCCCAGCAAGCCACTTAATTAACTGATGCTCTGATGGCTGCGGGTCGACTGGAGGGCAGGACACTTTTCCGGCATTGCTCCATTGGCATTGCTCTTGGCCAACTCGTGACATTTGCCTTTTGCATGCATAATTTGGCCCAGACTCTTCGCAGGCAGGCGTGTGGCATATAATTAAATTCAATTTAAGTTGCTCGTAAATCAAAAAGACATTTTCTAACAAGGTGGGTCGAAGTAAGGTCTAACGACTTAGTGATTCGCTATAAGAGGGAAAAGTTAATAACACAAATCTTGTGCTAACTTATACAAATATCCAAGATAACTAATTGAGGCTGCTTTTAATCTAGGATATGTTTAAGACATGACCTACTACTAGCCAAAACTACCCACCCTGAACCCAGCTTTTCCAAAGTTATGTAAAACTTCTCCCGAGGCCACTCACGTGTTTGGAACATTCCGCATCTGTCGCACACTGAGGAAGACCACAATCAGGGTGCCATTGCCCAGGACGCCGACCACGAAGATCAGGGCAAAGAGGATGGGCACGATGTAGGTTTCCGGTCGTCGTCCATAGGGCACGTAGGGTGTCTCGGTGACAGTGAGTTCACTGAAGTTCTCAGTGGATCCGGAGTCCAGGAGGGGCCACTGTGTAGACGTGGCCATCATGGCTAGATCCCATAGAGCCGGAGTGACGTTGAACGGTGTGGGTAAGGGCGGGTTATCCCCCGAAATTTCCAAACCAATGTCCATGTCTAAGTCCGTTTCCATGCTCACCAAGTTGGTTATCATCTGAGGGGGAAAGTTCTACCAACGGTAGATGGCACTGCTGACTCTGCTCGATTTAGTCTCGTTTAATGCTGTTTCTTGGCCAACAAAACGGAAATTGTTTAAGCCAACATGATTAATTTGATTCCTTCACGGCTCGTTGCCTGCTGCATTTTTGCATTCAATTTGGTTTCAGCTGCAAATGGAAAAGATAAAACAATAAAGTTTGCTGCATGAAATTGATTCAATTTACTTTTGGTTTTGCTTTAATGGCTCTGCAGGAAAACTCATTCATTCGGTCTTAAATTCTAGCTGGCCAATAGCCCAAATAGTTTGTACATATTTTCAATGCCATTAAATGGTTGAATCAACTTGTATTTGTTTACTTTTATGGTTGGCAAAATGCACATATTTACTTAGGAATAAATATATTGGTTTTCGTTTTTCTAGCTAACAAATTTCTATGGATTCCATGGCAAACTTGAATGTTGCAACTGGAAAATGCAAGCCCTAAATGAAACTTTAATAGAAAGAGTTTACTGCATGTTTTGTTTATAAATTGTGCAATGTTTTGGGTTCTAATTGTTGATTTCTGTAGCTGAAAATTGGGAAAATAAATTGAAATACAAGTTATTTCTGCGCTTCGTGCTTAGTTTAATATCTAACCTTTAATGCCCTCCAACATTGTTTGATTTATTCCATTTGAAATTGAAATGCATTTGTTCTCCTAACTGGATAATTGCATCATAGATGCACATTTGCTATTCCACCAGAATGAATCCCTCTTTTTGCCTAATTCAACTTTACCCTTCAGCTGCCTAATTTGGCATTCCCTTTTCGAAAGTTTCCCTAAAACACGTGCCAACTTTCCATTAAAACTGAGAGATCTGAAATGTGTGAAGAGAAGTGATGAGAAGAGGGGGAAAACACAGGGAAAATCAGGCCACAAGAAAGGAGAGCTTTATGTTACAGATTTATGACATTAGCGTGGAATTTCTTATCAACTTGATGGTGTTGCTCCTTGGCCATCCTGCCACCACCACCCCCCAACCGACACTTCAAGGAATGCATATCCTGTCATTACATTTCCAGCCATTAACCACATATCCTCATATACACACACACACACATCCTTGGCACAGTGACTCATAAAATGTAACTGACGCCCGAGGAAACTTCAATGACTTGGACAGCAACAACAGGAACCAGCTAGCAGGAGGAAAACTCTGCGTAATTGAAATCTTTGCGTTCAGCTTTTCCTTTTCCTTCTTTCTTTTTTTTCTTCACCCAGGCTGTCATTCCTTTGTAATAAAAATATGAATGGTCTGCCTTCCCAGCCAGCAAAGCTTCGTAGCCAGGTGAATGTAAACATCCCGACAAATCCGTAAAATCTCCTCCAGCACTCTCACCACTTTCCTTTCCCGTGATGCATAAAGCTCTGAGCTACGGATGCCATCGAAAATATGATGGAGAAACTGTAAAAACAGATGCCTTAAAATCAAATCCGTATGAATGCATAAATACAATTTGCATAAACTAACACAAGGAGAGAGGCGTTAGCCACAAAGTTGGCAAACTGCTGTGTTTTGCTGTTGAGGGGAAAATATGCATGAAGAGTTTTCACTTTTCCCCAGAGCATTAAATTTTGTTTCCTCAAGAACTTACGCTTTCTTACTTTCACATACTGATGTCAGTTTACGTTCAATTTGATAGACAAAGTGCTAGTAATTCGATCTTAGGGGGAAACTAATTAAGCAAACTTGTGGCAAAATCAATTGGGAAAACTTTTCAGCGAAAATGCCCTGTCTTGTCTTGGCCAAGTCAGGTAAACTAGAAGCAGAACTTCTTGATTTCTTCTTCAAGATAGTTCGAGACTTTGTAGTTTTTGTTTTGCAATTCTGGGAAATTATTATCCCATCGCCCGCTGCTGTTGCTGCTAGTTAATAAATGTAATTGATTTTTAATGAATTTATGATCGTAATCCGCTGCTGGGTAATTGCGTAGAACATAAAAAACATATTGATGCAAAGGGAAATTGAAACTGGCCAAACAATGTGAGGCGGGCACTGGTGGCGTATGAGTAATATTCAGTATTTAGTGAATTATTCATAAAAAAAGATGAGAAAAAAGCTTAAATAATAATAAATACATATTTATACAGTTAATTTTATACTTAATTACTTTTGATTTACAACCCCGACTGGTTCATAATTTAACAAATTGAATTTTTTATGAATACCTATTCGTTGCCCCTTTTGGTTTTCAAGAACTTTTCATCTCGAATTGAATGGCCGTTGCTATTTTATATTTTCCAGCTCGTTATTTTCTAGGACTTCGCAGAAATTCCTGCACTTGGAGTAACTCGAATTGAATTAAGTTCTCCATTGTTGACCTTCTTGAAGGGCTTCCCGTGGATCGCCAAAAATTGAGCTGCTGAATCTGGCAAATACCCGAAATGTAAATGAACTCCGAGAACAAAGGCGAACTAATTAAGTAATTCCAAGCAAAAAGAGGAAAATGGCTAAAATATTTCAACAAAAAAACATCTGATGAGCCTGTTGAAATGTCAACACTGAACGCATTGTTTGCTGGCCAGCGTAATTAATTTGTTAACTGAATGTTAACACAAGTGGGTGGCTGTGGGTGGTGTACTAGGGTCTAGCAATGCGGTCAGGTTTATTTGTACAACACTTAGCTAATTGAATTTTGACACTGACTAGGCCAAGTGATGATAAATTATTCCCTTTAAAGTACAACGCATAACAACTAATTCGACGCCATAAATATTCATGGCTCTAACGAAAATTGATCTATTTTGGGCTCGCTGCCATTAGGCCGACAAATAAACCTGTTAGCCTATATCAATAACTGGCTTACATCGCTTCACCACAGCAACAAAAAAAAAGGACAACAACAAAAAGAGCGACAAAAACAACTTCACAGGGAAGTGTCGTGATTTATGACAGCCAATGGCCGGCAGAAGTCCGCTTATCTGGTGACCATCTGGATGTCAAAATATTTATGGACTCCCAACGAATTGATTTCCCTTTATTTCGTACCCTCCAAATGCGGTTTGATAAGGGGAAAGTATCTTGAACTCAGTTGGAAGTCATCTAGATGGTGTAAACTTAGGAATATTTGATTAATAATGAGGTCATAGATCTTAAACATCTTTTTTAATCAGTTATATTAGCAATATATTGCCAAGAAATGCTTCTAAGATATTCTTTAGGTGGATTTGAATGATGGATAATGGGTTTCATCTCTGTTCATCTCACAGTTAAAGGTTGGATAGATACCATTTTAAACCTTCCTATATCCAGTATACCTATTACACCCTTAGTATCTCCACCCTCCCATAGTTAGTTGTTATATTTGTGACTACATGCTCATGAGTGCGTTTGATAAATCAATGCAATTTATCAGTAGTTCAGCAGCGGACACACGCCACTTAAAATGCGTCGCACTCGGATCCCAAAATCCATGTGAATCGTTGGCACATCCCTACATACACCTACATACATATTATATATATATAATATATAGGTGCTGGCCTAACCCAGTGGCAACATTTTATCACCAGGCAAACAGTCGTCCCACGTTGGCAACCAAACCGTTCGGGAATCGAAACGAAAACCGGCGGCAGGAGAAGGAGAATCTTATCTGCCAGTCGTTGGGGACTTAGTGCGTCTCATAATAAATGCAGTTAAGTCGGGATTGTTTTTGGGGACAAAGGGCACCCAGGAATTCGCAGCCACACACGAATGTTGTGAATAAATAACGCGCCCCAACTAATATTCCCCCCATAATAAAAAAAAAACACAGAAAGTAGAATCCCCCTGGTACCATTTTTCAATTGTTGTGTGAGAATTTTCCAGTGTTTTTCATATGAAATATGCCTGGGAAAAAGAGACACGCAGGCTTTAGCGAAAAAGATTTGCGATTGGCCATTTGTTTTGCCGCATGTAATTGAATACCCGGTTGCCTGGTTTTTATTTATTTATGCAAATATAATGAAAGGAAAATACGATTTTCCATCATTTGTTTTTCAGGGGGAAAGCGTTAAACCTATGAATAGCTCAGCAATTTTTTGATTCTGATATTCAGTCTATTTGCTTTTTCAGTTCTTAATGCAAAGTTTAATGGCATCGCCTTGAAATGCCAGACGGGATAATGGATATATAAGTGTCCCCAAATGCCCGCATGTTCGAACATAAAGCCCTGAAGAGCATAAACCACTAAAGAGCTGCGATAAAAAATCCAATTTAAGCATCTCATAAGCCATCGGAATTCGTTGTCATAGTTGGATTTAATTTTTTTCCATTTCGCCGGATTTCTCCACATCAGTTATATTAATATATTATTTTCATTTTTTGTCATATTTATGAAAATCGTTTTACCAATTCGCACTTAATGGTGGCGGGGTTATGATAGAGGGAAGTTTAAAATAAAGCCATAAACGTTAAGGGGGGATTTCGAGTGTCATTATCTAGATAAATTATTTATGTAATCGCGCGTAACCATTATTTTTATGAAATTTTCCTTCGCCTGCAGTCTGGCTAAAGGAAACAATTTACCCCTCCACACCGAAAATCGATTGTCAATGGAGAAAAACCAGGAGGGCAGTGTTAACATTTTTGAGCTGAAAAATGTAATAAAAACCGGGCCCGGATAAGTGCGCTATGCCATGGGAAAAGTGGGTGCGGTCCGGTCCAATCAATGCGGCAAAAATGAGAAAGAGAAAAAGAAGTTTAAATTACAAACTGGATGTATACCCTCATGTAGACATATCCCCTAATAAGCAGTTGGATCGCCGACATCGCAATTAGATTTTTCGACCGGCTTCATGCAATTAGAGTGCATTACTATGTCTGTGAATAAAAACTTTGTCGGCAGCAGAGCAATTTCCAATTGTCTGACAACTATTTTACATATGAGACACTGAGAACTATACTGTTATATAATTGTTTTGGAAAGTATATATTAAGAAATGTTGAATTTTACCGAATTAACTATAGTTTTTAAATCAAATTGTAGGAAAAACTCAATTTTACCTATGATTACTAAGTTTTGTTATTAGTTTTAAAATATAATATTTTATTAGGTAAAATATTTAGTGTTATGTACATAGTTTTAACTGTTGTTAATAGAATTTATAAGAATTTTAAAATTACTTCAAATGCCTTTTTAGTAACC